TGAGATTATCAAATCTAATTTTTAAGTCTACTTTTTAAGTGCATGTAACATTGCTCTTCGCACAAACTCTTAAGATCTTGTTAAGAATGTTGAGGACTCAGACAGCGGTATGAGAAGAAAAAATTCGGTCCCGTACATTAAATTTTTAATATTTTAATAATTTTTTTTTAAAATTTTTTGTGAGTTATTTTATAAGAAAAAATTTATCACTTTTTTGAATATTTTTATCACATTTGTTGTAATCATTTTTATCATTTTTCTTTAGTATAAAAAATTTATCACTTTGTGGATGATTTACCACATTTATAAATGTCTTTATCACTATTATGAATACTTTTATCACTATTGTGTTAACTATTTTTTATGAGTCCGGATCTAATTGGGCCACACCAAGTAAATCAAGTAGGCTCAGATCCACTGGGAACGCAGCCCAAGTCCGATTCATCAATTCGAGCCAGTCCAAGATCCAAGAATTCCATGAAGAAAAAGAGCACGTGTGGGAGAGATCATCGGGATGGATACACAAGAATTAATTGTATTTACCTTTTGTAACTATCCTCTCCAAAGAATTACTACTCTTACATTCACGTCATCACCTCATAATACCTATAAATTGTAAGTCATCTCCACATGAGAGGACATATCTTAGCATCTCACCACACCTCTCTATACCTCTCTACACACACATAACTTTTCTCTCTCCTACTTATTGTATCTCTTATGGAGTTAACCATTGCTCTCTCTCGTTCATCATATTTCATCAATAAAGACCCTTCGGCTACCGGTGGCGTTTTTCAGAGTAGAGTAGGTTATTCGGACCGAACCATTATATATCTGTGTGTTGACTCAATATTTACATTACGTCATTGATTGTTTTATTTATTGTCCATTAATTACACATTATCACACACTCGACTGTTGATCTTGTACGAGACTATTTTGTGCATCATAAATTTTTATAATTTTCTTTTAATACAAAAAAATTATAACTTTTGTAGATTTTTTATCATTGTTGTGGATGTTTTTACTACCCTTGCGATAATTATTTCTATTTATTTGTAATACTATAATAATAATAATAAAAATACTTACAAATAAATATAATATTAAATTTATTTATTTTTTCGATACCATTGATAAGTCTCTAAATTTCACCAAACTTTATGGGATGGTGATGACTGTACAAAAGATGTGGACATTTGAGGAAGATGACATTGACATGTATGTATGTGCCTCTTCCAAATAGCATATGGATCAGGTGTATAATTTGGGTTCTATTTTTAAAGGGCGTCATGCTTTTTGCCACGATCGATGTGGAGTGCTGTATTGCTTTTACCTTTGTCCCTTCTTCTAGAGTGAACCGGCACAGATTCCACGCCGGGTGCATATACCCTAAAAAATTGATAATCCGTTCAAGCTTGACATTACGGGTTCGAACTTGATAATAGAAGAAGACAAATTAGCTTAGCTCAGACACAAGTCGAGATAAGCCAACAATTTTGCAAACTGAAATAACATGAGCCATCATCTTCGGATCTTATCCAAGAATAAAATTATTTATTTTATGCCACATATTTTTAGAAGGCCACATCAATGCTTGATGAATATAATCTCTAACGTCTCAAATTTTTTTTTAATATTTCAACAGATTGAGAGGTCACTTATGATGACTTGAAGACTATCCTACCAAGATGATATAAATAGAAAAATCCTAGCCTAAACAGGCAGACGGAATTATAACTATCTTTTTTTTCCAAAAAGACAATAAAAATCCTCGAAACAAGAAACTTTATTAGAGGAGATTTAACCAACTTCTTCAACTGACAAACCATTATATTTACCTCGTGTTCTCTAATGTTTACTAGCAGCACATTTAATGGAAGGAAAAGTAGCAATTACACTGAATCAAGACTTATTTTAAATGACTCCACTCCCCAATGTGATCTTGATTATTACATGTACATATATCTTGTTATATAAGTGGTTTAATGTCATTATCTTTCTCTCACATCGCGGTCTATTTCACCACTAGCTAAGCAGCCACCACAAAAAAGGTGATTTTAAATGATAAAGAGCTTCTTTCTATTATATAATATATATATTTGGTTGGAAAACAGTTGTGAAGTCCACTTTGAAGGATTGCAATATATATCCACCCCCTAAATCTTTAAAATAGTTTTTAATGCATAGGACCTCAAGGGGTATTAGTGGACGAGTTTCGTGGGTAAATTTGGAGAGATGACGATGAATCATGTCATGTCATATTGTATAATTAGTCTCCTATTATGTCATATTTGTAAGTATTATATATTCATTTACATATTGACCTTTTTATTAATGAATCTGACTAGCCAATTTAATTATGACTCAAACTTGTTATGACTAAATATATTCCGGATAATCAAATTCCCTGTCCAAATTATCCACAAACACACATGTTGTGATCGTGCAGCAATTATGATGCATAGTAAGGAATCAAACAATTAAGAAAGCAGAAAAAAATAACACACAGAGATTTACGTGGTTCGTCAATGTGCCTACATCCACGAGAGCGAGCGGCCGTTCTTTTCCATTATAGAATAGGGTTACATTTTAAGTATTTATATAACCCTATTATTGACGTATTTACAAAAATACCCCTGTACCGTACCACGGGGGCGTTGCCCCCGCACCCCCAACCAATCAGCGTCCCTTTTATATAAATCCCGCAAGGCAGATGCCGTCGCGGATTCCGCCCGCTCCGGCATCTGCCTCCTTGCCATTATGTACACAGCAAATATGAGCCACACATACTCTAACAACATAACCCTGACATGAAAACTAGCTACGCACACCTCACGATTATGGTCTGACTTCAGTTGTCGGTGTTATAAATAGGAGTACATTATGGCAGGATCAATCACCCGAGCAAATCAACCCTCCTCCAAGAAAAATTGTGTGCCCTCCCCAATTCCTATAGAGCGAAAGCGTTGCCCGATGATCTCTTGGTTGTAGCACGTCCGATCGTTAACTTTTCATGTCATTGTTGCCGTTTTTAGGATCCACCGTGTTTCAACCTCGGTGTGACTAATGATACACTTAGATTGTGTATTGATCATCACTTGACAAGTTGTTATCTCACCAGCTAACTTGATAAGTTGTTATCTCAACAAGAAGCTAATAAGACGTGAACTCTTCCTCTACCAAATTACTCTTTTTGATCCTAGACTTATGGCATATTAGCAATTGTTTTTAATTGTACCCTCCCCACCCCCACCCCCACCCCACTTGTAGTGAACCATAAAACCCATTTGAACACTGCTACACTTATCAAATATTTTATCAAATTTTTTGTATATCAAATCAGTGTGAATAATTAGATTATCGAGATCCAATAATTTGCACTAAATATTTAATGCACAATATTTTATCACTACCATTTGTGTTGGTTTTTTTTATGGAGTCTAGTTTGTATATGTGATCCGGATGATGACCCGACCCGAAATAATGTTGTGTGGTTTTTAATGGAAAATTTTCTGAGGCTTAGTCCATGGAGCGAAGGTCCAAGCCGTAGCGCTCATGGACAAGCCTCGTGGGGGTTCGGGGGCAACGCCCCCGAGGAAAATTTTTTTGGGCCCGTTATACAGCCCAGTGCGTAGGACATATAAACCCTGTTGTTTTGGTGATTAGGGTTAATCGTGGATGTACAGCCGCCCTCTGTATTCAACTCTCTCAATAGTGAAATCCCTGCAGCTTCGTGGACGTAGGCAAATTGTCGAACCACGTAAAATCTGTGTCTTGTTCTTTCTTGTTTCTTATTACTTTATATTCTTGATTTGTTCTTCGATTGTGTGTGTTTGTTAGTGGATTTAAATCGTGAGAAATCCCAACAATTTGGTATGCACAACTTTATTCAACTCATTTTTTGAAGTCATATCGAAAGTTTTGGAAGACTTGTCCAAGACATTTGGCATATAGATTTATGATTTTAAAGTAATTTACAATTCTTCTCAACCATCCTTTCTCTTGATGAAATGGTCCTTTTCACCTTTAATTAGGCCAACAATTTATTCATTGAACCATAACTAAAGGAGGAAGATTATAAAAGTCTTAATAACATTCCCACAAACTCATACAACCTTATTTTATTTGAAAGAAAACGGCAAAGGAATAGCAACAAAGCCACCATGGTCTAGGTCATATCATGACTACTTTAATAATGGAACCAAATAATACCACGTGATCTTTATGTGAGAAAAGCCAAGAAATAGATACTTTGGTGCTAGCTTCTCCCATAAAATCATTACTTTAATACAACTTTATATTAGAAAAGCATTATCACTTCAATTTATAGGTTCTTTTTAAAAGCCTAAAATACCCCTAAAAATCTAACATATTAGCGATTTTTTTTCTATTTTTTAGTTTTTATACTCATTAGAAAAAAAAATATCGTATCCAATGCATTAGACTCTGACTAGTAAAAAATTATGAGCAGTTAAGCATGGGTCATCTCAAAATTTGACCTCTCAATATTGGTCAAAATGAAAGAACACCAAGAAATAAAAGAGAAGACTATGATACTTAAATAAAAATTTGGTATTGTACCACCGATTTTTATGAGTCGAAATACATATTTTTAAGTTTGTTTATAACAAAAAATAACTTTTATGACTTAAGTTATTCCTTTTAACATTTATAACTTTTTAGGTTAATTGTGATTGATCATAAATAACTTTCAAAAGTTTTAAATGATCCATAAAAGTTATAACTTAAACCATAAAAATTGTAAATGATCTTCAAATATTTTTTTTTTTTTTAAAAACCCACAAAACTTGTAATTACGGTATGATACTGAAATTTTTTTTTTTTTTTTTACGATAGACTTACATGAACGAAGGGCACAACTACACTAAAAAAAAATATGGGAGAGATAAAACATATCCCCTCTTCGAGTTTCGTATTATACGAGCAATCAAATAATCTCATCTACATAAGTAGAATTAGTGGTGGTGAATTTGAGAATGGATGGTGTCTTGGTAACCCATGCATAACTTGTCAAAACTTATTTAATTCATATTGAAATTGTTTGTTGTGTAAATTATGTACGTTGAGCGCATATAAATCCTTTTATTAAAAATAATTAATTAATTAAACTCTAACTTGTTATGGGTACACTAAAACTTAACAAAAAGAGCAAAAAACCATGATGCATAATGTAAACAAGACAGTTTATAGTTTAAAATTTTTCAAATCTGGTCAGAGTCCATAGCAAGAAAATAGAAAACAGTCTATAGTTTCTATTCAGTAGCATTACTGAATAGAAAAAGAACAAATCTAATGTGAACACAGAAAGAAGGTCAAGATCGTCAACTTAATTTTCAAAGGTGGGTCCTACGTGCGAAGCCTAAAACTAGTAATTATTTCAGATACTAGGGGTATTTGTGGAATAGGCTCCTTTATATACGCCACTCCCTCACCTTCCTCCGAACCACACCAAACCTCACAGTGCAAACCCTTCCACTTCCACTTCAGCTGTTCCGCATATTAACAAGGATAGTAGAGCAAAATTTCCGACGCAGAGAACGGATTCGGAGATGGCGTCGACGAGGAGAGGGACGATAAACGGTGGGGATTTGTCGAGGAGGTTAGTCTATGGGCGGCCGATACCGAAGAGAGGTCAGGTGAAGGTGGCGATTGTGTTGGGTTTGGCTCACTCTTTAGCGTCGATTTTCTCTTTTGGTTCTCGCTCCCAATCATGCCGCCGAACTCAGCTCTCATGACCTCAAAAAGAGAGAGAGAGAGAGAGAGAGAGAGAGAGAGGAATCCAATTTTGGGGATTTTGAGAGAGATGAGAGATGGAGGAGGGTTTGGTTGCTGCTTTGGATTGATTTCGCGTTCGTTGTGTAAATTGGTCTGATTGATTAATTCCACTTGTATAGTAATTTTGCTCGGAAAATAATAAACAATTCTCTTTTCTTTCTTGTGATTACTTATTCAGTGATCAATTAAATCATTAAATTAAAGTTAATATTTAAAATTTGAATAGCATTTTCCTTTTCTATATTCGAATCCATAGCATCTTTGGGTTTTTTTTCTTGATGATGAGTGACATAGACAAGGATCCATTTTGCATTAGGACGAATTTTATTCTGACCCTTAAAAGATTTTAAAATTTTTATTTTACATTTTTAAAAATTAAAAAATTTTAAATTACATCTTTAATGTATCGAAAGTATTTGAATGTGACATTTTTATTAATTTTTTTGTCAGTGTCAATAATTTTGATTTTGACAAAAAAAAAATAATAAGGAAAGTTAAAAGAAAAGTCATATTTAAAAAAATTTAATTTTTAAGGGCGTAATATAAAAAATTGAAAATTTTCAACGTATAGAATGAGAAAAACTTTTTGCATTATAAACTTTTGATATCATTTTTATCTCGAGGAAAAAGAATGAACTTAAAAGGTGGAATCACAATTTGCACCCAAAAAAATTTTAAATTTTAAATTTGTACCTCAAATGATTAATTATTTTTCACATTACACTATCAATTTCATAAAATAGTTGTAATGTAATTCTCTGACATTAACTTTTGTTGTCATTTTTGTCAAATGTCATTGCATTTAGTGCGGTGGTCACATAACAAATTTGACAAAAAAATATAGTGAAAGTTAGTGTAAGATTACATTATAATTATTTTATGATATTAAGGGTACAATATGAAAAAATTAATTATTAAGGGTACAAATTAAAATTACATTAAAATTATACTGAGTGCAAATATTTTTGTCCAAATTCTTTTTTTTTTTTTTGTTATCGGTATATATTATTGTATACTAGAAGTCCAACTTTAAATGATATCAAATGTTTACTCGTTCAATTCGAATATTATGAAAATCAATCTTGAGTATATAAAACTTGTGTTAAACTAGTGGAAGGAAAAGTAGGGCAGAGTACAATGCATCAAGACTTGCTTTAAATCACCCCTTTAGTGCGATCTTAATTGTTGCACATTGTTATATAAATAGTTTAATGTCATTACCTTTCTTTCACATCGCAGTCTATTTCTCCACTGGCAAAGCAGCCCCAAAAAGATGATTTTGATTGATAAAGAGCTTCTTCTTATCATAATATATACTTGGTTGGAAAGCTGTTGTGAAGTCCACTTGAAGGATTGCTATATCATCCCCTGCCGTGGCTCAAGTGGCATCCTTTAAGCCTAATCAGGTATCAATCGTAAATTCAGATATTTTTAATTTAAATCTTATAAATTTTTTAGAGTAGGGATAACAATGGATCAGGGCGAGGAGAGTAGGTTCTACCTTGTACCCGTTTCAAAAATATTCGTCCACCTTCAGTTCACTTTTGTTAGCGAACATAACATTTAATTTCTATAATTTTAAGAAAAAAATTTAAAAAGAATCATAAAACCTCACAAAATAGATTTGCAACAAGGATGAAAATTCATTATATAACAAATGAATCAAACATAAAAACTCACAAAAATAATATTTATAACAAATGTATGTTATATTTAATTATTTTATTTGTTATATATACATTATGTTACGGGTTTAGCAAGACGGAGGCGAGGCGGGGATGAGTTTCAGTTTATCCCCGCCTCTATGCCTGCACAGATTTATATGAAAATTTTTTTATACGTTCACCGTCTAATACATAAAAGTACATCCCCAGTTTAAACGGAGCGAATTTAAACGAATACTTGTTTTTTCTTGGTCCATTCTCATCCCAATTTTAGAGTTAGATTATAAAAAATTTATCCGTCATGAATTCTCTAATCAAAACGTGGATGGTCTTTTTTTAACTAAACTGATAATGAGATTTGTCAAAGTGCGTATAGATTAAATTGAATGAAACACTCTAACTAAAAAGAAAAAGAAAGGGTTGCAATATCCACCACTAAATCTCTTCCACAGTTTTTAATGGATAAGATCTCAAAGGGTACTAGTGAATGAGTTTGGTGGGGCACATCTAGATGTAGATGTATGATAGTATCTCAGTTTTCTTATTTTTGGCTAGAGATAATATATTTCTTGCATCTGTGTCTATGTATAAATAAGATTAGAATGAATCATATCATGTTATATTGTACAATTAGGAATAATTTTATACCTAAAGACATTCTGCAATACTAAAAATCAAATATTTGATTGTGAATTATTTCTATTTTAAATAATAATTTATTTTTTCTTTAATTATTCAATTTAAAATTAAAATGAATAGAGGAAAAATTAGAGACATAGAGTCAAAAAAAAAAAGAGAATGGTAGGTGTAGATTAATGGAGTTGTTGGATATTTAGGAGCGTGTTAGTTGAGTTGTCTGACAATGAGAACTGTACGGAGAAGACGATGTTTTTAAACCGAAAAAAAAATTTGTGATAAATTTTTTACTATTGAATTAAAGTAAATAAAAATTGGATTAATCTTTGTCATTACTGTGCTTTCATGAATTAAAAATTTAACTTTTCAACTGTAATAAAAGATGTATTATATCAAATTTATAAAACGGTGCATATTGGTTTACATATCAACATTTTTATTAATGAATTTTACTAATCAATTTAATTACGACCTAAAGTCGTTAATATATGCCTGATAACCAAATCTCCCTAGAAAAAAACCAATCCAAATCATCCACAAACACACAACACTACCATGAAAACTAGCTAATTGTGGTCACTGGTTCAAGTGGGATTAATCATCCACTTAAATTATCTATTGATCATCGCTTGATTAGTTGTTATCTCACCAACTAACTCAGTAAGTTATTATCGCACCAACTAGCTAGCAAGTCGTGAACTCTTTCTCTATCAAATTATTCTTTTATGATCATTGCTTATGGCATATTAACAATCATTTCATTTTTAATGGTACTGCCCCCCCCCCCCCCATTCACATATAATAAATAATATAAATCTAATTGTATACTTAAATCAATGTGGATGTTTAAATTAATGAGATTCATTGACTCGTTTTAGGCATTTAATGTATATGAATTTACAGTATTATTTGGTATACATTATTTAGTAAACACATTTGAAATGCACAATTTTATTTACCCTTTTTTTCTATGTCGTACTAAAAGTTTTGAAATTATTGTTCAAGACGATTGACATTCAAATTTAAGATTTTAAAAGTAATTTACAATTTTTCTCCACCATCCTTTTCTCGTGAATGAATTGGTCATTTTCATCTTAATTAGGACAACATTTGAGAAAACTTATTCAATGAACCTTAACTATATATAGTAGGAAAAAATGAAAAGTCCTAATACATTGTATGTATCCACCAAAATTCCCACAAACTCAAGCAACCTTATTTTATTTGAAAGAAAAAGACAAAGGAGTAGACACAAAGCCACCATGGTCCCTATCCTAGGTCATATTATGACTACTTTCAATAATGGAACCACTAATACCACGTGATCTTTATGTGAGAATAGCCAAGAGATGGATGCTTTTGTGCTTCTCCCACAAAATCATTTCTTTCACGTAACTTAGCATCATCACTTCAACCCATCGATTCTTAAAAGTCTAAAATACCCCTGAAGTGTAAGTATTTTTCTTTCTTTTTAAATATTTTTTTCCTGGTATTTAATAACAGAGAGGTAGAAGACGTACATGTATTATCGTGTTATGTCATTGTAAATTTTGTCTAATTTATTTTCAACTTAGTTATGGTCATATGATTGAGTTTGTACCATGATCCCAGAACCAAAAAAAAATTACTATCATCTTTTCAAATTAACTCGTATTAAATAATTTCTATTTATGTTCATATTGAACAGACATAAAGTATAAGAATTGATTATCCTAAAACAGTATCTATTATGATACTTAGATTATACTTGGATCTCTAAATTATTATATATTTTTTAATAATTTGAACTTTATCATTATGAGTTTTCAAAAGTTGACAAAGAATATGCTGCATAATGTGAACAAGACAGTGATGTTATAAAAAATTTATAAATCTTGTCTTTTGTTGAATGTGAATGCAACATGTCTAGTCAAGGTCTTATGTAAGAAAATATATAAAAAAACCAGAAGACAATGTGAACAGAGAAGAGGGTCAAGATCGTCAATTGAATTTTCAAAGGTGAGTCCTACGTAGGCAGCCTTAATTAGTAATTATAGCAAAAAGTAGGGAAATTTGTGGAATACACTCCTTTATATACTCCCCCCCCATCTCCTTCCTTCGAAGCGCACCAATTCACCAAACCTCAGAGTTCACTCCGAACCCCTTCCACTCCCACTAGTAACAATCATTGAACAGTTTTTTTTTCCCGGCGGAGAGATCTGAATCGGAGATGGCGGCGACGAGGAGGGGAACGATCAACGGTGGGGATTTGTCGAGGAGGCTGGTTTATGGGCGGCAGATACCGAAGAGAGGTCAGGTGAAGGTGACAATTGTGTTGGGTTTGGCTCACTCTTTAGCTTCGATCTTTTCTTTTGGTTCTCGTTCTCAATCCAGCCGTCGAACTCAGCTCTTGTGACCTCAAAAAGAGGGAGAGAGAGAGAGAGAGAGAGAGAGAGAGAAAGAGAGAGAAGAACCCAATTTTGCGGATTTTGAGAGGAATGGAGGAGGGTTTTGCTTGCTGCTTTGGATTTGATTTTGAGCTCGTTCTGTATATTGTGGTGATTGACTAATTCCACTTGTGTAGTTGCTTGCAAAATAATGAATGATTCTTGGTGTTAGATCAGTTTCTGCGTATTTTAATTTTTTTTTTTTTTTGTTTGGGTTCAATCATTGGATTTGGTTTTTCACGGGTTTAGATTACTTCCATTTCAAATTTACCGGTCAAGCCATTTCAAATGCGGATTGTTCTAAGTTTGGGTTAGATAATTTGAATTTGTCCAAACACACATTCAGGTATTGGGTGTGCAAAATCCTTATCCGCATATTCCCACCTTAAAATGGGATAATAATCCAACAGGGGGTTACATAATCCAATCCCATCCTTCAGTAAACCAAATAGGTCCAAAAATAGTGCAAAAGAGTGACGTCCTGTTACTTGATTACTCTCTCTCACCCTATCCTTGTGTTATCCCTACCGAAGACTAGTGTGGTTGCCCAGTTCACAGCCACATAAAACCTGTTCCTCCAGCTCAAAACTCGCGTCAGGTAAGCAGAGCGCCACACCAACCAGCTTACGAACCCCGCAAGTGAGATTCCTTTGGCGTCCTGTCAAAGTGAAGATCACAAAATCAGGTGATGCATCATTCATGGTGTCTTCTTCCGGGTCCGATTACATTACCAAAAAATTATTTTTCAAAAATAAATTTTTTTTGTTTGTAACACGTTTTATTTTTTCGTCTAAAAATCAAATGAATGGTGATTATGATTCACAGGGCTCGATTAGGATCAATCCCGCCATGATATGGTCGATTCCAATTTTTTGAATCTCAATGAATTATAACTATGTGACTGGATTAAATGGTAAGTTTCTTATTTTTTTTGGTACGACATTTGATATCATAGTCTTACCCTAAAGACAAGGCAAAGTACTCCTAATTGTTTCAAGGATTACAAGTTACAAAACTTATTATGGGTCAGGTATAATTTAATGAAACTCTTGCAGGAATTCGAAATTCTCTATATGATTGAGTAACTTAGCTTTATAGGAGGTGGAAAGCAGAGTATAGAAAGAGTTAAAAAGTACCTTGGACTGGCGTAGATCAACCAGTGCCTTATACCGCCCAACAGATGCCATACTTCCCAGATGCTTATAGACGAAAGGGTCTGCCAGAGGGACGTCCTTTGCACTGAAAGCCTTGCCCCCATTCTGCTTCCCAACTTTATTGAACAACTCCACAAGATATTTCCCTTGCCTTTCTGCAACCTGTTCAAAAAGGTTATTCTAATTGGAAAAAAAAAAAAAAAACATGACACACCAAAACAGCTTTAATGAATTTACTTGAAGTGTTATCAACCTGATATCACATAAAGTTCTCAGGCATAAGTTGAGCCTTGATAGACTCCTATCGTAATTGTTGATATGCTAAACACGCATACTAAAAGGACCGATATAAACTTAACTATACTTTACACGAAACAAATCGGGTATGCATTGAGAAAATTTTGATATGACAGTCACAGAACTAATATGACATGCTACGAAGCATACTCAAAGAAATAGATGGCATGAATTTTCCACCACTAATGACTGAATCGCTGATGCACACTATTAACAGATTATGTTCCTTGACATTACATTCTACTTTTGAGAGAAATAATGCCACAATATTCTGAAGCCACAAACTATTCATATTCTTCAACACTCAAACATTACTGGCATGTAATAGTATACTAGAAATTCAAGTGATCCAGGCATTCTGACCTGAGCTAGAGCTGGAAGCACTGGCCTCCCGGTCTGTTCGAGAAAACCAGCACAATCTCCAAGTGCAAATACATCTTCCACAGAAGGGACGCTCAACCATTCATCAACACCAATTCTGTAAAATTTGCTAAAATTAATTGCAAGGATTCCAAATAAAATAAAAGACTTCACCAGGGGAAATGCAGGCAATTATACCTTCCACCTGGGGACACAGGAAGATTTAGCGATTTCGTGAACTCAGATGGACCAACCCCAGTGGACCAGACCAAGAGACCATAAGGAACATCACTTCCATCACTGAGAACAATTTTTTTGGGCTGCACCTCTTTCACTACACCTCGCACAAGTCTAACACCGTGCTGAAATAAAGTTTCAAATGTCATTGATAATTCAATAACTACAGAAGCAGCATCCTCAACGATTCCGGAAAAGAAATCAATTTACCTTGTTTAAATGCTTTGCTGCATATTGCCGTAGTCCAACATCAAATGAAGATAAAATTTCATTTGCCTGTTCAAACAGCAATATTATTAGGACATTCAGTGACTTCTTTCTTCATTTTCAACATGTCAGATAAATTGTAAATACTAAATAGAGAAAATTACACTTTGAACCCCTCAAGTATGACATTTTTTCACATGGCCCCTTAAACTATCATATTTTTCACATCTACTACGTGATTAGTTTCACATCTCCCCAATTATTAACTTTCGTTACATATTTAACAAAAAATAGTTTCATTTTACCCTTCAAACTACATAATTTTTTTCATTATGCCTTGAGATATCAGCACTTTTTGTCCAAAAAGAAAAATAACGTTTGCGATTGGAGTAACGTGAAATTTCAAGTAGTTTAGGAGAGAATGTGAAAAATTCAATAGTTCAGGGGACAAAGTGAAATTGAGTCCACAATTTAGGGGGTCAAAGTATAATTTATCCTTTTAAATTAGAGTAATAACTCAAAATAATATGCTGTCATGTCATTTGCGCTCTAAATTTGATCAGTGTAGCATTACTCTTTAAATAAGGGATAACAAGAAGTACCTCAATGAGGGTGACTCTAAAGTAGTTCTTCACATGAGTATACCGCTCGCGAACATCTCTCATGACAAAATCACTCAATTCACCACTAAACTCTACTCCAGTAGGGCCACCTCCAATAACAACACAGTGTAACATGCGCTCTTTTTCTTCTTCAGACATACCTGCAATTATGGATTGAATCCAATTTCAAACTCAAACTATAGTAGTTCAAGTATATTCAAGATGCAAGGACTAGGATACTATTACCCATCGAATATGAAACAAATCAATTTTACTCATCCAAAACTACCCCAATTTGTCTAAAGATAAGGACGGTGAAGAGAATGATGGCATTGGGGATACTTAAGGTGGATGGGCCCCTATATTCAGCCTGTACAATCATGCTCATTTGATAGGTAAAAATAACCCTGATTCTAAAAGATTACCTTAGACTATGATCTCCCAGAAAGTTGTTTTTCAAGCTCCAGAAAACCAATTTTTGATAGTTGCTAAACAAATTGGATATGTTTTACCAAGACATTGAGGGGGGAAAAAAAGAATACTCACCAGGATTTTCAGAGAGCATCAGGTTCAAGAGAAGCTTCTTCCTTATTTCTTGGGCATGATTTACCTCACGAAGAAAAAATGCATGTTCCTTCACTCCTTTTATACCAAAGGTTAATGGCTCAGCTCCAGCAGCAATTACAAGCTTGTCATATGCAACTTTAAATTGATAAGGTTCACGAGGAAGTCCACCATCACTAACAGTCTCACAGTACACCTGATTTAGTAAAGCACCAGTAATAGATTGTCAATGACAATGACTTTACAAGAGTATCATAATATAATCATCCCATTCTAGCTCTTCATTTTTTAATATATTTTAAAGTCCTTGTCATATGAAACTATCGCCCTATCTTCAATGCAAAACTATACAAATACTAAAAGTATTATGTGCCTATGCTAACGAAAATTGGAGGAACCAAACCTGTATAGATTATGAGAACGCAAAAATAAATGTTCATATGCTAATGTAGAATGATTAGGATAAGTAAACATAGCTTTTAGATTACACACCTCATGTTTGTCCATATTAATTCCAGTGCAGGAGGCCAGGTAGAAGTAGGAATTGGGATCCTTTGCCAATGCAGACTGTATATGACTGACTGGTTCAGCTACTGATCGGAATTCCAGAGTTCCAACGCAAGTTGATGCAAGCAAAGGAGTGAAAACCATGTGGTTTCTCGGTGATATGCAAACAACATCATATATTTTGGTGTCTAGTCCTTTAAGGAACCGACATGCTGCCCATCCGGTGCCAAGGACAACCACCCTAGGCTTTTCCCCTGGCTTGTTGGCTTCCAAACTAGGATACCTTTGGTTTTCATTGTTTTCGCTCTCGGAATCAGACTCCTCCTCAATCCTCTGTGCTTGAGCAAATTGGTAATGTGGGGTTACCCTTATTCCCCTGCTACCGAAACTCACATGATCTCCCTTCTTGATGCTTGAAAGGTATGACACGTTGCGACCAGCAGTAACATTTTCGACAGAAGGAATGGGGCTCTTATGTGCGTATAATCCCTCACAAAGTACATCCCTCTCACTTCTGTAATTGCCAATGGTTCCTCCCGACCGTCTAAAGCCATTCCTTGCAATCCTTGCCAATGCCATATTAAGAGTACCAGTCACAAGAGCCGGTACCCTTGGGACCTCTTATTTTTAAGCAAGGTCAGCTAGATCGATATATCTGAATTTGCAAGAAAGAGCAACCCAAGCAAGTAAGCTATAAGAATGTAAAATGTTGGTAGAAAGAAGAACACATCAGTGCCTTATCATATATGAAGACCCCAAATAAGACTGACAAAAACATGGAGAGGGACAATAGCCAAAATTGTTGGAGCTCTAGTCCAAATGACATGACTATTTTATTGAAGCATGACAACAATGGTTTCCAAGACTAAATGACCAGAAAACAAATAAACTTAGTCATCCTCATCAGCTGATGATAGCTACAAAGAGAAACCTCTTTGTAAAAGTCTAGAAAAGACCCAGAAACAACAAACCTTTCGTTCCTGTATCACCAAACACATGCTTTATTAGCTGGCCCTTCTAATACAAGCTCAGTCGACTAGGTGCTATAGAATATAGGGTCCAACTACAGTACCGAAGAATAATTTTTGGTATCTTACTTCCTATTTTTTACCACAAAATCAAACCACATGTAAAGTTTTTATATTTTATTATTTTACTTTACTTTATTATTTCCAAGATAAACAGTTACAACACAAATCAAAACAATATCTACGACTACTAACAAATTTCCGTATAGTACCATGGCATTATAGTGCTATACCAGAAAGGACCGATTCCTAAACAAGTTGGCAGCTTTCCTAATCATGGTCCAAATTTCCAATCAATCATCAGATTAGATAGATCAACTGAACTATTAACTTGGCTTGTCAACCTAGGAGTTGGAATTCCTCAGCTAAAAATACAAACACATACACATGACTTACCTGCACCTGCTCTGGCGTTGAGAAACAGTACTAATAGGTTCACGTGAGCACAATCCCCCGCCATGAACAGAGATCAAACCCCGGAGGCCTTTAGCATATTATGGGGATAATCAAGATACAAGCAGTAGCAAGATATAACTTCAACAAACAGGGGAAAAACAAAAATAGGAATAAATAGTAAATGTTTCCGGTAGTTATGAAGTCGTGTTTCGGGCCTTAAAACAAACACTTGACGATCTATTGTTATTCAATCTGTATAAGACTGTCTAAACTGCCAAAAGCATTTGCTTCACTTTTTTCAAGACTGACTGGCACCCCGACCACCAAGGCTCCCGAGAAAGCTATTTCAGCCTGTCGGGCAGTTAAGGGCAATTCTTACCTAAATCAGACCGTAACTGGTAACTGATAACTGGTAACAACTGTGCAACAATCACATTTAAGGCCCCTTTTTATGTGAAAAAATAAAAATAAAGTTCTGAGAAATATAAGTAAATAGCCTAGAAATATAAACCAATACGGCATAATTTTGATATTCTGACAGAAAATTATCGAAAACTGTAAAATAATAGCAAGATTTTTCAAGGAACAAGCTTCAAATTTGCTGTTTCATGTCTAATACAACACAGACAACCCAAAAATGAACTAAAACTTCATTTTTGTCGAGTAAAAAGAAAAAAAAGAAGTCAATACTCCAGAAACAGAGGAATGTATTAATTGTTAAGTAAATTAGTACAAAAATGGGAATGTGAGTAAAAACTTTAATATTTAAACTGTACAATTGATTGAGCAGCGGTACCATTTTGTAATGATTTTCAGATCGGAAACTCAAGCAAATCGCAAAACGAAAGAGAATAAATGTACCTCCAAACACAAGCAATGCACCAGCAATTAGGAAACAGCAACGACGTTCGAATATGGAGAGAAGGAGAGAGAGAAAGAGTACTTGTGCTCAAGTAGGAAGGCGATCGAGATAGCGGCTTGTCTCTGTTCTAAGCAAGAAGAAGGCACATTTCCGTGATTTCAGGATTCAGGAGGTGGGGGCACGGGTACAACGCACTTGGATACGGTTGCTATGTACTATAACATATCTCAAAAGCTTGAGACGCAAGAAAGTTATTTAAGTTCTCTGCCCCTTGGTTCGCAGTTCGAACAAACTTGTGCATAAAGACAGAGAGACGGAGGTACGAGGAAGCGAGGAGCTGGGTCTATTTATATTAGCGTCAAAACCCGCGTGCCGCATGGGATGTATAATTGAATTTTTTTTTAATACTTTTTAATAAGAATAATAGATCGACCAAAAAATATGATGTAACAGTGATATCAATTAAGTATGGTCAAGTGGTACTATCATTAAATGATGGGCTTATTTTGAGTTAATTTGTTTAGGTGCGAAACATAAGTTTAAAAAATAAAATAAAATAAATCAGAATTAAAAAACCTCTAGAAATGATTTAAAATGTATTCGAAGTAGTCGATTTTTTCTTGAAAATTCTTGGATAATTCCCATTTTTTAATTTTTATTTGATGCTGATAAAAGCTGTTTTGAAGCAAAAACACTCATAGAAAAACTGCCTAATAAACTCGGGACCAAATGGACTAACTTATTTTCCTTTGAAAACCAAAAAAAAAACTGAGGGTTTTAGTTCATCCAACTCTAAATAGGCTCAATAAAATAATAAATGAATAAGGTGAATTCCACCTTTTTATACATTGATGGTTATAGATTTACGTGAAAGTAAAGTAGACGATTCTTGTATTACGTGAAAGAATAGTTATTAGAGATACGTTTACTTATTTGTTTACATATTATTGAATATTGATATCGCTGTTGCATTAAATGTTGAGACAAAAAATAAAGATCAAATGATGTGATATTACTATAAAAGTATTATTGGTCCCACTTTTACACATTTAAAATTTAAAATTTTCTTACTATGGTAATACTATATCATTTAGTCTTTATTTTTTATTCCTTTTTTTTAGTCGTCTAACATTACTCTTTTTTATTTGTCTCATTATTAAAAGCTAAGATAAATAAGTACATAAAATTATAAGGTGACGCAGGCACACACCTTATACAAAGAAAGCTTTTTCCAATTTAATAATCTAAAATTTTAAAAGAATTTAGATAGAGTAATTATGAATTACTCCCTACTAGTTTATTGGTGTTACAGATTATCCCCTATATAGATTGAAACTACACACATAATTTCTTATAGTTTTGCGAAAAATTGAAACTGGCTGTGTTTCCACCTAAACAAAATGGAACGTAAATTCCACGGTCCTAAAATGTGAAGTGGGTTTGTTTTCTTTCAAAATTAACAATTTTAATGTTCTTTGACTGAGACTAAGATCTCTGCAATGTATCATCCCTCTATTTTTCTCTCTTTGTTAAATCAATTGTATATAAGTAAATCTCTCACTAAAAGATAGTATGTAATAACTAAGAATAAAATCAAAGAAAAAAAAGTATTTGAGGAGATCTGAATTCCCTTAGATATTATTTATATATAAATGTTGAAAGTTAATTAAGTTTGGTTACAACTATAAACATAAATTTGTGTATATATAGACAGAAAGAAAGATAAGGGTGTATGTCTGCTACAATGTAGGAGTGTGTGTCGCCCGCCGCCTTGCCGGGGGGGTTGGTATGTGTGTGGTGTATGGATTTGTGAGTGAAGTTGAGAAGGAATAATGAGAAGGAGGAAGATGGGTTATAAGTATACTTTTGTTTGATTAGGAATAAGGGTAAATTTCAGCTGAATAAAGAATAAACGGATGGTCCAAAACTATACTACATTGAGTGAATTTTCAAAATATAAGGCGGTAATTTTGTAACTATGCTAAAGTAAAGGGAGACAATATGTAATTTCTTCTTTTATATAGAGTTAGATTTGTTTGTATGCACGTTCTCAGTCGGCAATGAAAGGGGAGTGAACGGCGGAGAGAGAAAGGAAAGGAGGAAGGGAATTGGAAAGAGGATCTTGTTGCCGTTTCTGCCATTTTTGCCTCATCTCTGACGTCATTCTTGCTTGGTTCTATCTGATAATGACACATGATACCATGATACCAAATTTTTAACACCCCTAATCCACACCAACTTGGGATTATGAAGCAAGAACAGTAAATATCCCAGAGAAACAGTAAAGGAACCACAAACTTCAAATAGAAAATTTTATTTACTGTGTGCTAATGAAAAAATACATAAAATTCAGTGGAGAAAATTCCAATTCCTGATACTTTGGGGGCCATGGCCGCGATCAATAGAAAGTATTCAGATAAATAATCCTGAGTTAGACCAAGAGGTTGATTCATTCCAAAACATATGTAAATGTTATTAACATTTGTGGCTTGGTTGGTTTAATCAAGTTGCTGCTACTGTATTCTTTTGTGAATCACCAAAAACCTGGTTTAGAATCATTGCTAATCGGACTCCACCCTGAGCTATTCGCTTCGTTACAATAGGAAACCTTGAATTGAAGTAATCATCTGTCAATATGCAAAAAACATAAGCACTAATCAGTTTCTGGCCTCAGCCGACCCCAAATAGTTGGGATACGGGTTGGTTGAGTCATTCAGTTTCTAACTCATCTAGTCAACAATCATGACATGAAACATTTTGCTGAACATTATCAACAATGATCGACAAAAATATCCCGAAAACTTGAGAAAGTATTATACATACAAAATGGAAACATTAATACCTGACAGAGTGTCTCCAGACTTAACACCTTTGTATCCCCATTTACAAGCCAAGTTTATACTTTCTGTAGCATACCTGTATACAGAAAGAACAGAATGAAGTGTGTGTGTGTGTGTGTGTGTGTTTGTGCTTGTGTATGTTCCCACCAGGCCCCATTAATGAAGATTGAACTAGGTGTTATTTACTTTGTGTATGTTATGTGTGTAAAGTGACAGCAGAGGCAGTAAGGATTCTTAGTTTAATCTGAGAGAGAGAGCTCACTTCTTTACACAACTAAAGAGATCACTACATTCCCTCCAGGATGCAAGATCATCAGACCATATTCCCTGTAACAATTACTTTTAATTAGCTCAAAGCTCTGTTGTTTCATTGGTATTTTGAAAATGCTTTTTTTTTTTCTTGCAATTATTTATGATCAACTCTTGAATCCGACACAATTTTTTCGAAAAAAAAGTAATAAGTACTCCCAAAACTGTAACTAAAATTATGCTGCTGACAAAAGAAGCCAATTTATAACATTGCAAATCGATAATCAGTTGGCCTTACATCAGTGAAATTCCCCTCTATTTCTTCTTCCAGGAGATCCATGTCCTTCCCAAAGTAATCTGCTGCAGCTGTAAGAATGATCTCTCTATCCCATACCTATTAGATGTTTCAAAGAAGACCAATTTATTCTTGAAGGAGCTTAAATCTTCAGTGAGAAAATCACTGTTTTAATTGTTTAAAATAAGAAAAAAAAATAACTCAAAGATGGCTTTTAGTAAATGATTGTGCGTTAAGCGCAGTCATTGTGCATGCAAGTCAGATTGAAATCATAAAAAGGGGGCGGTTCAGTGTCACGAGGCTCCCAATAATGCGAGGTCCCAAGAGGGTTATATGTACCCATAGTTTAAATATAACAAGGCGAAAAAAGGATAGAGTGGCTTATGAAGGAACATTTGATGATCAATCAGGTAATTAGCAAGAAAAAGTGGGAGGAGGAAGCAAAAGGATTTTGCTGTTTTACTATATTGAAAAGGCGGTCGATCCTAACTTATCTACAAATTAATAAAGCCCTAGTTACAACAAAAGAAATATCCCAAAACCTCTTTAGTTGCCTTATAAGAATACTAAGCATGGAAGTCAATAGAACAACAATAGGGTGTGAATACTACTTACATGGTGCAGATTTGATTTGTGTCTAAACCAGCGCAAAGCTATGGTATTTCCTCCTCCGTCACTTGTAAACCCAACATGCATTGGCTAAAACATCAAAGATGCAAGAAAGTACTATAAGCTACAATACAAAAATTGAAAAGGGGCAATTTCTAGTCATTCCTCTTGTAAATAAATTATCATAATCCCAAAAACAATAATAAACTTCATTAAGAGTTCATTAGTCAATAATGATAGAAGTTTCATGCATTGGGTTGCCCTTTTATTTTTTCTTTCATATCGATCAGGGGAGAGAGAGAAGCGATCACCCCCATTCCTACCTCGATCTACTTCCACTCATACCCTGCCCCCACCCCCAAGCTGATCAATCCCAACCACCACCCTTAATCTGCCCTCCACCCTGATCACACCCACTACCCCCTTACCCTGATTACCCCACCACCACCCACTGCTACCACACCATATTCTCATACCCCTCCACCCTTACCCACCCTTCCACCTCCCATTGGCACACTTTCACAGTCCCATCCACGCACTCTGACTAGCCCATGAACACTACCCTTTTTTGGTTAGTCACTGTTTCAGGGAAAGAGGCGAGGAGATTCAAACCCGCGATCTTAAAGTCCAACAGATGAGATAATGACTATTAGGCCAACCGCTAACCCCGAACACAAGTTTAAAATGGCACAAAATACCTGATGGATATCTCCCATGAAGTGTGCTAAGAATAACAAGGCCTCTGTCATATTATCTGTTCCCATTGAAACAAAGCAACAATTCATTCACTGATTTAAGAAACCATTGATCCCAAAAACAAATAATAATAATAATAATAATATCACAAAAATTGTCTTCTTACATCGCCGATCAGAAGTCCCCTCTCGGTAATGTGAAAGCTGAGTGGTGAAATTGTGGACGGCACCAGCAACACACATATCCTTTACTCCATGTGGATCATGACAGTCCCCTTTGACCCCAAAATAACATGTCCTCAATTCAGTATCAGTGCAAACATGAGCCACAAGAAAGAATGAAAATTCTTTTCTTTTTTTTTTTGGCATAATTTCGGTTAGCTTGAATGAAAATAATTCAGAAACACTCTAAAAAAATATAATAAAAATAGAGAAAAAATATTCTGAAACAATAGAATTTCAGACTTCGAAATATCTATAACATTTGGGAACATTCCAAACATGAGAATTTTAATTTTTTTTATAATGTCATCCAAGATTTGATCCGAGATAAAAACACAAGAAGATTTCTTTCACCTCGGTTAATCCCTCTTCGGTCGTTCCGGTCAAGACAGATTATTCATGCCAAAATTAAGATATTTATGAGGTATAAATCTTTCCTGATCTGACCCCAAAAATTTACTAAAATTAGAAATCAGGACGTTTAAGTTTATAACAAACACAATAATATTTAACAAACCTTCTACACATCATAAAATATTTCTCAAAATTTGCATCTCAAGTCAATTCAATGGGATGGTTGATTAGTGAGTTTCACTGATTTTTTTTTGGTAAGACCCATTAATACAACAATTCATAATATTTGAGAAATATTTTAGCATTTTGACGGACTTTCATAATCGAAGCTGCAAGCTTCATCAGGTGTGTCAATGAAGTGAAGTGGGCTAGTCCATCTGTATCTGTACCAGTGCCGAACTTGGTCCGGCCACACACACAGTGCCGATAAGTCTCCGCCGACATAATCCGGTAACAGCATTTGAACAGCATGCGACGCCTCAGGTTCCAATAGATTCTGCATTTTCCACAACATTTAATACTTATTCCAAATGACTTCGTAAGGACTGGCAATGATTGTGTTTTGTTTTGTCAAGTGAAATTTTAGGTTAGACAGTGTAATTAACCCGGAATCTTATTGACTACTGCCTCTTTTTTGGGTTGTTTAGACATTGACCGTTGCCTTACTTATCTTACACCTGAAGCAACTATGCAATGCTTTTCTTTCCTTTACGTTTTTTTGGGTGGTGTGTTGTGTGTGTGTGTGTGGGGTGTTTTTTTTTTTTTTGGGGGGGGGGGGGGGGGGGGGGAGGGTGGTTAGTTTCTCCCAAAGTTACCATATACCCTGCTGCCATCTCCCATAATGGTGGGAGCAAGCGCAACCACAGGGCAAAAAATCAGCACTTGGTGACAGTGATTGGTTGGTGCAAATTAAAATATGGTTAAGGGGCGTTTAAAAAGGAGTTTGAATAATCATTTTATAGCAAATCCAATCAATAGCACCAACATCCCTGACTAGACAACTTCAAAGAATGGACTACTGTGCATGCTTAGGCACGTCCCACGATTTTATAATAAACACGAGAATATGAGTAGAATGATCGAGACAGTTCTCGGTTGCCAAAAAAAGGACTGTACCTGTGCAATTCGGCATGTCATGACATGGCCTTCCTTGCTCCAAGCTTGCACACCAGGCTGAGTAATGAAAGCATAACAGAGAAAGAGAATAAAGCATAATAGAAACAATCGCGAAAAACCGCCAAACGTTGTCATTCCGACCAATGTCTTTGTTCTTATCTTTGCTTCTCACATATGGAAATACATAAGCAATGACCCACCATGTTAGGCTTCCCCTATATATACAAATAATAGAAGGGTTCTTGTTGAGTACAAGTCATGACATTCCCCCTTATGGGTACACCCCTAAACTTGTCCATCCACACAAGCAAGATGGGCATATTCCAGAATTATAGAGGCATCCCAGCAATTAACAAAAAAATAATGGGGCATGTGGGAACAATAAAGTATATTTGCTTGACTTCCTTACAAAGTTGACTTCAAATAGAATTAGGCAGTTGGTTAGGTAGAGGTCTTGACGTGTAGGGAATTTCATGCTAAGCAAAATGGTGCAGTTAGTGGTGCCACTCGGTGATATCATGTAGTTGGTTCTCTATCCTCCCTTTATCTTCATTCTTGTGCAATTGATGCATGCGAAGCAAAGATACGGTTGAGGGTGGCAGCCAAACGGACCCCACTTTGGGCTAGTCTCGTCTCCACAACAGGCAGACGAGAGAAGAAGTAGTCATCTGTAAGCACAAAAGAAAAATGACTGATAGGAAAGTTAAAATTAGAAAAAGTCCTGTAAGCAAGGAAACTAGCTATAAGCAATGAAACCATCATAATGACATGTAAGCCACAGATGACATTGTACACAGAATTGTTATTTCAGATTTGCAGGGAATTGCCAATAATTGTGACCCACAGAACGATAGCTGGATTGAACTGGCCATGTGGTGGAGCTAGAATTACTCAGAGACAGTTTAAGCAGCAATAAGAAATATAATTGACTACCCTGAGAGATAGAAACCGGCCAACCACTCTAGAGCATGAAATAGACAGGCTTTACATTTCAGAATTTGAGCATCAGCAGAAAATGGTTATCCCTGCATTTTCATAGATCCTTTCCCATGTTCCTCATCACTGATGCAATACGTCACACCATTATTCTTTTTGTTTGATTGAAGTATATTCTTCCTGTCCTCTCTGATTTTCTTTGGGGAAAACTAATTCTCACTCAGAACTGGTCTTGTTCTTTGAATAAAGGAAGGTCCAGGAAGAAATCTTCATAATATTTTTTTTCTTGGCTCTCGATGGATATCTTCTGAGAAGCTTAATGAAATTGATCGATAAGCTTCAATGACGTCTCTGTAAACTTATAAGTCGTGCTTCACACAATTATTAAATTGCGAGAAATAAGCCAACAACACAATTTCAGAAACCAGAATTCTCAGAAGCTTAAGTTCCAACATAGTTGATATCGCATCTTACCCATGAGAAGAAATGAAGAGGTGTATCATGACAGACTAAGGTGTTTTTTTTTTTTTGGTAATAACAGCAAAAAATATAAACAATCAATTATGTACCTCCTAAAGTGCTTCCTGGTGTGGCGTTTCTGTAGGCAAACTTGCAAGCCAGATCAATGCTTTCAGAAGCATACCTGCAAAATTTACTAGTCCAGTTAAATCCACTTACATTTGGTTCTCCATCATACAACTGGTAAGAGGACATTCGTTATAAGATTTGGGAACTGGTATGCCAAGATTCCACGCATATTTTCTATGCCAAGCACATCTCCTACATATTCTGCCAAGCAATTTCATCCAAGGGAACAAACAGAAGTTCTTCAACAGCTCATTTCACCAACCGGGATGTGCATGTCAACATAGCAGAGTAGTACGTCGATCTGTTTCTACTTTTCATAGTGATCTAACACAACTACTTAAACCGATTTTTTCACTATGACGACAAATTAAAGCCACTTCAAGCCATAAAATATAACACACAGAATTCCATGCTTCTTTTGAGAGTGTCTACATAGATCAAGAACCTCAGAACCTTCATCACCACTTGCGCTCACACACACACTCACTCACAATAATGAGAGAGGGGTTGGGGGAGGGGGTTGTCGCGAAGGAAAGGGCTGAGAAAGGACGTATACTTACGGGTCTGGACAAACTGTGTGATCAGATGCGCAATTTGCCCATGATGAGATGCCACTAAACCAGCCATTCTAGTTCCATAAAACAATAATAAAAAAATAATAATTAAGATTTTGTAACGCATAATAAGAAATTGTAAAATGGTCTGTTTCAGGTGTGTGTTAGTGCACACATAAAAGAAAGTCTCAAGTCTACAATAAACTAACATTCCCACCAAGAGAATGAACTCCACTGTGTGTTGCAAACTGCAAAATGCTTAGCTTTTGGTGTAAATTAAATCAACACCAAAGGACATTTAGAAACACAGAAACATGTCCAACAGGGAGGATGAGAAACTAGACTCTAGAAAGGTTCTCAAAATCAAAGGTCCCTGGAAAAGTTTCCTGGATTTCCTTGAAAGGGCATAATTAGAGTCAGTTTAAATGCCCAATACATTATCATCCTTTTCTTCTTCTCATTTAAAAGATAAAGTTTGCATCAACCTCTAGAAAAAAACCAGTGAACAAGAAGCCAAAAAAATTGCTGGCTAAGATTGTTCAGACTGGAAGTACATAAAAACTGGGAGATCAAATAAGTCAAACTTTGGAAATTGAATACTAAAACAGCTTCCGTGTAAACATGTCTTATTCAGACATTACTTTTCCTTGATATGATGAACGCTTCCTTTCTGCAACAAAACAAAGTGCCACAGTGTATATCTCTCGCCTACCTTGTATCAAATGAAATTATAATAGAAATCTCAGCCAAATCTGTATGCAGCTGCATATATGGATATACCCAATTTGTACACAAGAAATTACTTAATATGGGTCTAGTAGCATTGAATATGTCAAAGCCACTTGATTATGTGCAACACTCTAACTAACTCTACTCACAAATGTAGTTGGAATCACAAAGCAAAAATATACCGTAATGTTGCTTTGAATAGCTTGTATCATGGTTGCAAGGTCCTTGTTATAAAATGTCTTCAGAGCAGAATCAATGATCATGGTGTCCCAAACCTAAAATAAACACAGTTGAAAGGATGACACAGAAACTAGATAAATGACCAACAACATCATAATGGCATAATGATAAACAGAAAATTAAAATCAGCAGCCAATGGCGATGTTCTAGGGCTTTACAATTCAGGATGCGATTAATGCTAGGCTTGGTCTGAATAGATACCACATCTCCCCCTGCTTAGCTTCTTGTAGTTACACTTTTCCTTTCTTTTCAGTAAACAAAACATTAATCTATAGCCTACAGCTACTAATGTTATACTTTGGTTGTACCTTATCATGGACTATGTCTGCTTTTTATTCTAAGAACCCCTCCTACTCCCCTAACCCCCACCCCACAAAACAATGAAAAAAGAAAAGGGAAATATGAAAAAAGACAACGGAGAAAAAGTAAAAACTTAATGTAAAATGTTTCCAAGTACCTACATGGTGCAAATTTGTCTTCCTGCGATACCAACGGACTGTTATCGTGTTTCCGCCTTCGTCTCCAAGGAAACCAGCATGTAGGGGCTGTCAACAAGTACGAGAGATATGTTAGACTAAACTTGCATTTCTCACTTTCTTCCAGCAACTTTTTGGATATGGAGTTGGTTTTGGCAGGAGACAAGTGAGAACAAAAGAAGCAAAATCCAGATGAACAATTGTGACATACATCAGCCATTAAATTGATATACCTAGTCATTGCAAGAGATGGGGCAACTACCCCATCCACAACATCTGAAGCAATTCCCCTCATGAATGTACTATTACAGCAATATAGCCAATAAATACTATGTGTCCATACGGATTATGCATTTCATATATTTATGAGGTCCATTAATGCAATATATAATCATTTACCTATTTTCCTGTAAGTAGAACATTAAGATTAAAAGAACTTAAGTGCAAAACTGTAGGATTAGGCTTTGTGTACTACACATCAGGAAATAATCACCATCCGATTCACTACACCAAATAGATGCTTAGCACATGAACAGATCATCTTAAGAAAAGGCTAAATTGCAGAAAGCTTAATCAGTGCTGCTCAGTGAGGCTGCATTGCACATCTCAATGCAAAATTTTTAAGCTCTGATATATACGAATCTACAACTGATCTATCCCGCCTATTTACAGGATAGTGGCATCCCAAAAAGAAGTCATAAAATTAAATAATCATTTGAAAAGAAAACCCAATATTGCCATCAAGGCATCAATTAATTATCTATCTTATTCTACAGCCAACACAATAGCCAAGGCCCTCTCCTTTTTTAATGCAAGTTCATCTCTGGGATTTAGTCTTTCCAGACATCATAAGAGATCTTGGTGCTTTCCTTTTTAATGTCAGTTCATGTCAGCGATATACTCTTTCCAAACTTCATAAGAGACCTATATGGTTGTATCTAAACTGAAATATAAGCAGATCTGAAAAACTACATTTATCAACCTTCCAATAACTTGAATTTCAAATATTACAGAACATGAATCCAAATTTTCCAAAAAATATGAACCTCCATGTTACATGCCAACATGACTTATACATTTTTGGAGCAATGCATTCATAATCAACATATACAAGATGTATTGTGAAGGGAAAGTGCATATCTCTAATCTCATCCCAGACACATTGCTCATTAGTAAACCAGAGCACAAATACTAAGTGGAAGTCCTTAAATCCTCAACAAGTCCGAATAATTTGTATTAGTTCTTAAAATTTGTGGGATCCAGTAGGAAGAGCAAACCTGATGGACATCCCCCACAAAATGCGATAAGAACATCAGTGCCTCCGTCAAATTGTCTGTAGTCAACAGAGGATGAGTCCTCCATATTTAAGCCACTAGCAAACCAGTCAATAACATGTGCTTACATTTTATCTCTGAATTTGAGTTGTAACCGGACATAAGTTGCATTGTATAGTTGTAAATTGCTCCAGTAACACATCTATCCTTTTGTTCAGCAGAGTCGTGGCAATCTCCTATCCAGCAAAAAGACAACATTGACTTATACATTTTTGAAAAGCACTAGATTACATTTTTGTCAACAAATCAAATTTCTGTAGGATATTGTATTTAAAAATTTCAGCTCTGCATAGCCCTTTGCAACTGGTATTCATCTATCACATAATATGACCGAAACACTCTACTTTAGCCAACAGTCAGAAATGGATATGTAAAACTGTCCGAATTCATTTGATACTTATCCCACTCAATAGTTGAAAAGATGAACAAAAACCAAAAATGTCATTGCCAGTAAAATAATTACTAGTTTATACCCAATCCATTGAAGGCATATTTTAGAAACAGAAGTATTGCAACGTAGCCATGAAGATAGAGTCAGTGAGGGAATAGAAGCAACATAACCATAAGTCTCTGCCATTAAAAAGAAACAAAATGAAGATTGTGGCAGTACAGCTAAAGAACCTCGAACAATGTTGGCTTTTCTGCTGCTACACAATAATTTTTAGGTTTATTGACAGTCAAGAACACCCAAAGTGAGAAGAAAATACTGACAGTCGGGCAGCACATGATTGCACAAACACATAGGATCTGCAGATCATAAAGCTCATAAATGAGAGCAATAATATTGGTCATTTGATGAGAACAAAGACTCATAAAGTAAGACGGCATATATAAAGTAATGTAAGAGCCTTTGACTAATTGGGAAGGTAACAGGTATAACTAGATCCAGAGACCATTATAACGACCTCTATGTAAGGGATAGCACTAGTGGAAACATGTTTAAAAAGCATCAGTGGAACTTACTGCAGTATGTATAGTTACACCTAAAATCAGGTGTGTCAACGTAATGTAAAGGACTACTCCAGCGGTAGTGGAACCGAACGTCATCAGGCCACGAGCAAACAGCGGCAAGATCACCTTCAGCATGATCTGGGATCAATGCCTTCACCGCAGTCACCGTATCTTCAGTAAGATATCCCTAAAACATTCATAGAATTTAAAATCAATTTCCTAAAGAAAGGTTTTCAATCTACGTGTTCTTTTCTCGAGAGGACAGGTTATTAACACTCCTCTTCATGGGCAATAGAAGCATGAGTGTGAGATAAAGAATGTAAAGAAAGTAGCATCTCTCTTTAGTAATTCATGGCACAGACATGAGGAAAAAGAGTGACATTTAGCTCTCCGTAGATTACACATCTTGCAGATCCATACACATAAGATCAAAATATACAAAACAAAGAATAAACTATACCCTCGAAGCTCTCATTGGTAATCCAAGGTAAATGGAGAGTTCCTGCACTCTATCTGTCTAAATTACAAGACAGATATTAGAAATCCAACAGTCCTGGCTCCTACAGCCCAACTATTACGATACTTACCAAACCAATATGTCTTTTTCTGTACCAAATTTGGCTATCATTTTATGCTTATAAATCCAAAAGATCTTCCCGTAAGTCCCTTACTAGACAAAGCCGTAAATAGAGAAGAAATAAAGAACGCACCCCTGAAATAGAACACAATGTTAATAAACTCCCGACAACATAATTTTTTGAGTTGTGAAAATAGCAGCCGAAACATTTTATTTCCACACTCAGATATTGAGTTGAGTTGACTCAGGCAATGTTTCACTCACAAACAACACTCCAGATATTGATATTCCCATAACCAAAACTTCAAAAACAAACATGCATTACTCATAACTCAATGTCAAATGTTTGGGGAAAACGGTACATTTCTGAAATTCAGGATTTTTTGTTATGGTAAGTCGAGTTGTGGTGTTTTTTAAATAGGTTCAATTAATATTATTCTTCAAGACTTCTATGCACACACACTGTTATGAACACAACCATTGATCCAAAAGCCCCAGGACTTGTGGGGATTTAGAGCTCATAACTATTTGAATGTAATATTTCACCACGCCCAGACCCGACATCCACGGCAGCTCACTCTAGGTCCAGCAGTAACCCTTTCTCTTTGGCGACTACACTCACCTACCAGTATTCATCACGATAGTGCTATACACATTCATAATACTAAAATACTTTAATCCAGCCTATAGATCGCCTATTTCATGACTCAGAACTCATGACGTGAGAGCTCGTAAATCTCGCTCGTAACTATTTGAATGTAACACACACTGATCTAAGTAACTATGACCCTTTACACAGTATAAAGTAAACCAAAGCACCCAATTTTATCAAAGAATCATGTGAAGTTGTTCACCTCAGCAATTTTACAAATAGCGTAGTGCCCTTCCTTTCCCCATCCAAGAATTCTTGGAATCAATAGCAGAAAAACAAGTGCCCTCCCAATCCAACAGAGATCAAACCCTATCATATCTGCTAATTATGATCAAAGATATTTTAGAAAACACATTCCATCTATTACACATACAAACAAGCCTCACTAGTTATGAACTGCCAAAAGTAAAAACAGATGTACCTGAAGCTTTCAGGTGTTTCGAAAACCCTCGATCGCAACTTCGCAAGCCCAAATTCTAAGTACACTCTGTTACGAGCGAACTTCACTCAACGGTTTTGTAGTTGCCTGTGATGAAGTCCGTTGACTAAAGGGGGAAAGCACCCCTGGTATATTCGCGGTAACCTATCTTATACACTAAAGGGGGGAATCACAATTTTATACAGCAAAAAATTTAAGTATTTTTATTTTGTATTAAATTTTTTTACATTATTTCTTTAATGTGTTAAAAATATTATAATGTGATTTTTTGTTAGTTTTCTTTGCTTATTCTATTTAAAATTATCCATTAACAATGATAGAATAAACAACAAAAATTAATAGAAGGATTACATTGAAATATATTTAACACATGGAAAGTATAATATAATAAATTTATTTTTTAAAGGCATAAAATAAAAAAATTTAAATCTTTTGGTGGAAAAAATGAAATTCGTGATATACTTAAAAAAAAATCTAGGAAAAAGATGATTCAAAGAATTTTATGGATTAGTCTATGTTACCACTTTAAACTTCTTGATAACTACTTAACTTTTGAATTTTTGGGTGTATGGGTGGTGGTGGTGGTGGCTGTGGAGTAGGTTGAGAGTAGAGGCGACAGTGTTAGTGAAAAGTGTTAATTTTAAACTAACACAACAATTTCTTAATTCTAAGAGAATTTTGAATAATGCTAGGCAAGGAGAATAAAGTCTAGGAACACCGCGACTTTATACCTTAGAAGATCTTTATATTCTTAATTTATACATTAAAAGATTAAAATTTTTACATTATATTTTCATTAAACTTTGCTTCGGAATTAAAAAATGGGAGAAAATTTTCTATGCCCATGAGACACCACATGGCATCACTTATAAATTATTGTACATTCTAAATCAATTATTGTTATTTGTAAAGTTGTTATAAATTTTTTTTAAAAAAAATCAATTTATGTTTCTAACGAGTAATTGTTGTGACAAATTTTTTGTTGGGTGTAAGAATCGTAAGACACTACCACGTAGTACGTGCTAAGCATTGAATATTTTTTTCCAATACAAGAAATATGAGAAAATTTGGTATTTAATTTCTGGCGAAACGTCACTAAAATTGGCGTTTTATTAATAAAAATAATAAAAAAAAAATTCATGCTTAATTTCCGACGTTTAAATTAAATGCCACAAATCCTAAATTAAGAATAATAAAAAGTTTTTCCCTAATCTCTTGACTTCTCTCTCTCTCTCTCCCCGACGAACTCATCAGAAAATGACCTCATCAAATGCCTAATCTCTCAACTTCATTTTCATTTTTTCCTCTCTGTTACAATCTTCATTGATTTTTTTTCCTGCGGATCTCCATTGATTTTTCCCTGGCAATTGGGACATCCCTCTCTCCTCTCTCTCTCTCTCTCTCTCTCTCTCTCTCTCTCTCTCCCTCGAGGGTGAACATGTGAGAGTCGAACATGAGACCTAAGGCTTGGATCCATGTATATAGTCTCGCGTTCTACCCGAGGGCCTAAGGCCAATGAAGCGGGCATTGATTTGTAGATTATAGTCGGATACCAAGGTGAAATGGTCATTGCTCTTGCCATGGAAGTAGAAGACAATGCCATCTCCTCCTATGAACCCAGGATCATAACATGCTGCTCCAGGGCCATCGCAATTTGGTTTCCGAGCTGTTGGATACACAAGATTCAATTGGAATGTTAATAAAAGAACGTACTTAGTGCACCAGACTTCCGTCAATTTGAATGTTAATAACTTATATAAATAGTCCCAAGAACTAAAAGAAGCATGACCAAAAGCCATTGTCCATTACTAGAACTTCAAGCTGCTAGGGTCATCAACTCAAAACAGGAAGACATAAAAAAAAATTTAATTATTATGGATGGTTGATAACCAATGTTTTATACCCTATGCATATATAGACTTTCATCACATTTTTTTTTGACAAGGTTTTTAAAAGGTAAGGAGTACCATTAGACTAAAAACTGATTGATAACAAAAATAGGAAGACATAAAAACATAAAATAATAACGAAAATCCATTGGTGGCGGCAACCGAGTTATGTCGTTCGTATGTTGAAGACTGATCAGTTATTCTAATCCAATTCTTCAATTAATTGCATGTCTTGACACTAATTTGACATGAGAATTAATAATATTTATTTGGGTTGACTCGCATAACCGGTAAACCAAAAACATAAAACTTAGACAACCCTTCTTTCAATTAAACTCCCCACCCATATATCCACATAAACTAACTTTTTTTTTTTCCACATAAACTAACTTTAGAAGTGCACTCTATCAAATAAAACAATCTTGTAATTCTACAAAGACCTTTATACAATATATTGTACATAAATAGAAGAAAAAAAATGAAAAAAGAACATATTTTATCTTCATATAGTTAATACCTTTTAAACTAGTTTATTGTGTCAAAATTGAGTGAATTCTGTTTGACACTAACTTGACTCGCATTTATTATTTTTACGATCACATTGTGTTATTTTTTTAGCATAATTGGCTAATTGCATATTAGGTTCGTATTGTTTTAACATGTTGGATCAAAAGTTATCACACTTGGAATCGATAAACATAGAATAAATTAGGGATAGACAATCTTACTTCTACAAACTGCGTCGCATTTGGGTGAGTAACAATCAAGAAAGCATCCTTTAGAATTTGGATCAGCAGGTTGAACCTTGGGACATTCCATTGGGCATGTCACATATTTCAGAAAACATTTGCTCCCACGGTTGTATCAAGTAACACTCTGCGGTTTTACTGGTTTGGTTTTTGCTTCTGTCACCATTAAGGAAGCATATAAGAGCATAAGAATCATGACGAATTCAATGGTTAATGGCTTCGCCATTTTACGTTGAAGAAAATTCGAAAACTCGAAATATGAGGCAAAGTACAAGGATACAATAGATTAGCTCAGGCTCTTGTGTTTTATATAGGTTTTAATCAGTGAATTGTCTAGTTGATTTTGAAAACAGGTTCTCTTTGATCTGCAGTCTACAAGTGAGTGGAGATCCAGCAAACATATTTAAGATCATGTTTGGTTGAGTTTGGTATTTGAAGACTTCTTGGGGTCTATTGTGTCAAGTGGCCAAACTACAAGTCTGTACTGTATCACAACATGGTGACTTTGATAAGACGAACTAGTGCAGAAAGACAGATCTGCATGAGGCTCAAAATTATATGGTTTCAATTTTTTTTGTCTAGCAAGTGGTTTGTGAAATATTCAAGAGGGTTACGAACATAATAGAAGAATCTAAACATGATTTAAGAAAGATTAAACATGCATATTGTTCCAACCATTTCGTGTGATAATTGATTTTAAAATTTAAACTTATTTAATTGATGAGTCGATACCGAATGAAATATAGCTTACACGATACTATACACAACTATAAATGATTAACATATAAGTTGAATAAATTTTAACGACACAATTTAAGTCGGACATGAATCTACCTGCCCTAAAATACCTAGAGCCTTAATGGCTTTTTTCTCTTATATTTTATATATTTTTAAATAAAAATACATAATTCCTTTGTGATTATATAAAAATTAAAATCACTGTGTAATAAAATACTATATCATTTTGAAAATATCTTTAAAAACAGGGTAATAACAGAAATGTTCAAACATTTTGACGTAAGACAGTAAATTTATGTAAGTTTACAAACGCCGCCAAAAGACAAAAACCAATTATATGCCGATTCAAAATAAATTATACTTTGCATTCAGGCCCCACTCTAAATTATATTTCTAATTCCGCCCCTGATGAACCTCGTTTCGATCACCACGACCACCTCTTTCAATCATGAAGGCCGTAGTGATCACAAGCCCAGGCGGTCCAGAAGTCTTCAAGAAGTCTCAGACCCAGAAGTCAGAGACGACGAAGTTTTGATCAAAGTTGTGGCCACTGCTCTCAATCAAGCCGATACCCAACAACGCAAAGGCTTATACCCACCTCCCAAGGGTGCTAATCCATACCCAGGTCTCGAATGTTCTGGAACCATCGAAGCCGTCGGCAAAAATGTCACTCGATGGAAAATCGGCGACGAGGTAAATTCATTTCTCGGGAAATTTGAAGAGTACAAGGTGAAGTATTTTTTGAACTCTCTTTTCTGTGAATTATCATTGATTATTTCTTAATTGTTTTGAATTTACTAAAATCAGCTTTTATACAATACGTTATAGAATTATTTATTTTAATAAAATTTCAAAAAATAATTCAAACCTTGCCATGATTTGATATAAAGTAATTTGAGATCAATTTATCAAATTATCAATAATTTAGGCTAATTTTTTTTTTATCTCATAATCACTCGGGTAGAACTAAATTTTATCATTTATCTATATATTATAAAGTATAAATTTAAAACTATAGAGAGCCATGTAAAATGAAATCAAAGCATCATTTTAGAGATATAAGTTTATTTTGAAGACTGGAGGAGGGTAAACATAATTTTAGAGGGCTAAAGCATAATTTTAAAAACTTGAGGGGTTGTGGTGGGGGCCATGGCCCCCCTAGGCCATATCATGGCTCTGTCATTGCTGTAGTTTTAGAAACTTTCACGTTTATACTGTCTAGTTGGCCAAGCTAAGCCTGAGAGAGTTAAGGCAATTCACAGTCTTTGTCAATGTTGTAAGTTCGATCAGCCCTCTGAATAGAGACTTGAAACATAGGGAATAAGCATGGAATGTCCTTTTTTTGCATTTTAATGGCTTCAGACTTTTCCCCACTTCTTTTATTTTGGGTACTAGTTTGTAGAATGTTCAGAACCAGAAATTATATGACCTGGCTTTGTAGTGATTTGAGAAATTGTTGTACACAGGTGTGTGCTCTTCTCAGTGGAGGAGGGTATGCTGAGAAAGTAGCTGTACCAGTGGGACAAGTTCTTCCTGTTCCACCTGGTGTTTCTCTGAAAGATGCCGCTAGTTTCCCTGAGGTGGCATGCACTGTTTGGTCAACCGTCTTTCTGATGAGCAAGTTATCTGCAGGAGAGACATTCCTGGTAACCAAGAATCTATCTATCTTCCAGAAGCGTTATTTTCTACCACTATGCATGATAAATGTTGAAATGCGACCATTAGCTAGTATGTTTGACATTTGTGGAAGAGTGGTGGATAGTTGTTCTATACTGACTTGAAGACCACATTAATAACTAGCAATGTGATTGTGTGACATTTTTTATATGCTTATTTGTGAGATTTTGGTTGGAATACTTCTCCAGTGGCCTTGAAACTTTCTTAAATCCCCATAAATGGTAAGATAGTGATCATGTAGTTGCCAAGTTCTTGTCTGACTCTGATTTTCAAAAGATGGACTGTGGATAAATTAAAAGCTTCATATATTTATGTTAAATTGTTCAAATGGAAATAAAACTAGATAATACTATGGTGCTGACATAGTGTAGATATATATATATACATCTATTCATCAAATATGGAATTTTTCACAGTACTTGTTCAGTATGAATGATTTCTTCTCCCCTTCGACATGTCACTCTCATTTTCAAATCCTATCACCCTATGTTCCACTAAAAGCTATTGACTGTTGAGTAATGAAATTTCAGGTACATGGAGGCACTAGTGGAATTGGTACATTTGCAATTCAGATGTCTAAATATCTAGGAATCAAAGTGTTTGTCACTGCAGGTTTACTAACAAAAACTTGTCTGCTGGCATATTTGTGTTGTGACACCAATTTAAATCTCATCTTGCAGTTGTATAACAGTTTTTCTTTATCAGGAAGTGAGGAAAAATTGGCTGCTTGCAAGGACCTCGGGGCCGATGTCTGCATCAATTACAAGACAGAAGATTTTGTTGCACGAATGAAGGAAGAAACAGGAGGGAAAGATCACACAATCCTCAATTTTAATTTTGGCTGACATAGCTACTCTTGTTGCAGCTACTTCTCTAAAAAGATATTAACCTTCCTTTTCTTTCATATCACATTAATTCAAATCAAGGAAATCTAACCTCAGACTACTCAATGACACGTGTTGATGTTATTCTAGATAATATTGGAGCAGCATACTTCCAGAGAAATCTTGACAGCCTAAATATTGGTGGGAGGCTTTTCATTATTGGCTTTATGGGTGGAACGGTTACAGAGGTAAATCTTACAGGTTTGCTTGCAAGACACCTCACGGTGCAGGGTATGCTCTAATGCCCATAGCGATACATGGTTTCTTTTTGTTCTTGGGTTGTGGAGTATTACTAATACAACTGTACTTTTCCAAGGTGTTTCTTTTTGGTTCACATACACAATGTAGCAATAACCTTAAACTAACTTAAGCAGGAGGACAATTGGGTAACCACATAAGGGTACTTCTCTCATGTGGAACATTTCAGTGTCCTCCTAATTTTGGAGAAACATATGAACCTTTGATGTCAATGCAGTTTGAGATAACTTGCCTCATAGGTTTTGAGTTTATGGGTAAAAGTTACAATAGCCCTTTCAGATTGAACAATTAAAACGACAAATACTCAGCAAAAATGTGGTATTGATTCTGTTGAACTTCATTGATTATCTGTTCAGGGGTGATGATATAGATTAATGCATCATGTAACAAGAAAAGATTTTAGGAGCATTCCAATAACTTTAAGGAAACCCGTGGTATTTGTTTCTTGCTAGAGAAATAATCTGTTTTCTAGAACCTAGTTTTGGTATGTTTGGAAACTGAGATTCTCTTTCCTCGAGCATTACCATCATCATAAGTCGTAGACATTGATGGAACCTTTGTAAGTATTATTGTGCTCGACAAGTTATTCACCAACTTTACTTTGTGCAACGATTAGGCCCTGTATCTTTCCCCATGGATCCATCCTAGGATTGCTTCTCAGTAGTTTCTCTTGTATTCCTTGGACTGACAGCTAGTTGTTAAATTAATCTATGCTTCCTATATTCCTTTTGGATCCCAGTACATAACCACCTTTTTTGCTGCAAAAACCGACAATGAGGATACTCCCCTTATTCTATGTTTAGTTGTGACATTATGTTGAGATTCATTATAGATTTGGTCATTTATATGGATTATGAACATCGTGTGTACTGTAACCTTGGGCTGAATCTGTATATATTCAAACTATCTTGTCTTGTTTTTTTATCAAACTGTGACATTATATGTAGCGGGTGGATTGCGAAGTAGAAGTCCAGAAAACAAAGCCGAGATTGTAAATAATGTGGAGAAGAACGTTTGGCCTACAATATTGGCAGGCAAAGTGAAACCCGTCATCTATAAGTATCTTCCATTAGCCGAAGCAGCAGAGGCTCACCGGTTCATGGAAAGCAGCAACCATATTGGAAAGATACTCCTTGTTCCATGACATTCCAGTTGGTCATGTCTGAAGAGGATGATGTGATCAAAGACAAGTTACCTTGGTTGTTCAAATTTGTGAAGTCAATAATTCTTGTTTTTATAAGGCATTGTACATTGAGAACAAAAGGCAGTATCTTTGTTGGACTATTTTGTTTGTAATCTGCTAGAATTTGTGTTCTTCCCCATGCTGATGTATTATATACTAGAATGAGAATCACGCCATAAAGTGACCCGCTTGGATTAGATGAACTTTCCGGTTTGCACCAGTTTTGTAAAAATTCGTTCGGTTTGATTGGTTTTTTAGTGGTTGGAGTATTTTTTTTTTTTTTTGGGTGTGGGTGGTTGGAATACTTAAACGATTCGATTTTAGAACCGGACCAGCTAAAACACCTGTTTAACAGTTCATTGGGTTTACCTTGTCGGTCCGAATCAGTTTTAATAATATACTTAGATTTGAACTAAAAAATTCTCAATTTAAATTGAATTTAGATTATATTTGAGTTGAGATTTCGAGTTCACAAGTTTAAACTTGAATCTAACCTGAAATCACAATTCGGGTTTAACTTGAAGTTAATATATCTACACACACAAAATTTAATTATATTTAGATTTTTATTGAATTTATGTTTGTCGAACTATTTTTTCATACCTAAAATTGAATCTAAATCATGAACCCTAATTCAAATTGAATTATGAACTCAATTTGAGTTCGAATTAGTTAATTCGAACACAACCTGAATTGAGTCCCAAATTAATTCGGGCACTACTCGAATTGAGTAGGGTAGCTTAAAAGTCGGGATTGAATTAAATTAGGGTTAAAAATTCTATAATTTGGGTTGGACGTGAGTGGATCATCTGACCCGACTTGTAAACCCAATGTAATGAGGTGGGTGGCACATTGCATATTTAACAGTAGCGCTGATACAGTTGACAGTAGCACAGTCGTGTTAAGTTGTCCAACCCCTTCGCTCTCCTACACCCCCTTCATCACCAACCTCTTTCCCATCACCACCATTAACCATGAAGGCCGTAGTGATCACAAGCCCCGGCGGCCCAGAAGTCCTGCAACTTCAAGAAGTCTCAGACCCAGAAATCAGAGACGACGAAGTGTTGATCAGAGTTGCGGCTACCGCCCTTAATCGAGCCGATACCCTTCAACGCAAAGGCTCATACCCACCTCCCAAGGGTGCTAGTTCATACCCAGGTCTTGAATGTTCCGGAACCATCGAAGCCGTCGGTAAAAATGTCACTCGATGGAAAATCGGCGACGAGGTAATTCAAAATTCCGCGGAAAATCATTGCTGGGGAAATTTGAAAAGTGTATAGCGCAGTATTTCTTGTGCTCTTTTTTCTGCAAAGAATGGATTTTTAATCTAAAACAAAGTTAACTATTTCTTGGGAACCAATTTTTTTTTTCCCGAAAAAAACTATTGTTTTTCGATGTTCTGCAGTACATTATTGTAAATTCTGATGCTGTGTATCTGTGTTTGGTTGCTTAGATAAGGGTAGAGAAAGAGGATGTGATTGAAATTTTGGATTGTGTATATTCAGTTTACTGGGGTAAGTGTTTGATTTTATAATAGAGAATGAGACATTTTCCTTCTTTCTGTAATATCAGAAGAAGTTATTCATAATTGGTCATTTATTGATGCCAAAACAATTCTAAAAGGATATTGATGGGACTTTTCTGAAAAACCCTATGATGAAGACACGTGTCCTCGGTTTACTAAAACACTGTTGCTAGGATCAAGCACCATCAGCGCACGAACGTCCTCGCCCCCGAGGTACCGACATATAGGATCATACATTCGGTATATTTTACACCGACACGTGGCCTCGGCCTGATATGTATCTCGATCGGTATACCTCCCTCGTCCCCGAGATGAGTCTTTCCTCGGTGCCGAGAGGTACCCGTCCTGGACGCTTTCTCTACTCCAGGATAAGCTATTGACGTACAGGTCACTAGCTTAAGCTAGTCTAGGCTATTCATCATGACCTCGTCTTACACAAGTAATGTCAGAATATACTGGAATACAGAGGTCACAGCCAATAGGGGATGGACGCGTGGCAAATGATGTCACATCAAAAACAGACAAACCGCATGCCGTTGCTGACACGCGGCTTGGGAAAGCAAACAATTAATTGCACCCTTCCGTTGATGAGACCGCATTCAATGCGGTAAGGCTCGGAAATGAAAGGCAATAAATGCTCCTATTACAGAGCATTTATTGCATCCTCCCCGAGAGGAGCACATTGTACCGTCGGCATCCCGACGACTCAGCATTGATTGCTCGGGACCCTGAGCAGTTAATTAGAGAAGACATTCCTTATCAGAATCAATGCACACGCTACCTGTGCCTAATGATCACCTACTGACCACACTGACAGCAATCATGAGCTTTTAAGGTATAAATACTCCTCCCAAAAGGCAAAGCGGGTATGCAATAAAAAACTCTCTATTACAACACACTCAGTGTTTTCTCGATCCTCTCTCTCTCTCTCAAAGACTGACTAGATTGTCGGAGGGGATACGCCAGAAAATATTCCGGCGCCCTTCTAACTTGTTCTTCTTTGTTCCAGGAACCACTTCCAGCCGTATCGGACCGTCACTCCTTTCCCAGGGTCTCCCGCTGCCGTTCCAGGTTACCACCGTACCGTGCAGGCTGTCCCAAGCAGCGTGTTTGGTCACTCCACCGGCTCACTCGAAGTTCACCAGGGGAGAGATCTGTTCCCGTTTTTTATATTGTGCAGGATCTTGCACGCACAGATATGGTAGTTCATGGTTTAACCGAAAATACGACTATTGAGCACAATGGAGAAAAGAATCATTTAGCCGACCTAGAATAGTTTTTTTTTTTCGGCTAGGTAAAAGGGTGAAGGAGTGACTATTAGGTAGTAAACCCCTGGTGTGACCATGAGGGTCCCAGTGGAATTTCCGGTTTGAGCCATAGCTACCAACCCGGAAGGGCGGTGACCGTTACCACAGCACCACCAAATCCAAACAGTACATTGCACTACTCCCGTGAAGTAAACTTTACTAGTCCCGTGAATCCAACTCTACTTGATAATCACGTGATACGGTTTACCGCTAGACTATCAGCTCGGGTGGTGACCCTAGAATAGTTGGGATAAAGGCTTCGTTGAATTAAGTTGAATTAAACAATTCTAAAAGGAGTTTTTGCTCAGTAGACTGGAAACTCTCCTGTGTCTTTCTCTTGTGAAGTTAATTGTGTGGCTTAATTGATAATATAGTTAAGAATCTTTCACATCTCTATTTTCTAGTTCCTGTTTGTTTCTGTCTTTAGTTTTTTATTTCTTTGTATCTTTCTCCCCCTGGTGTATGATATGATGTTATGAATCAATCCTCAGTTGCCGCCATACAAACTTCTTAATGGATCAGCCATTTTTGACAAGCTATACCTGATAGAATTAAGGCAATTCACAGTACGTATCAACATTGTATTGTAAATCCTCTCTCTCAATTAGAGACTTGAAACTAGAAAGCAGGAAACCTCCTCCTTTTATCTTACTGGCTTCTAAGTTCTAACTTTTCCTCCCCTTCTTTTCTTGTGTGCACTGCTATGTAAAAAAATATTTAGAACAAAAATTAGGTAAACTGGCTGTGGAGGATTTGAATTATTGTGGTATGCAGGTATGTGCTCTTCTTAGTGGAGGAGGTTATGCTGAGAAAGTAGCAGTACCAGCTGGACAAGTTCTTCCTGTTCCACCTGGTGTTTCTCTGAAAGATGCCGCTAGTTTCCCTGAGGTGGCATGCACTGTTTGGTCTACCGTGTTTATGATGAGCCGTCTAGCTACTGGAGAAACATTCTTGGTAACTTATAACTACCTTTCAGAAGCATGTTTTTCCACCTCTTAATTCTTATGAATAGCAAATCTTGAAGTGCAACCTTAGTCTAGTGCCTACATTAGCTAGTGCAATGTTTGTTATTTGAAAGAGATAGGTGGATGTTTATTAGGCAAATCCATCATACTTTATGCAGTTGAGCTGGCTCTCCAGGGGTCTTGTAACTTTCTGAAATCCTCGGAAAATGTCAGATCTTGGAGTTACAAAATTGATTTCTTCCTCTGATTTGCAAAAGATGGCTGGGGAATAAATTTAGAACTTGAGACATTTATTTGAAGATGTTCAGTTGGAAATAAAACTTATAGAGATATGGTGCTGACTGCTGAGGTAGTAGTGTAAAGGTATAATGTGTATAAATATGGGATGTTTGGCTGTAATTGTTGATATTAAATGCATTCTTCTCCCCTTCAATATGTCACTTTAACTTTCCACTCCTATAACTTGATGTTCCACAAAAACCTATTGAGGAGTAATGCAATTTCAGATACATGGAGGCTCTAGCGGGATTGGTACATTTGCAATTCAGATGGCTAAATACCTAGGAATCAAAGTATTCGTCACTGCAGGTTTAATAGCAAACATATTTGAGTCGCTATGTCAATTTAAATCTCATCTTGTCATGTGGACATATAACAATAATGTTTATCAGGAAATGAGGAAAAATTGGCTGCTTGCAAGGATCTTGGGGCCGATGTTTGCATCAATTACAAGACTGAAGATTTTGTTGCACGAGTGAAGGAAGAAACAGGGGGGAAAGGTTACACAATTCTCTCAAATATCATAATTTCATTTCATTACTTTGATTTTGTTGAAATAGCTGCTCTCGTTGCAAGATCAGCTTATTCATGAAGGGCATTGGCTTTTGTTTTCAGTTGTATCACATTAGTTCGTTTTAGGAAAATCTAAGGTCATACTATTCAACGACAGGTGTTGATGTTATTCTCGATAATATTGGGGCAGCATATTTTCAGCGGAATCTTGACAGCCTAAATATTGGTGGGAGGCTTTTCATTATTGGCTTTATGGGTGGAACGGTCACAGAAGCAAATCTTGTAGGTTTGCTTGCAAGACGGCTCACAGTGCAGGGTATGTACTCATGCCCTTTACCAATAGTTTTTTTTTTTTTTTATTGGGCTATGGAGTATGGCTGGTATAATTATACTTTTCCAAAGTGTTTCTATATGGCCTCCGATACAATATAGCAATATCCTTGCGCCCAATTAAGCAATAGGACAATTGTGTTACCAGATGAAGGATACTTTCTACGTGCAACTTTGAAGTGGCCTCCTTCCTAGTCGTGTAGAGATGTATCATTTATTATATCGATGCAGGTTTGAGCACAACTTGACCTTCATAGGTGGTTGTTCGTATCAGGAGGTGCAATAGCCCTTAGAGATTGGACAATGACACCAAAGAATATTCAACAACCATGTTGTGTTGCTTTTGATCTGTATTGATTTTCCGTTGAAGGATGATGATATTGATTAGCAGATTAGGAGGCCATCCAATAATTTTGAGGAAAACCATAGTATCATTGTTACTTCTTGCTCGAGGAATAATCTGCTTTCGAGAACCCAGTTTTGGGACGATAGGAAAGTTAAATTGGAAACTGAGTTTCTCTTTCTTCTAGAGCATTTATTTCATGTATCATAATTACTAAACACTGAAGGATCATTTAACAAATTTATTTAGGCTCTACAAGTTATGATTCCAAATTTGTGCATCAATTAGGCCACATCTCCTTTCCTATGGATCCATCTTAACATTGCTTCTCATTAGTTTCTCTTGTATTCTTTTGGCTGCCAGTCAGTGGATTGTTAAATTTATGAGACTGCCAATAATGATCCCATTACATCTCAGCATATCACCACATCAACCAATCACCTTGACGAAACACACCTGATGATTTTTCTTGCATTATATTAAAATTCACTGTAGAATTGGTCTTTTATATGGATAATCAGCATTTTGTTTGGTGTAATCCCTCTAATTTTTTCTGTTGGAGAATTATTGCAGGCTGCTTAATCTGTACCCTTTCACACTGTATTGTCTACTTTTATAACCGTGACTTTGGATGCAGCGGCTGGATTGCGAAATAGAAGTGCAGAGAACAAAGCTGAGATTGTAACTGATGTGGAGAAGAACGTTTGGGCGGCAATACAGGCGGGCAAGGTAAAACCTGTGGTCTATAAGTATCTTCCGTTAGCTGAAGCAGCAGAGGCTCACCGGTTAATGGAAAGTAGCAACCATATTGGAAAGATACTCCTTGTTCCATGACACTCCGGTTGGTCATGTCTGAAGAGGATGATGTGATTTTGAACCTTGTGTTAAGCAGGTGATCAAGGACAGATTATGTTCTTTGTTAATGTCTATTACCTTGAGAACAAAACGAAGTCACTTGTTGGATTTTTTTATATATAATCTGTTAAACTCTCTGTTCTTCCGAGTTAGTGATATTATTATATGCTAGTGTTACTTGTGATTACACCGTAAGAAGTTCAGTGATTGAGTCTGACATTCAGTAACTCAAAAGTCTCGAATTCAATCAATTCTCACACCCCTCAAGTAACTCGTGGAAATAGTCTGTACAAGTTGCGAAAGGAAAAAAAAATACAACAGGTGGGTACTTTCTCTTCTGGGTTAAAATGTAAGTAGGTGGTTAAAGTGTACATGAATAGATGAACTATATTTTAAAAATCAAAATATAAATAAATATTTTTTTGTAATTAAAAATTCATTACAATTTATGTTTGAATGAGGAGTTTCTTGTTTTATTATACAAATTAGAATGGGGATTATGCCATAAGACTTTTTGTTAATAAGTAATTTAATGTTGTTCTAATTAAAAAAATTAATGTAAAATTTGGGGAAAAAATTAGAACGGGATTCAAGAAGTTAGACATGTCAAGAGTGGGGATGTTGATCCGAATCAAACCCAAATCTTAAATGATCGATTATCTAAATTCAATTTTTTTATGAAACATTTGACGAATATGAATTTAAATATACTAATACCTATTTTGATTATGATCTAATTTTTTTTAAGCAGATTCGGATATCCGATATAAATCAGAGACATAGGGGCAGTCAACCGTAAATAGGTGGAACAAAGCTTTACTTGGAATTTATGCTCCGTTGGGAGGATGAAAAATAAGAGGGATACATTTTTTATCCTTCAAAGATGGAAAGTAAAAAAAATACACATTCTTTCCTTTGTGTTTGATTAGATGGATGGAAAATAAAAATGACTATTTTTTTTTTTTGTAATAGCTAAGATTAGGGGTGACAATCAAATAATATCGTATTAAATTCGTGTTAAGTCATTACGAATTTATGTCGAATATTAGTTAAATCTAACTTAACTCATTTAACTAATTGTATCGTATCGAGTTACGAATTGACCTTTTTATTTTCGTATAGAGTTCAAATTGTATTATCGTGTTGAGTCGAAAATTTTCATCCTTAGTTAAGATGGAAAAAATATTTTTTTAATATAAAATTTTTAATTTTTTTAATTTTTAATTTTAGGGTTAATCTCATTTTGCACCCTAAAAGATTGTTCAAATCTCAAGTTGCACCCCCAAAGATCAAAAATCTCAATTTACACCCTCAAAGATAGAAATTTGTATCAATGTGCATCCACAAAGATAAAAAAACTCAATTTATACCCTCAAAGATAAAAATTTGTATCAATGTGCACCTAAAATTAAATTGATAAATTATACCTAGATCCCCTCATGTTTGTCACTTAATCATTTGAACTCCTTCACATTTAGAATATTCCCCTTACATGTCATGACGTTTGTGCATGTGTAACACATAACCACTTTTCGTTGATATCTGTTAATATAATCATTAAAAAATATGATTTTATCCTAATAAAAAATTATAATTTCACATTACCTTTTATTTTGTAAATTCGATATACTCTAAAGTTAAAAATCAAGCTTACCATTTCAATGTCTAATAAAATGTAGATATTTATATAAAATGTAATATGAAAAATATTATATAAATATTTACATTTTATTAGACATTCAAATGGTAAACTAGATTTTGAACTTTATAATATATTAAACCCATAAAATAAAGGGTAATATGAAATTATAACTTTTTATTAGGATAAAATTATATTTTTTAACGGTTATATTAATAGATATCAATGAAAATGAGTTACGTGTTATACGTGCACAAATGTCATAAGATGTAGGAGTAATATTCTAAATGTGAAGATGTCTAAATGATTAAGTGACAAGTATGAGGGGATCTAAGTATAATTTATCAATTTAGTTTTTAGGTGCACATTGATACAAATTTCTATCTTTGAAGGTGCAAATTGAGATTTTTTTATCTTTGAGGGTGCACATCGATACAAATTTCTATCTTTGAGGGTATAAATTAAAATTTTTGATCTTTGAAGGTGCAAATTGAGATTCGAACAATCTTTCGAGGTGCAAAATGAGATTAACCCTTAATTTTATTTTTAAAATTTTTTAATAGATATACATATATTTTACATTATATTTTTATATGAAATTAATATATACATAATATATGTATATATAAAAAAATATATAGACAAATAAGATAAATCTCAACACAAATAATTAACTTTTCATTTACTTTTCTTCCGATTTTGGAGGGATTGAATTTTGTGAGTTTGAAAGAAAGTTAATCCATCCACTTTTTCATTCTTCCTACTTTCCTTCCCTACCAAACATGATGTTTTATTTATCTTTCCAACTTTTCATCCTCCCTCTTTTCTATCATATCAAACAGAACATTACTCTCGAGTATTTCATAGTTCCAGGTATAGTGGACTATCAGTAGGATTTGAACAATTCAAAAGACAATGGAGGTAAGGATATGGAAACCCCATTTTAAGAACAATAAGCTATATTGCACTAATTACAAGTAGCACTAGATAGAGGTTAAAGGACCACACCATAACTGGTAGAAGAGGACATGAAACCCTTCGAAGAGTAGCACGAAATAGCCAACACAAACTGATCAATCCGAGTCCTCCAACCAAAAATGCAGGAGAGGAATTTCACCCACTACAGAGAGCTTGAATTGCCAAGCTTTTCAAGACTCCAGGACAAGGGTCTCCAAGGTTAGCTGTAGATACTGGAATTGAACATCCTTGCTTGCCAATGCATGCCTGCAGTGTCACGCAAACATGTCAGGAACAAGTTGCCTATTAGACAATGGAACTCACTAGAAAATCGTAATGTCAAAAATGGTAAGGAAAAGCACAAAGCAAAAAATATCTAGGACTTAAAGGAGGAAAGGGTCATTCTCCAAACAGGACGGGCCAAGCCTTTTGGTTGTTTAAATAGGTTGGGTGACAGATCAGCCATAGGAGTACTCCGGGGTATAAATCAGGGCATCATGTAATCATAGGTACAAAGAAAAGAGCAAACAAGTTACTATCAATTAATACTAAAACCCATTTAAGAATTTCCTGTAATCAGCTTGTCCTAGACTTAACTACTATAACCACAAAATGTAACCTTCAATGATAGGAAGTAATGTTACCAAAACAAAATTATTAAGACGTAAAACCCCATGCCTTTGATGAACCAATGATCAGACATATGCAGGAATTTAAATGCAAGGATGCAGATGTAGTAGATATTTTACAGGCTCATAAGTGGTATCCTTAAAGCGTGTACCACCAAAATGCAATGAAAACTCTAGGACCAAAAAGCAGTTTAACTGCAGTTGAACAAATTCATTGGAACTAGTTCACTATCTCAAGCGCTTGCAACATCTGTGATCTCATACAAAACCCCCCAAAATGGAATCATACTACTTTCAAGATTTCCTTGAGGAGAAGGATTCATCCTTGGTATACATACAGATGATTATTGCAAAATTCTCTCATCCAGCCCATTGGTAACACTTTCATTCTGATCATGGGGTCTCATATATGACAATTAAGGTAGAAAGGTATCAGTATGTGTGTTGGTAATTGTTTTAGTCACACATATTCGGTGAGAGGATGGGGTTGGAAGGCCCCATCTAGCGAATGACATTTGTATTCTGCCCGTTATTGGTGCACTAGGATGAAGATAAAGTATTGGAAGAAACTCCATTAGCAACGGTAAAAAAAGATCCCACAAAATATGACCCAGTGAGCTGGAGCAAAGATTCTGTACAAACCTCAATGTGGAGGCTTGAGGAGGCAGAAGAAACGTGACTTTACCAAGTTGTGGAGATTAGATATAGACATGAAATGTATGGAAGATAGTTGCAGAAAGAATATAGAGTCTGGTTTGAAACATATTGTGTACAAAGAAAACAATAGTAGAGCCTAAGTAGATTTGGTTTTTGTGTCACAAAAAGGTGAAGATATATGATGATTTAGAAAGTGCTTACGATAGGGTAGGTGCAGGTAATAATTAATAAGGTGAGTGGATATAGTTGTTGTATGTATCCTTCAGATCACTCTATGTTATGCATGTTTGAAGGTGTGCAAAGGTAGTTGTGTCAGTTTGGAAGAAATCAATCTATACATGCTCTGAGCCAAGATCAAATTATTCGAAGCCTTGACATTTTGTTTTTCAAATTTGTAGGAGTGGAAGAGTTAACCTTAGAACAAAGGACAAACAGATGCTTCTTGTTCTGCTGCAATTTCCCAGTTGAAAAGATAGCAGCAGTTACAGATTGAAGTTCACCATGCAAAGCTGAACGTGCATTGGTTAATCATGTTTTCATCCCCCCAAACTTTATAGTCAGTCTGTGGGAGAGGTAAAAAATTTATTGAATTCAAACCTAACCTTTCTACATGTAGTCACTTTCATATTTCCACTTCAATAGGGATTCTCTTCTCGTTTTTCTTTTTTATTTTTTATTAGTTGATGTTATCTCACTAGGGAAGGGACTGGGTAACTCTCTCTATGATGAACAATCCCCATTAGATAATAAAATTGCACACACTATGGTTTGCGTTATATTTTATTTCCATTTTAATTTTATCACGGTTTTAGTTGACATTTAATATAGAGGAAATGTGTACAAGGACGGGGCAGTTATAAGCCAAATACACTGCTTATGAACTCAGCTTATTAGGAGCCAGGCACAAGTTGATTTTTGAGCCAAACTGAAATTAAAAAAATTATGTGCTTGCAATAAAAGTCAAACCACATATATGGATGTGCCTGCTGTTTCACATGAAATGGAGCAATGAAAGATATATGTTACCTGCTGAACGATGGATAGCACATTGGTATGGCAACTGCCTGGACTGAGTGTGCCACAATTGCCTTTAGGAGTTCCAAAGCTCGCAAAATGAATGGAAGTAATGTGCCACTCTTGTTCACAGGCCAATCGAACTTCAGGACTTTGAGACATGAAACCCAATTGTGGTCTCCAAGAATCACAAGGTGGAGGATCGGCCTCGGATACATGTGCACATATTTCTTGCCCAGTTTTTGTCAGTATAGAAATCTTTGAAGGGTCACCACCCAGCTCCTCGTGGAGAACAAGTAGGTTCTCACCAGAAAGTACCCAAGTGCGTGGTATATGATACCTGGGCATGATTTATTTCTTCATAAGTACATACATGAACAGTAAAATACAAAAGCTTAGCACAAGTAATGAGAAATTGTATTTTGAAGATCACTACTTGGAAAGTTAAGCACTAAAAATGCTTACTCATACGTAAGTAATGATAAAAATGAAATGTGAACTTGGAGAAATTGACAAACCATGAGGAAATCAATGGAATCCATCATTATTTGCATTTGAAGATAAGCCTCTGGTCTGTTTATCCTATGCTGGCTAAGATTAAGTTTGTCAAAGCATCCAACTCAAAACTAATTGGCAATGACTGAAGTGGGCCATAAGGCTCATATACTGGTTTAGGAAGTGTTATTATATCCACATAGAACATGCTCTAGTAAAGTTTCAGCTTCTAAGAGAACTTAATTTTTCATCAAAAATAGAGAGCAAGTCATTTTCTCCCACGTGTTTTGTGATGAGTGCTTGCCAAAATCTGCGAACAGTTTTTTTTTCCGCGATAAGAAACAACAATTTTAATAATACTAAAAATGAAAGTGATATAAAACCGATCAAAGGGGACAAGTCGTCCAACCCAGTAATGGGAAGCAACAAAGTTACCAAGATCTGTGTACGCGCCTTCAACTGGAAGATCAAACAATAGAACAATGATGTCATCGAGTTGTAGTCCAGTTAAGAAGAAGGAAAATATTATTCAAGTGCTTGAATAAACAAGTTTGATGAAAATAAACTGCATGTTAATGCAGCACCTGAGAAACAGAATAGAACGGCCTGTGTTGCATTCACTTACAGTGTTTGAGCAGGTTGACCACACTTCTTTTGACATTTAGATGCATCATAGGTTCCCCTGTAGTCACATTTATCAGTGCAACCAGTTGATGGCGAGAGATATGCAGGCCAATATCGCCCTATACTCTGCCCATTAACCCATGCTTGACCCTTCCCCATGCTAGCAAGATTCAGCGATAAGGGACCCTTCCCTTCAGGAGCTTGGAATGTAGCCTGCAGATACCAAATAGATGCCAAACCAAGGAGCAGTCACTATATAATCTTCTCTTCCTCCCAAACACCCTTCCCCCCCCACCCCCCACCCCAAAAAAAAAAAAACGAAAATATAAAAAAATATGTGTTCAAGCACGATGACTATAAGCAAGTGAAGTGAAGGCCATTGGATAATGCTAATCTAGAATTCACATCAACCTAGATACAGTGCTTCAATACCTAGCACTCAACCCTTTTAATACTTATATATTTTGGTAGTTCTTTAACACACAATAAGGAAAATTAATAATTCTTTTTAGTTTTAAGAAAATATATATTGTATCACTATGGTATTTTCACAAAATGAAGTGACTAATTAAAAAAATTAAAACTAATCTTTAGAAATAATTTTTGCAAAGATTATAATGTAATAGATTTATTTTATGTGCTTTTGAAGTGTAATTGTAGATAAAACTTAAAAAACACTCATGTGCCTTTAAAGTAGTATAAATTTTTGTTAATGTATTCTATGGTATGTGAATTCGAAATGAGGTGTTAAAAATTCAACTCAAAAATTATATATGTTACTTAAACACAAAAGTATCCGTGAAGTATTCTAATATTTAATTATTATTGAATACGTAGAAGGTGTATCTGATATGTATCTTGAAATATCCGACGAATATCATAGCTGATACGGTATCTAATACGAATACGCTGATCTCAACGAAGTATCTGTGCTTCATAGCTGATCCAGATTAACTCTCCAATTTGTATCAAAACAAAAAAGAAACAAAAAAATGAATGTGTTCTGGAACCAGCTGCATCCACATACCTTGTACCATGTCAAACTCTGATTGATCGGTACAGCATTCCCCTGTGTCCATAGAGAACTGTTCGCAAGACTCATATTATCAAGTCCCAGGCATTCCCCTTCGAGCCCAACCTGGAAACAACACAATATGTAAGGACACCATGTCAAACTAAAATCATAAGGTGTCAAAATAGAAAATCTTCGGAGACTAAAGAGAAAAGGACCTTGGCCCACTTTCTCCAGCCCAGTCTCTGCAGTCCAATCAGTTTCTCTTTTGGTGGGCCCTTAGGCTGATATAGCACCACAATAGTAAATTGAAGAGAATATGCCCAGATTCAACTTCCAAGGATGCCCAAACCCACGGCCTATGTAATCATCTAGATTGGGGAGATAGTACCCAACACACCCTATACTTTCAGTTTGTTTATTTAATTTTCTAATTTCTGTACCGATGCTTGATCAGGTGAATTCGTCGATGCAATCTCCACTCAGCACAAGCCACCTTTAATGCCTTTTCATAAAATTCTTAAGCTTGAAATCCTGATTGTTAAATGACACATACACTCCATTGATAAACTCGATTCTCCAACCAAACTCAAAAACTATTTCTATAACCCTCATCTAACCTTTCCGTATGAAAATACAATTGGCCTTCCCTTTACCACGGTCACAAATCTATTCCTTTAGGTTTGCACAGAGCATCAATTTTTTATTGTTTCCGGTTTAGATCATTTCAAGTTTCAATTTCATTTTTCCATACTATCTTGAACTGCATATAACTTCAAAGAGTGTGCATGCTTTGGCTATGTACTAGTCAAACTTCATCAGGCGCCATGTTAGTGCACATTTCCAGGTGACCATGTGCATGGGCTTCAATAAATTATATTCAATGATATAGACAAGCTAATTGAGTTATTTTCTTTCCTTTTTTTCCTATAACATGTAACTCATTAATAAATGCGTGTTATATAGCCATTCTGGGTAAAAAAGTAAGAAATAGGGGAAGCGCCACCAAATAAATTTGGATCAGTTTCAAAATGGTGGAAGCAAATTTGATGTACCGAACTAAGTAGTATGATATCATCTAAATCTGGGGTCAAAATTCCTAGTAAGTAATAAAATCCTTGGGCTAACAACTGAATGGTTGAATGTTCATATCTCAGGGTAGCCAATCTGTGCAATACTGCTGAATGTTAAATCTATAGCTAGACCATCCCTCCCAACACTAATTCAAAGGGGACCAAACTGGATAGTGGATAGGGACCTATAGTAGTTAGGTTTATATATGGCGTTCAGTTGAATAACATGTTTGATTGCAATTTATTGATCAAAGTCTGGGTCAGAACCTGATACGTCCATTCTGTAGAAGAGAGAGTTTGGTTGGCATTCTTCAGATCACCAAGAATGACGGAAAAAATTCCTACCCCTTGGATATCAAACCATGCCCCATAGTTCTGAGGAAGAACATGATAAAGTGAGTAAATATCAATCCACATTGAAGCAAAAAGCTCATGCTAGAAAGCTGACATAATAGAACAAAATGAAGTATTTAAAACCATGCAACTCAAATAAGCAGAGCATATAAAGCTTCTTTGACCAGAAAGATTTTCAGAAACATCAATCTAATTGAAGGAATTTTTTTGGAAACATAGGTGTTCATTTTCAGAGAGATTGAAGAACAACACTTCCTTCCATGTTTAAACGAAGCAGGACTAAGCTTACCGGTAAAAACACATTTTGATTTATTTACCATTTAAACCAGCAAACCAAATTCAATCTATTCCCTGCTGCTTCTACCAATCTTATGATATGTCTATACAAAGGTCACTCCTGATAATTTCTCATTCTTAATTTATCTAGTTATATTCCTGTGTGAGATAAAATACTTCCAGATTTAGTTTACGGGCAAATCTTCATTCCTTATTCTTTGGTTAAACAAGATGGATTGAAATTTCAGTAGGTATAGTGGTCAATCAGCGATCAAATGCACCGTTAAGTATAAGTGATCTGATTCTCTGTGGGTCATTTACAGCATCTTGTCCAAATTAAAGTTTATGCTTTTATATCTAATTGTTTCCCTACTTGTCAGCTGAAGGGCATTATAAGACATGAAAGTCCCAGACTTTTGATAAATTAAATGTTACGGGTCAAGCCAACAACAAACAGAAAATGTTACTAATATTCCTGCCTCTCAGTGTGATTTTGAAGTGAAGAGATAGGGGTGAAGGTTGTTGCTTGGTTTTACAGTAAGAAAAAACAATTTCCCCCTGAAAAAAGATTCTTTAAATCTGCTTCTAATGCAAACAAAAGCTTCTAATTTCCAGGATTTCTATCCTCGGCGAGGAAGTCTCACTTACAGTGACTCCTCATATTCATGCATGCCTTAGAGTTAAGATATGGTATATCAAGCAGATGACACATACGCATACAAGCACACTGGCATACATGCACCTGCTTGTCTATTCAAGGTTGTCATAATCCCCACCTGAACCAACAGATTTCTGATTTCTCCAAGTCTACAATCGCCAGTCAACAACGTACAAGCAGAATTACCTTCCGAAAAAAACATACAAGCAGAATTGACAAAAAACAAATGCTGAAAAAATGGGAGTTTACTCATTTAAAATAAGTGAAATGACACTTTGAAGTATGTGGCCCACTAGGAATCCAGTAGAACCACCTTGTATGTTCTAGTTTTGCAAACACCATTACGTGTTAGTTGCTCATGATCTCAGTGAACATATCATTTTACAAAGCAAAATAGTGGTACTTTAATATTTTAGCATAAAGTAATCTAAACCATTGAAAATTTCATCTCATTATTTTAATTATCACTTTAGTTCATATGAGATATAAACACCAATACAAACATAGATTCTAGACGGGATTCGGCTCTACTTTTGACCTGTATAAAATATATTCTTGTCTTGACCGGCACAAAAATGTTTGAACAAATTGAAACTTTGTACCTTCTTTCCAACGTATTTTCAACCTTGTCAGTCATTCATAATTGTTGCAATTCGACATTTTGATATCTAAAATGTATTCAAAATAATAATTCTCCCAAGAATAAACTAAAACAAAATGGAAGTCCTTGTTTTTTTGACCCTGGACTTGTCTTGTTTTTTGACCCTGGACTTGTATAGACATAGCAACCACCTCCTAGGCATTCCTAACAGTCTAATCATCTATCCAATGTCGACATGCAAACAGCACAAGATTCCAGACAATACAGCATATGAAAAATTGAGACTCAGCATATACCACTCGCTTAGTTTATGTAATTGAAATGAACAATCCTATGAATGATGCACACACAATGATAAGTGGAAATCCCTAGTACAGACAAGAGCAAGTGCTGCCAGAACTTGTACCATTGCCAGGGGCGAAGCCAGAAAAATTCTTTTTCTCCCCCCCTGGAGGCTGGGGGATGTTGGTGACTCAATTATTTATTTTATTTGTTTTCACCCACCCATACACAATATACATTAACTTATTCTACCTCCACGATTTGGTGGTGGTAACTATTTCAACATTTTTTGCTAGGAAAAAAATGATAGATAAAGCAAAAACATACCAGAAAAGAATTTCTTGGAGAGACCGCCACCCAAATTATTTTTAAATTGACACAAAAAATTATAGGTACTCTATCTACATAAAACTGGAATTTTTTAACTAGGGATGGGTACATTCAAGTTTAGCTTTTATCATTTATTTTTTGGAGGGTGTGTGTGAGTGTGTGAGGACAGCAAATAAGACATAGCAGACAGTACAAAGAGGCAGCCTTGAACCCACAAATCGAATTTGCATCACCTATGAATTATGCAAAGAGAAGAGATAGGTCCAGTTAAGATGCTGCATACAAGTCAAGGTTTTATTTTACCTGTACACCAACCACCATGCTCAACACATCCAATGTGTTGTTACCATGATTAAGATTAATTTTCTGACTGAATTCGAAGCTTGCATCATCATGATTACCATAACCAAATCCTACAAAAAATTCCAAGTAGACTGCTGTCAATTTTTGTAAACGCACAGAACAGAAATAGCAATGGCAAATTGGCTTGAATTAATTTTGAATTTTACGAGTTAGTCAAGAAGATAGTGGAATTAATTCAAACATGTCGAATTTGGAAAACATGCAATAATAGTATACGTGAAGATGCAGAAACCAATAAATTATATAGGACAAAATTAATGGTGTCACTCAAGAATGACACAACAATGCAAAAAGGTGACTGAAGTGACACTACTGAACTCACAAATTAAAATCATAGCTAGGATGATATCTATGATATCACAAGTCAAAATATAAGCAAGTGAAGAAAAATGAAATACTCATCAACTAATATGGTTAGTACGTTGGTTTCAACTTAACTTGGTTAACCATTGTGACTGGTATTAGAGTGCTAAAACTTCCAACACAATGCCAATTGGCAATGGGTGGGATACCCCTCAAGTATATAAACTAACATTTGATCTACCTAACTTCCTGAGGTGGGATAAGCTCTCTTCACACCCTCCCTCATGTGCGACCCGGAATCACACGCAGGTTAACAAACCAAACTAAAACAGATAGACAGACACATTGGATTACCAAAACAGACAACTAAACAGACCAGGTAATTCAACGGTAAGAGATTTAGCCCACTAACCGACCAATGTCCAGCTTTGATCCGATATTAGAATATCCAATCCAAAACCAAATGTAATGAGTGTAGTAGTCCTTCAAGCATATAAACTAACCTTGGGTCTACTTAATTTTCCGATGTAGGATAAGCTCTCCTCACTCAAAGTTTTGAATAAAATGAATTAATAAAATGTTAGTCCACATAGCAAGATGAGCATCTCAAATATGACTGGATGTAAAATAATTTATAGCACCACGCATTGCGCTTATAGAATGGCTAAATGGAAAAACATATCGTCTTTTAAGCCTTTCCTTTGGAGCCTGAGAAACTTGACGTAACTGGATGTGAGAGTTTCGTTTTGTGCATGTTTACCTAAGCACGCAGCAATATACAATTAAAAACACAGAAAATTTTAGGAAACAAACATATCACCAACACAAAGTCGAAGAGTGCAAATACTAGAAAAATATGCAGCAAAAGTTTTATTATCTAGGCAATGCATGATCCCAATCCAACCAAAATATAAAAAAGTCTCAATTGCTGGGAATTAACTCTGGTCAGAAACATTGGTAGGGCACTTACCAGAGTTTCCGGATAACATTGCAAAAGAAAGATGAATTAGAAGATAAAGATAGAGCAATAAAACTTATAGACTTTGCTTCAAAAGCTTTACATAAAACATTCTCTCTTTCTTTTTTCATTAGAAATCGAAGTCAATATATACCACATAATCATCTAGTTTGTTTGTCAATCTATTACCTTAATGGTTTCCTAGAAGCTAAGTAATCATGCAGCCTGTGGCACAAATGGAATGTCAACCAAGTGCAGAAACATGTCACCCATCTGGACATGCATGTCTCTTTTTGTGGAAAGTTGAAACCAAGTTCAAGTTTACGAGATCATTTTTTCTTCTGCATGGTAAACAAATAATTTGATGTTCCTTTATGGAATAAATGCGAGTGATTAAAACATAAATAAGGATAAACAGATCATAACATTTTCCTTCCTTTTTGACAAAGAAGAAACCAGATGATAACACTAGTAACCATAGTTATTAGCATCGTATGATACGCGATACATATCGTACGATACGTCACCATGCACCTGAAAAACAATCCGTATCGTGTCTCTGTATCGTTTTTGCATCGTATCGTACGATACACAATACGTATGATACGATATAATACACCTAATACGTACGATACGTCACGATTCTGTTTTGCTTTTTTTTTTTTTTTTTTTGGGGTTGAAATGATATCATTTTACTCTAAGATTTATTTTTAAATCACTAACTAGTGAAACAACGTTGTTTCAGTAGTTATAGTTTAAAAAAATTAAATAAAAGTCTAATGTTAATGTTGTTCAATTAAATTCAAAATTCCTAATTAATATTAAAGTTATTCAAGCAGTTGATGTTAGAAGTTTGAATTAGAGGTCTTTGCATTTTGATATTACTGAACTATGTTGGAAACTTGAATAGTTGGTGGAATATTAATGAAATACTATGTTATTATGAGTCTATGATTTTTTTATAAAGGTATATACATATATTTTATTAATAATTATTTAAAAATTAAAATTGCGCATATATTACGATACACTATTTTTAAAAAACGATACGTCTTCTGATACACGATTTAACAACTATGGTAGTAACCAAAATAAGGATATAGCTGTATTAGTAACAGTAGTAGCTAAGTTTGTTCTATTACTCATATAGCAATATAACCAAAAAAAAAAAAGCAATAATGTGTTCGTTTTGCAGTTATGACAATGGTATTGCTGGTATAATACACAACTACAGTACTACATAAAGATCTAAAGCTTGAAGGATAAACTCCCAAGTACAAAGACGTCACAGGTATCACAGCAAAATTCGATGAGAAAACTTTTTTCAGTGACTTCAGCAAAGAGCATCGCACATAGTAAGGAATTATCATTACCAATGCCAACCTAAGCTATCCATGATGCACAGCTGCATAAATTTGTTTTGTGTTAAGTGGTTCGGCCAAGAAATACTGACTCATATGGTTTTTATATTCTGATGGAGTAAGCAATGGCAAAACCACAACTATAGCCTCTGATGCATATTTCATCTGAGCTATACAAACTTGCACCTGAGCACTCTTAAACCTCAAAAATTTTCCAAACATCTCTTAGAAAGAAACTAAGCAATTAATTAACTCAAACATGTCAAGAGTAAAGTAGCCACTTGCAAACAACAACAAAAGTAAAAAAGGAGCTAAACATCATTCCATGGTATATGAAAGAGTGCCTACCCACAAGTATTTTGTTAACAAAAACAAGAGCCGCATGTCCCAAGCTCTCAATAACCAAAATGGCTTCTTTTGCTTGAAGATGATTACTGTTGTCATTCACATTTATGCTGCCACAACAGGAGAAAAGGTAAAAGCCAAGATCTCCCATCAAACCAAATAGTAATGACTTGGAACAATGATAAATATACTTAAAAAGGAGAACCAATGAGATAAGAGCCAACATGGAGAATAGTTCATAAAGAGAAACAACACATAAAAATAAATGAAGACATAAATTGCCCCGTCTAATTTCTTATCTGAGTCCATATTTTTCCTTTATCCCACTGTCCAAGAAAAGTGACATAGAGCTTAAACAATAGAGGCTTAGCTCTAACAACTTAACATTGGTTTAAACTGATACATATCAACACCTAGATAGAAGGGGGAAAGAGTCTTCAAAAGGCCTAGATGAATGTATAATCACACATTATCAAGGGAGTTACCTTGTTGTGTACCACAGAAAATCGCTTGTATCTTTGGTTGTATTTATCTGCTCTAGTAAACTTGATGCCGAAAATGCATTGCTACCCCACACGCCCACTTTTTCATTATACCAACTCCATGTTGATGATGCCAATGAGAACTCGCTGACACTTGTACTGCGAGCAAATGCACCATCGCCAAGACTTCTTTGAGAAACCACCTTTGTCCAGAATCAGAGTAAAGAAGAAATTTAGAATGCCCAAAGCAAGCTGGGTCCGTGTCAAAAATAAAAGATTATAATTTTTTTGGAATTATCAAGTCGATAAAGAAAATATGATGAACAGACGATTTATGTGGTTATTGTTAAGCATAGTACATTAGCACGCATTGATACAGCAGAATGTTGGCAAGACCAAATCTCAGTTCAAACAAATTGATGTGCAAAATTAACTCATCAAATGCCCTATAAAAAATCGTAAACATCTTGGCATTATCTAGAAAGAACACAGGAATTATAATGATGAGAAAAGCAACATTCCCATAGATTAGGGAGTAAGAGTATTATAAAAGCAATCCACTCTTATAACATTGCAGTTTTACATAAGTAACAACATTTAAGCCAACATCAAGAACCTTTAAGTTTACATGAACAAAGGAAGAGAGAATGAATTAACATCAACTTCCAATCTTGCCACAACAAAAAAGGAGTTTCTTACGTTTCACAATGGATACAAGGTACCAGGTTGACTCATGCATCGCTGGAACAGATAGGGTCACATTTTTTCGGCGATCAAATAATTTTTTATCCCAAAAAAGATGTACAATATAGCTCAAAATCTTCCAAATGGGTACACAGAGCAATTCAATAGAGAAGAGCTCAAAACACGGAAACTACAGAGAAATAAACTCGTCCCAAATGAAATAGGATACACAATACTTTTCCCACTTCCCACAAGACTTGGAGGAACAAATCCCCTACAGAACCCTTATCCATCAAACACTAATATAGATATTTAGAATTCTGATCACCAGCCTACACCCTTAAAATCCAGCCCAACTCACTAAGTGCTTCACCCATTAATCCCAACGGCCAGCAGCGTGGGTCTTCATTGGACCAACCTTCATAGCGTGGGAAAGACAAGACAAGCCAACAAAAGACTCTGTCCATCTTCAAATATGTAACTTTCACCACATACAAGACAAACGTTAACATCTCATTAGTGGAAGCTGCACAGCCATGTGTTACCAGCGAAAGAGATCAGTCTTTAGGCCCACAGGTTCCTCACAGTTGCTGCAACAGCCATTGCCACTCAGCCAGTTCTGGAGAACCAAGCTCCAGCAGTAAAAACAAGCTGATTAAGGCCGGAGCATCACCCGCTTCAAGTTTCTGATTTCCAACACACGCCCACTGAAGCCAAAACTCAAGAAACAGACCCCGAAATAACTGGATCCATCCTATATATGGCCACCCAATATTTTTAAATCAAGCACCCCGATATTCCTATGTGACCGCTATCTCAAGCCACTAGCACAATAGCATAGCTGCCAGAATCCAAGACACTAGAAGTCAATAACAGCCAAGCTTGTTTTCTTTGTTTAAGCCTCACATCACATGAGGAAATACTTGTAAGAAACTGGAACCATTTCTAGAATCTAGAAAACACCAGATGAGCTACTGGCTGTAGCTCACACATACGGTCCTCAACCAGTCATGGTGGAGAGCACAGTATGAGGCCAATCTATTTTCTCCTTCATAGGGTACTAGTAGAGGACTTCACCTCAATATATGCAAAGGAATGCCAATCAGATAAGTAATAGGTGAAATCCAAGGGAAATGAATGGACAAGTAAGGGAGGGGAGAGAATAAGGCCTGGGAAGCTCTTCCAAACACAATTGCAACTGTCAGATGATACTTTTAAAGTGAATAAAACATAAAGAGTGTCAACTGCCGAGTGATACTATTTGATATTTGGACACAAGTTATATTGCAATGGGGTACTAACTACTAACATAACATCAGTAACCATACCAGGTGAAAACCAACGTGTTCATCATTGAGCCCCCTTTCTCCATGGTCCACAAAGACAAAATGATATATCACTTTCTAGTTAAGGTGAGCATGGGTGGGTAGTCCACCTGCCTATGCCAGCCCATCCCCGAAAAATCAGAACCTAGACCCAAAAAATATTGGCCTATAGACTAGCCAGGCAGAGCCTGAACAGTCATTCTACATATCATATAATAGTATATGTATAAATCTACTATAGTTGATGCATTTAAGAAATTATTTGAATTTTAAAGCAGGGAAAAGTATAGAAAATAAGTATTACAATTTAAGATTATGTAAAACAATGATCCATGGGCTAGCCCTGGACCAGAAGAATCTGTCACAATAAGGCCCATGCCCAGCCCTACTTTTTAGTGTCAGCCTCAGCCATAAGATTTCCTAAAAGAAGGAGCTGATACAGTTAATTCAACAACTGCAGCAACTCCTTAGACAGGTGCAGCTTATGATCCGTAGATAACATCATGTAGTGGATTTTTTGTCAGTCACTTGTACAAGTCATTCTTCTCAATGACTTGCACTAAGTGAAGAAAAGTTAGGTAAATTACAGATGGTTCTAATTTGATCTACAGTGCATGCATCATGGATCTGTTTAAAAAAAACCTTGAGCAGATGTACATTGCAAAACTAGTTGGCATTCCTTTAGCACTTCAGGTGAAGCTTATGACCTAAGATTCTGCAGATAAACGACTAGTAGAACATTATGGCATCAATGATAAACTTGATGCAGCTATTGGCCCCACCCTGAAATGTCACAGAGATCCACAGAATGATTGATATATTCTTTTTTGTCTTACTGGCTTTGGCATCAACTTCTTTCAAACCATAATTTACCACACCAACTATAGAACTTATAAAGCTGTCAAATGATCTTAAGAACATCCGTGATATTGTAAAAACATTGAAGAGGGATACTTTTAAGTTGCAAACAGACAATTTGCAAAAATTTAGCCAACTAACAGTCTATGAAGAAAACTTAATGCTCTGATTTCACAATAATATGAGAATATATAAGTATTGGAACAAACTTCTAAACTGAGCTCAGCAGCCAATAGACAGTAAAATCATTTATGCATGTATTCAAAAGCAATAACAAACCATACCTTTGCTGTGTTAAATATGACATTGCTACAATCTGGAAGAATGCTCACAGACCAAGCAGGAAGGAAATACGAATTTCCATTAAATGTCACATTTGCATCTGAACTGCTGCCATAGTTGGCAAGAAAGGCTGCACAGTCATTGGAGGTCTTATAGTAGATATGTGCCTGATAAGCAAATTAATATCCTCAATAACATGTTAATAGTGGCACATTTGCAATCTGAAAAATTCGAAGTCACAGTACAACATGGAGTTATAATCCAGTATGTATTTTCAGCAAAAATACTTTAGGCATTTTGAAAAGGCAATTGCTCCAAAACGATGGAATCTATGAGGGAAGTCCCAAAAAAAACTGCCACTAAATTACCAGGTAGGGTGCTCAGTGCTAACTTACTAATTTCATGCCCGTGATAACATACGATAGTCCATGAGAGTGAACAGCACTCAAATGCACTACCAGAATTTTTATTTTAGAACAAATTAAAATGACATTATTACGTGATAACTAGCACAAATAAAAGTCTGAAGCCAAATGACCATGGCCAAAAGTAGTGACATTAGGCATCCATCATGATGTGATAATCCAAATGAAAGCAGGCACGCCAAAGTGGTGTTCAGCACATAACTAAACTTTCAAAGATGATTTTATTCTTGTTGTATACAATATAATTCATCAATGTTGGTCCCAAATTGTTAGTCTTAAAACATAACTGTAAACAGAGAAATGAATCAGCAAAGTGCAAAGTTTGGAGTGGGATAATGTTTGCGTTAGAGGATACAGAAATCAAGTTTGGGGATAACATGTAAGAGGTATCAGATTGTTATTAAACAATTTGTGCTGTAATGATCTTTACTTCCTTTTATAAATTTTTTATATTTTACCAAGTACAAACTGGTCTCATCCACCTACAAAACATCCAAACTTTTTCCTTTTAAAATACCACACAAAACTAGATCTTAATATGAGCATTCACCAAGGACAGACCACAAACATATTAATTAAAAAGAAGCATGTTAAAACTTCATGCACACCTCTAGATTCACACCAAGTGTTTGTTGAATTGGGTCCGCATTCACCAAATATTCTTCACACTGCTTTATTGCCATGTGTAAGTCTCGGAGGTGGCCCCACTTTGGTTGTCTTATAAAACCTGCATATATTTCCGGTCATCAAATTCGCATCAATTTTTGCATCAGTTTTGAAGTCAACCAGTCAATTAGATAATGTGTCCTCTCTAGGGAAAGGTTTCCAAATTGAAATATTGAATCTTTTCCCAAAGTTCAACAATTTGATTCCCACCCAAACCACTAGCATTGTCCCTCCTCCCAACCTCCAACCGCCACTCCTTGCCTCACATCAGAGTTCTAATACCCCAGAAACCCCACCCCCACATTTCTATTCCTTCCTTCCATCTTGATTCTCTCTAGCACCACAAATCGTCAAAACTCACCACCCCCCCCCCAACCAAAAAAAGTTACCCACACAACAGCTTCACTGGTACCACTATAACCACCATCTCCACCCATTGCACCATCCGATTGCAAACAACTACATACCTACATATAAAGAGTGAGAGGAAAAGAAATGCAAACCCACCAAAATAAATGTAATCAAAAAAAAGTGCACACAACAAAGAAAGAGAGAGGGGGCGAGAGCAAACCCACCAAATTGCCTGAAAGAAGAGAAAAGGTTTAGTTAGATACGAGATGATATATACACATCGAAACAAATAGTGGAGAGGGTCCAGAGTGGTTTCGTTTTAGAGTTGGGTGGCTATGGTGGCTTTAGTGGGTTGATGTGTTCTAGACTCGCAATTGGTTTTGGGAGGTGGTGGTGGAGATAGGCGTGGAGGTCGGGCTGTGACTAGGTAATTTGGGCAAGGCCGCAAGGGTATTGTTTGAGAGAGAGAGAGAGGGAGATTTTATGGTAGTTTAGGTTAAGAAAAAAGAAAGAATGGAGTCTTTGGATGATAAAAAACAAGCATGGCTACCAATTCCTAAACCTAAGATAGATATGGGGATGAACATTTTTTTCAAAAGTATAGTCACCCATTGAGAGGGCTCCCTTTTGTGCCCATCAAACACCCCAATCTTGACTCAATTTCAAAGCTTCCGTGATTTTCAAACTCAATTGAGTCAATTCCCTTTTAAAGAGTTCCAAATGTATTTCCCAATATAATGTAGTTTTTATAAAACACACGCATGCTTTTCACTATAAAGTGCGTTTTCAAAATACAAAAGTGTGATCCTATCCATGCATACCATTCTCATTAAAATAGCAGGTGTGTTAAACAAAATGTCAGGAAAATTTACCATACTCATCTATTGGAGCATCATAGTCATAGCTTGTTGCAACCACTGGGCCTCCCATAGTTCGTCCAAAGTTGGTGCCACCAAAATACTGCAAGGAGATATCAGAAGTAAATCGTGGGGATTATGTTTACCAAATTAAAATTACAATAAGTGAAAGGAAAAACTTCACAAGGCTCACCATATAATAGTTCTGAAATGTGCCACCTGTTTCAAAAAAACGTGCAACAGCAAAGGCAAGGTCCTCAACTGGTCGGTAAGGAATTGGATAACCAAATGCAAGGAACCTGCAATATCAAACAAGACAGTTTTACAAATTCACATTTCTTTGATGAAGCAAATGCTAGTGCTCCAGAATTATTTTTCAAAGGCTGAACCAAAATATATTTTTTACCATCCACTGTAGTTCTCAGTCCACATCTTTGGCTTGGAATGGGAATTTGGAGTGAACTGATCACAATAAAACCCATTGCATGTATTTATCTACAACATTAAATGTTATCTCTAATTAGAGAAATAGAGAACAAAGTTATATTTTCAAAAAAAAGATGTCAGAAGTACAGTTGTCAAGTATAAGAGATTATGACGAAAAACAATTTAATAAGACAATTTGTCTTCCTCCAGATACTGTTAGATATCGGAATGTGGGGCTACCTATTAACAGTAGATGTGAATGAATTAGGTTTAGCTACAGGAAACTTTTGCAAGATTAGTCTTTTTTCTTCCTCTCATCTCCTCTTTACTCTCTCGAAACTCATGTCTCTCTCTTTTTTCTTCTCTCCAGTGATTTTTCTTCTTTCTTGCCTTTCTCTTTCTCTCTCTTTCTCTTTCCATTTATCTTATTTTCTCTCGGTCAGAACTCCCTGATTAGAGAGTTTGGCATCATAACATGTGATGCTTCTGATATGAGATAAATTAGATCCATTTTTATTTAGAAAAATAAAAATCAGAAAGAAATGATTCAGTTCCACTAATGTCGATAAATACTTACAATTGGGTCAGGTGCATCTTCCTGCACACACATTACCCACGGAACACCAGTATTTAGACTGACAGCAGTTTCAGCAGCCCATTTCACATACAACTCTCCACCAACTCCATAGGCCCATTGAACACCTCCATATTCATTCTCAACCTGTTACAGCATAAACCAGGGATGAGTCAAACAGGATTAACTGATTATGAATTTGTATAAACCTTCAGCATTTACCCTAACATTATCTATAGCTTAGTTTGGTGATTCCTACTTATACTATGAAAGGGAAAAAGCTAGACTACAGGACAAGATCCTTGACAGAGTGAGTGAATGAAACAATGCTCTCATAAGACTATACAAGAGAAGGTCTATAACTGGGACAAGGCACCCCCCAAGGTTCTCAAAATAAAACAATGAGTCGGACAATGACTGCTAGGACAACTAAGTTGCCAATTCAAATTTTCTCAAGCATGTATAACACTCCCTAAGTTGGACATTAACATCAATTATTGTTCAAATATGTCGGTATCTTTGCAATGCTACAATAATTCTAAACTTTCCATGACAGTAAATTCCTTCATCCAAGTGATTGAATCAACCAGCAGCAATCTAACAGGTTTACAAGTTTAGACCAATGATTAAGTTTAAGGTATTAGAACTAGAATTCTGGGCTAACCAAGATAAAGATTTAAAAATAGTGTCGTTTTAGCAAATTAGAAACAGAAATAATGATAAAATAAAAGTAGATGGCCAAGAAATATATAAAAGCAACCACTCAAATTATTTTCAAATGATTACTTCCAATGGAAGAGAGAGTAACTGAAATGTCAATACAATACAAATAAAACTAAAGTATGATGAGACTGGAGTACACGAATAGAACTACCGTATGATGAAAAAGGAGTACATGGTCAGTCTGTGTTTTATCGTGAAATTCCTGCAAAGTAAAGGATTTAAAGACAGCTAGTAGGCTAACTGAGCTTTATGGCATGGAATGTCAAACACGTGCTGAACAAGAATGTTGAGATGAATAAGTGACCAACTCGAAATACAAGAAAACATAGAATAAGAAAAAAGTTTCATCTGTGAGAACTTAGGAGTGATCTTAGTAACAATAAGAAGAGTAAAATGTAAATATCTACTACAAAAGAGAGAATGAAATGAAAAGGAAATATACAAGTGCGGCTCAATAAGTCTGCTACAGGCTAATAATAATAATAACATAATAGAAACAGGTAAAACCATCCTGGAAAATGGGTAAACTACCCTAATACTAAGGTACTATAACAGAAAAGTTATCAAAGATAATGTAACTGACTAATGCATCGATGCAGAGGAGTCATTTGGTAAAGCTATCACAAAGAACAAGGGAAGGACAAAAGAAATGTGGGTTATGGCTGTGGAAAAGGATAAGGCTAACTTAAAGGATTTTGGAGTTGGAAAATTCTAATTGGTGTTTTTCTTGGAATGCAGTCAACAAATTAGATTGAGGACAAGGCATAGCACACAAACTCAAAGATTGATGTGTGGGTGTGGGTGTGGGTGTGGGTGTGTGCGTGTGCAAGAGTAAGGGGAAAAGAAAGGGAAAGGTGGGAAGGGGACGAGGAGGAGAAGGATGGGTGACAGAGAAACAGAGAGAGGAAGAGCATCAATGAACGAGAGTTTTGCTAATCGAATACTAAGCTAAAATCCCTAAAGAATAGCTGTTAAACACAGAAACTAAAACTTCAAAGACAATCTATCACCTGCTACATATCCCCCTCTATAATAATAGGTTTATGTTGCATTTGTAAGACAAAATTTTGAAGCCTGAAAGGATCCTGTATAGCAATCAAAACCATTCCAACAAAGACACCTGGGATGAAAAAGGTTTGGTAGATCACCTCTCAAAAGGGAGGCGCAAAGAAGCACCATCCGTCCAATGCATTAAGAGGAGTCTCAAACAGATCAGCATTCCCCAGAATGACTAAGTTATTGTGGTCGGCCTTTCAAATGCCCACTTCCTTACTTTTTTGAGAAACCCTTTATGGGGATCAAAATGATCGACCATTTCCCAAAAATAATGTCTGGGCAACGCAAATAGACATTTGGAATATTAACAGCGCACCACATGCAATGCATATAGAAATATTTGGGTAATAATATTCATAAAAAGAACATAACGCATATGTGTAATTAAGTTCAATGACATCTCATTTACCAAAAGCAAAATGACATCTCATTTCTCAGAAGCAAAATGACATGGATCATCAATGTCATGTTTTATGACTAAAAAAAGTCATACAAGATAAATCTAGTAATAATAAAGAAAACACAAAATTTACCATCAATGTTTCAATTTAGAAGGGTAGTGTTGTCTTAATGTAGTCTTTAAGGTAATATATTGATAAAAATGATTTTCAAAACATCTTGACATGTCAAACTTTTTATTTTATTATTTATCATTTTTTGTTTTAATATATATATATATAATGTGTGTGTGCTTGTGTGAATTGAGATAAAAATAAATAAAATGATATTCATGTTTTTGAGTTCTTAAATAATAACAATATCCCCATGGCCAAAGACACTTTGTAGTACCAAAAGGCAAGCAGTGATCATGCAACATTATATTGTGAATAACAATTTTTTTTTCTTTCTTTGTTTTAATTACATAATTTAAAATTAGAGCAGACATAGAGAAAATAAGAGAGAGGTATATTAGAGAGGTATATTAGGGGGTAGGTGTATATTAGTGGGATTGTCCGGCTCTGGGAGCATGTTAGTTGGATTGTCTAAAATTAGATGAAGATTGGATTACTCTCAATCATTGTTGTACTTTTATAAATGTGCAATTCCAATTGCTAGCAATAATATTAGATAGATATTATATCTTTTTAGAGTTATTAAAGGATAGTAAGTCGTTGAGTTATTTGATAAAGGTGCATTGGTAAATTAAAAATTTTTGATACAGTAAACATTTATAAGTGATTTGGATTGCGTGTGTTATATAAGTTGATTCCTTGTCATAACATTCGAATAAATGTGTGCTAGCCACACAATTACCTATGTACAGATATTCATTTACTTGTCCCATCATATCTACATTTTGTTTTTTTAGAAATCCCATCATATCTACATTTTACTTTTCAAGCATTACGAATGATTTGGTCTATATCATTTCATACTTAGATTATGCATCCAAGTCCATTCTTTATAATAGGGGTGGAATTTTGTGACACGAATAGTAAAGAAGTAAGGTTAATGTCAAGTCATCTGGAAAAGTTTATTAAACATGTTCAGTTAAGATTGAATAATACCCGACACAAACCTGAAATAACACTTGATTAAACATGGCATGACACAATTAAACACTCGTTCTATATACAATTTAAGTATGGATAACATGATAGTAGGGCCACCCCAATCATTAGGCCAATAAAGTCTAGGATTTAGGCCCAATTTAAGAAAGGCCCATAATTTATAGATGTGTAATAATAGTCCAAGCAAAAAACCTGAATCCATAAGAAATAGGTCCCACAAAAAATTTAGATTTAAATCCAAATAATAGATTTCAACTTGAGTAGATAGGACCTATTAATTTAGCCCATGAAATTAAAAGGCCTTAAAATTCAATTTTTGTAAGTAAGAAAAATGCTAATCGCAAAACTAAAGCTATTGTCCTAAAAAAAAGTCAAGTTCAAACTTCCCATACCATCATAATTTTTCAATCATTCTCTCTCTCTCTCTCTCTCTCTCTCTCTCTCTATATATATATATATATATATGAAGTTCAAATATTGTAACAAAAGCTTGAATATAAAAACTTCATTAAGATATTTGCATTTCAAAAAATTAAAAATTAAATTTATTATTACTATAAAAAATAAAAAGCCTCATTTATTATTTCCGCTTTAGGCCTCAAAATGTCTTGGGCCACCCCTGCATGATAGATCACGAACACCAAGAGTTCATGCACAAAAAAACACTGGGAAATCAACAGGCAACATTCAAAACTTTGTAACAAGATTTTTCATATCAACACGAGCTAACAGGTACAGATAAATCACCTGTGCAAGAATGATTGGCCCTCCTTGCGATACAAATAGATTCTCCTCCTTCATTAGATTAACAATTTTTGCTAGAAAACGCTCCATTTCTTCCTGCACGGACAAAATACAAACTTACCAGCAGTATGAAATTCGCATATCCAAGCCAACAATGTTATCAATCTGTTTCCACAAACAATCAATGTGGAATAAACATGGACAACTTAACTATTTTGAAATCAATTCTCATAAACAAGCATAACAGTTTTGGATTTCAAAGTAGACCTTAAAAGGATCATTTGTTGTCCTGAACTGGATGCCAGGAATGAAGTGTAACCACATAGGAAATCCCCTGTTCAAAAATAAAAATGAAAGAAAATAATGAAAACTAAAGAATTAAGAACAAAGTACATTTTGGAAGAAAGATAAGATCTTATGATTTATTATGCTGTAGACGGGAGCAAACTGTAATTTTTTCTAGGGTAAATTGCTAAGGTGGTCAAACAACCCTATCTTGTTTACAGGACAAAGCAAACCAAATCACTAAACTGATACAAATGCATTCTTTGACACAATGTGAAGTCTAATGCTCCTAAAAACCCAGAATAATGAGGACGTGAAACTGCATGATAAGAAGATTGAATAAATTTGAACAGACCCGTAATTCCATTCAGCACAAACATATGGCCCAATCCTCAGATGCACAAAAAGGCCCGCTTCCTGCACTGTCTTCACGAATCGAACCAGGTCAAACCTGTCCTCGAAGTAGTACTACAATATTTTAAAAAATAATGATAATCAAAATACTGTTGAAGGTAATGATCATGAGCAAGTCCACTGCCCAAAAGTTTTATACAGCATTTACATTATAGCATAACTTTGTACCTGTCCTCTCACAGGCTCATGATAGTTCCAAAAAACGTATGTCTCAATCACGTCCAATCCTCCTTCCTTCGATTTCCTGATGAGTTCTGGCCACACCTAAAAGATTCACCGCAACAATAACCCACACTATCACACCAACAAACAAAATAAATCAAAAATATCACCACCAATAAAAGCACCCCAATTTAAACTCACTTCAGGCGTGCTTCGCGGATAATGGATCGATCCAGATTGCAAAACCCGCCTCTTCCCATCAATAACCAGTGCCCTATGATCATATGTCACTGTAACCGAAAGCCCTCTTTCACAACAATAACACAGAAACCCTAAGATTATCAATAAAACCATTGATAAGTTATCGTTTCTTCGCATAATTCGATTCAGCGAAATGTTGCATAAAACGCATACAATTATATACAGAATTTCAAGATTAAACACAAAGTTTTATGATTGTTTTGAATAGTTGTTGTTATCCAAGACGCAGAATCTATGTCGAATTTAAAAAATCTAGGATAGAACCTTCAAAATTATTGGGGCGATGTCTCCGAGGCTTGTGTCTTTTTGATGATTTTGTTGCTATGATGGCGCAATCGGAGATTCGGGGGTCAAAGGGAACACGACAGTGCCAGAGACAGATGCTGAGAGTGCTAGTGATAGGAACTGTTTGGATATTCTCGCGCGGTGAGGCCCATGAACCAGTTCTTAAAATATATTAAATTACAGGAAGACCCCAGTAGTATTTGTAAATTATATACACTGCATATCTCTAATGTCTGTCTGTAAAGACACTTCTTTTTTCTGGTACACTGGAAAAGTAAACAAGGTTATTTAAACCATCTAGCAAACGAAGTACATGAAAGATTATTGAAAAGGTACTGTTCCAACACAAGTGGTGGAATTTCAAAAAACACAAAAAGATTTTGTTGATATCCTTCCAGACTTGTCATCTTATTAACGCAAAATTTTCCTTCTCTCAAAATATGAAGAATGGGAGTTTTAGTCAATCCCATAATGTACTTCCAATTAGCAATGTTATTCCTTTGGGGGTGTAAATCTTTCAACCTAGCACTAATTAGGTTGAGTACTTCCAAATAATCCGTTTTCATGATCACCTTCTTCAAGTTTTGTGTTTGAATTATCTTAAGACCTTGAAAGATAACTCATAGTTCAGCTTGTAGGCTAGTGGAGTCCTTAAGCTTCCCATAGAAACCTAGTTGTCATCTTCCTTGATCGTTCCTCAGCAGCCCTCCTATTGTAGCTGGGTCAGGATTCCCTTTGGAGCTACCATCAACATTCATCTTCATCCATCCAATAGGAGGAAAAGACCAACCTATTAGTTCAGCGGGATTGAAAATCCCGTGGGAAAGGGGTTCATTGAAAGCATCCCATGAGTCCCGTGCCATTCTCCAAGCTTTCTTAGCAATAATATAGGGGGATTCTTTATGTTATCCAAGCATTCTTAGTTTCTATCTTTCCAAATATTCCATATCGGTGAAGCAAAAAGAATAAGCCATTTCACATCTCTCCAAAAAATGTCCTCTCTAGCTTTATAATTTTTAATGAGCCAATTTTGAAGGTCCAAGGATTGATCCTGTTGGAGGGCATTTTTCTGTGTAGAAATGATCTCCAAACAAGATCAGCTTTTGGACAGTCCCTCAAAATATGGATTGTGTTTTCATTAACGGCCTTGCATCTCACACGCACAGGGTCATCAGTGAGATTCCTTTTGAGCCTTAGGGAATTTGAGAGAAGTCTATCCTAATAACTAACACCATTTTTATATAGTACTCTGACATAAATTTACTGCACTTAGGATCATTTTTATATGGTACTCTTATATAAATTTACTGCACTTATTGTCGGCCAAAACTTGACAAATGTGGCAAATATTAACTTAATATAAGAACTAATATGACTTTAATAGAATTCACAAAAATATAATTATTTGGTGACTAAATTATGAAAACATCAAAGCAATTTAAATATTTTTGAAAATCTATGTTTTCAAAGGAAATTCTTGTCAAATCTTTGACCATTATAAAAAGAATTTAAAAGCAATTGCAATATTCATCAAGCACTATATATGCCTAATTAATATAGTGATTTGTCCATTCAATTTTGTTCAAAACTAAGCATAACAAATCGAAGCAAAAGACGAGTCAAGATAATTTGTCTGTCAAGCCAATAAGTAAAGGACCAAAGGATGGAACATGCAAAGTTGATCGTGCACCTGTCATGTGACTTGTTGGTCTTAAGTAATGTCTTGTGACCATTTGAAGCATGTATTATTTATTAATTTATATTAATTTTACATATGCCCTCAAATTAATTGAAATCTAATAATTTTTGAAAAAAAAATCATTTGAAACGTGTTATTGATTAATCTATCTATACTACTTAAAAATGTGGAGATACTTGAAAAATATTTATATTTCACATTTTTACCCTTAACTATTGGTATAAAGTCAATCATATCCACAATATCATTTGGTCTTCCTTTAATATGAAACTGATTATATTTAATTTTGTTAATTACCTCTAAAATGTTTACAACTCATTGTCTCCTACAATAAATAAATCTCTCTGTTGATAAAAAAAATATATGTACCTTGATCATCTTCACTGTCTTCCATTTTGTCTTTTCTCTACTTTGTTATACGTTATATTTTTAAATTTTGGCTATTCGTTCTATCATTTTGTGGGCATCAATCCACAATCTCATCAATCCTGCAATTACTTTTGACCCATTGAAATTCATCTAAATTAAGACAAATACCTTGTTTGGGAGAAAGTCAAATGAAGGGACGCTGCTATGTTTTCATTTTGGCCTTTCAGATTTTCTTTTTTGTCCAAAATTTTGTTGTTCCTAATTGAAAAATTGTTCTTCACTTGTATTATTGGGCTACTATTGTGCTCCATATCTTCAGTGTCATTCCATATAAGTATGTGATATTTTGGTTACAGTGTTGTATTGTCTTGTATTTGTTTTGGTACTCTGTTATGGACTAGCTCTGATTTTTTTTAATGGATTGGCTTAAAAGGTTTTGGATCATCACTAGTTTCAACAATTTTAAGATATGAGTAATCAGATTTTGTTGGCCTCATTCTTCCCAAGATTTTGAAAAAGCTTCTCAATAATCTAATAAAAATATTGTAAAGGTCCTAATCTCTCTCTCTTTCTCCCCATAATCTGTCTTCTATATTCTTTGGTTTATCCTTTATCTCTTTGTCCGTTATTCAAGTATTTTCAGGTTATGAAAATGTTGATGCCCAACTTATTCTCTTAGCTGCAGTAAACTTCAATTCTTAATTTTTCAACTTTATATGGCACTATCCATCTAGGTTCTTAAATTTTTAGAGAAGCATAGTACAACACAAATAGGTCCTAATTTTTTGATTCTTGTGGAGGCGTAATGTCTTATGAAATGGTGACATGGCTAAATATTATTCTAGATCTATACATGTCATCTACAATAATCTTCTTTTTATTATCACAATTTTATTGACGAAACTATAGAGACATACATAAATATTGTAGTACTCAAATTTGAGTGTATTGAGCAAATTGAAAAGTGATAATAATGAAGTATAATTTGGATGTAAGCAACTTAAATGTTGATCCCTTAAATGCTGATCCCAATGCGGCTGGTAACTCAGCCAAAAAGAGAATAAAAAAATAAGAGATACATAATAATAGATTGTATGAAGAATGTTTGTTGCAGAATACTTTTTGAAAGCTCCAGTATATTCCATTTTTAGTAAACTTGATGAATGGATGTAGAAAAAGAGAGGGTCTTGAAGAGTTGTTAAAGAAAAGTTTGTTTAGTTATATTACTTTTGTATTAGTGACTACATACTGTCAAATTAAGCTACCTCATGAGCAGTCATTTTCATCAAATCAGAAATTGGCATTGAAATAACTTAGGCAGATTTCTTGCATGATAATTATTAATATAAAATTAACATTTTCTTATTCCTCCCTTTCTCTTTATCTCTACATTAAGCTGATAACATGTATGAATAACATATATTAAGAAGCCAAATGATTATGCATAGAGTTTTTTAGAGGAAGAAATAACATATATACATGCAAATTTGCATGTAAGCAAATGCAATGCCAATGAAATTTGATGCAAAGACTCATTTAAAATACTTAATGTAAATCATCTGCTGGCTTTCATGATTTTATAGTTACAAGATGCTGTCATGGAAACAACACCTTGAGATTGCTTGCTAGATTGAAACAACACGTATCAAGATAATGTCCAATTCAAATAAACTCAACCTTGGCACCACCATTTTGTAAGTTTTTAATGTCCAATTCTGTATTCTAACCTAAGTTATCAGCTTGGAATAGCATATGAAGTTTAGAGTCAAATTTTATAGTTCACGTGATATTCTAAATTTTTCCTAAGCTGTGCATTATGTCTATCAAAAGTTTAGAATAGTACAAACCATTAGTCTAATTGCAATGGGCCTATGACAAGAGATCAACCTTTCTATCAATAGGGTGACTCAATTAAAGTTATATGCATTTTTTATTTTCATAATAAGTTTGTTGCTTATATAGCTGCATTAATCATTAGTGCATTGTCTTTATTTTTTTAGATAGAATCATACAATTTAATAGATTACATAGAATATTGATTTTTAAAATAAAAGCATATGTTGTTGTGCTCAGATTCAGAACTGTCATAATTTTACCTACTTATTCTTTATGATGTCTTAGTCTGAATTAAAGGATTTCTTATTCTTAATGATGATATTAGAGATAATACCAAAATAAAAATATGGGTATATGGGAGTCGTTAAGGAATGATTTCATGGTATGCTATCACAAATTCGTCTTTCTGTTTTGAAACAATAACAGTGTTGCACGACTACTACATGTTACACAAGTCTAAGTGTGAGTTGATTGATGTTCTTAGGTGACAATGATAGCAACAAGCCAAATCTTCAAGTGCCCCATGGCATATTTAAAAAAAAACTTATCTATTATATAACTTTTTGGTTGATATAAAAGGCAAGTGATAAACAACAATATTCTTATGTCAGATTTTAAGAACTTGTGACATATGGTTTTAACGATTGAGCTTATTTAGCGGTGGTGAATGGGATAATTAGATAAATTACAAATGATTGAGTGTAATCCAATATCATAGTATTCTTAATTATTTCAATAAATAGATTGTGATGAATTAGATTAAAATATATCAAGTTAGAAAAACCAATACCAATTCCATTAGAGTTAAATCTAAAGTATCCACAAGTAGCACAACACATGTCACTGCAAGCAAAAGCTTATTCTAAGCGACCGATGAGTTCATCACGACATTCAAAAATAACTTTTTCAAGGTTTGTGGTCAAAAGACATCATGACATTAAAAAATAATTTTTTCAAGGTTTGTGGTCAAAAGACATCATGGCATTAAGACTTAACGTTTGTGTTGAATTTTTGAATTTTGTTGTATTTCAAATCCCAAGCTTGTATTATATTTTTTTAAAAAAATAAATGGATCATTTTAAATTCAAGTTAAGTAATTTAGCATTGATAAAATTGATCTCTAACTGGATTAGATTTCGGTATTGCATGACGAGTAGTGATTAATAAACTACTCTTCAATTTTTTTTTCTTGGATCCCCTCCAACATATTTTCTTTATAATTTCTTTCTTAATGAATCACCTATCATGTATTCAAGTGAGACTAATTGTATAAAAGAGACTTCTTCACTCATTAATGGTAGATGATCCGATAAAAATGGAAATTAAAGAAAAAGTATTGAAAGACATCTTAATCCACTAATTAAAGACATTTGAACTAAAAGTGTAATTTTTACCATGTGTACCAAAGCATCTGCTACAGTATTGACATTCATTGGCTTACTTTTTTTTTTTTTTTTTTTAATTTTAACTTTTTTTCTCCAACAAATTATAAGAAAATTAATCTGCGCATGCATTATTGATTGATTTAACTCACACTCAAATAAATAAAAATTTTAATAAAAGGATATATGGTCGTTAGATTGTTCAATATTGGGTTAACTGCATGCAATTTTAATAGCTATTCTAATTTTTTGACCTTTTCCAAATAATAATTAAGATTATTTTAGTTTAATAATTCTTTTTAGATTTTGCATTGGAATTGACCTTATATGCTACATTAAATATATATATATATATATATATATATATATACATAAAAATTTTAACTTAAGTATAATTAAAAATTATTCACGTGCGACGTACGTATACAATACATAGTTTATATTAAATTTATGGGAGAATTACACTCATTCCCCTGAAGTTTGTCACTTAATCATTCAGACCCCCTAATATTTAAAATATTACACACAAATCCCCTAAAGTTTGTACACGCGTAACACTTAGACCTCTCCTGTAAATATATTCGTTAATAAATTATACTTAAATCCCCTGAAATTTATAGGTATATAATACTCAGACCCCTTAAGTTTAAAATATTATATTTAGACAAAAAAAAACTTCAATCAAAGATAAAATATTAAATATTTTAAATTTTACAACCAAAATTCATGTTCTATTGTATCATTTATTGAAATAAAATTAAAAATTAAAAATTAACTTTTTCTTAAAAAATTATAATTAGTATACAATTATACTATTTACTGAACTAAAACTAAAAAATTAAATAAGGAGTTTAAATCATTCATAATAGAACATGAATTTTACATCCAAAATTCATGTTCTATTATATCATTTGTTGAAATAAAATCAAAAATAAAAATCTAAATTAAACAAGGGGTCAAATTATAATAGACACAATATCTTTTAACTTTAATTGATGTAGTTTGGTATTTTAATTTGGTCGTTTAAATGACCAAATTAAATTTCAATAGACAATATAATTGTATACTAATTACAATTTTTTAAGAAAAATTGAATTTTTATTTTTGATTTTATTTTAATAAATGATACAATAGAACGTGAGTTTTAATTATAAAATTTAAAATATTTGATATTTTATCTTTGTTTGAAATATTTTTAATATAAGTATAACATTTTAAACTTAATAGGTCTAAATAATATATGTTTATAAACTTCAGGGAGTCTGAGTGTAATTTATTAACTGATATATTTTGAACAGGGGTCTAAGTATTACGCACGTATAAACTTTAAGGGATTTGTGTGTAATATTTTAAATATCGAATGTCTGAATGATTAAAAAATAAACTTTAAAGGATCTAAGTGTAATTCTCTCTAAATTTATATATGTCCTTAAATTTATTGAACAAATTTTCCTGGCCGGTAATAATATGGTGCATCGCCGGACCCCACCATATCCTGGAGACGCTGGTGATGTACAGTTCCGTTTCTTTGGGCCCATGATATCCTGGGACGCTGGCGACCAAGTCATATTGATTTTGATTGACTAAAAACAGTGCGCGCGGTGTTTGGTTGCTCAGAAAACGCGAGAAAAGGAGAAGGGAAAATAGATATCTCGGGTATGGTGTTTTACTATTTTTGTTGTTGTCTTCCCGAGGAACTGAAAATTGATATTTAGTCCTGAGTCTAATATGTACCCAGTTGAATTTTCTTTTCTGGGTATCGAGTAAATCAATGGTTCTGAAGTTTTTATTTTCTCCTTTTTTTCCCTCATTCTGTTTGATCTGGTTTCTTAGTTGCCAAACAGTGTATTTGGGTCAAGATTTAGTTTGCTTTTCCTCTTCCCTAGATTTTCATGACTGAAAAATTATGCTTTGTTTTGTTAGACACACTTTTTTGTAGTGTTTTGACTGTAAAATTAGTCGTTTCTGTACACTTAATCTTTATATGAATTGCATTACCATTGTGCTGTGGCAATTTAGTTATTACCAAATAAAACTATCTAGAGAATCACTCAATGAACGACATATAATTGAACTATCAGATCATTAGTCGAGCAAATTGCAGGGGGATGTTTAAACATCCATATCGGGATTGTAGATACCTCACGAATTGCCAGTTACATGGATTAAACATCTATATCGGGATTGAAGCAATTGAAAATGTTGATGATGCTGAATATATGAATCAAATGTTCACTTAATTAGCTAATTGTCATTGATTCCGTCGTTATGATGCTTGGAAGATGAACTTTGGATAACAATGCTGAAGCTTGGTAGTGCATCATACATCGATAGTCGCAAAATTTGGCACTTGTTCCAATTATGAAATATTGAAACTTTCACAAAAGCTATTGACATGTTGAGTTATATTGAAGAAACTGAGCATGGTATATAGGTGACTACTATTCACGGGAAGGATAGAGAAGCTTCTCACTCATCATTATTGCAATGGTAATAGAAACTAGTACTTGGTTTCACATGCTTTAGGTCTCAGTTGACTAATGTTCCCACAGGCACAGGCACCCATGACTTTTGTACTCATCTATTGTTTTCACGAACGTTGCCCTTGGCCTAGAAACATATAGACAGCTACAAATCATATCATTGCTACTCACATTGTCTCATCCCATCCTCAAATCTTGAAATTGTGGAAAATGGCTGCTTAATTAAATACTTATCGCAGAAAGAGAAACTAGTGAAGGTCACATTCTTGGCGTAAACTCTTTTGACACTCCTTAGTTCATGGGGACCATAAGCGAGTGCTTTCATTTGATATATAAATATATTTCAAACCTTAATAAAAATATTTTTGTCACTGTTTTGCAGATCAAACTCTGGTCTCTGGGTTATCAGATCAATAGAAGATGATTGATATTACTACAATGAACCGCGGAGAAATAACTCTGCTAGGATCTGCGTTTTGTGTAATTCTTACAATGCATTTCACAATACAGCTCCTATCTCAGCATCTCTTTTACTGGAAGAATCCAAAGGAGCAAAAGGCCGTACTCATAATCATCCTTATGGCACCCATATATGCTATTGTCTCATTTGCGGGTTTGTTGGATTTCCGGGGAAGCAAAGAGTTTTTCATGTTCTTAGACTCGATTAAGGAATGCTATGAGGCTCTGGTGATTGTCTTTTGTTGCATATTATATGACTTTTGTTAGTTTTCAGGATCTTTGCTCATGAGGTCGAAGATCAGCTTTTGGTCTCTTTCTCTTCTGTTGCAGGTTATTGCTAAGTTTTTAGCTTTGATTTACAGTTACTTGAACATTTCAATCAGCAAAAACATGGTGCCAGATGAAATCAAAGGACGGAAATTCACCATTCATTCCCAATGACTCTTTTCCAGGTGCAGATGTAGTTTTCTTTACATAATTATAATTTGATGTCAATTGGGAGCAGAATTACTGAAAGAAACAGAAATGAATAGTCTGATTTAAAGAATTTTGTATACACCAAATGGATCTTATTTTCCTGTATCAGAGTTGTTGTTTAAGCAATTTCAGTTGTAAACAAGTCAAACATGGGTTTGGTGGAAACTTGGAACGAATCATTCATCAAATCAATCCAGCTTCTTGATGTTACAGAGTTGATCTCATGAAGGCACAGTTGGATCTATATCTGCGACTTTACTCGCTGTCACTTTTCCCTTTTATCTATGTGGATTAAACTTACATGTTGGTGAGATTGAGCAAGAGTCGATACATTTCTCTTAAGTTCCTTTAACTTTTTGCACAAGAACTCACTCAAATAGGTTGCAATTGCACACAAGATAGAATACTAGTCTACTATCACTGTCTTATAACAATCAGCAGCTAGTTTTTTTTGTCAATGTGGGTGTTTGGTCAGAGGGATATATCTGAAGGATTTTCTTTTTGCCAATTGCAGCCTCATATTGCTCATCTGGACCACCATACGCTAAAGCATCTCAAGTACTGGACATGGCAATTTGTCATTATTCGGCCATTATGCTCCATTTTAATGATAGCATTTCAGATTCTTGGGATTTATCCGACTTGGGTCAGCTGGACATTTACCATCATTCTCAACCTTTCATTTTCACTGGCTATGTATTCCTTGGTAGTATTTTATCATGTCTTTGCCAAAGAATTGGAACCACACAAGCCACTTGCAAAATTCATCTGCATCAAAGGAATTGTTTTCTTCTGTTTTTGGCAGGTGAAGTTCTTATTTCTTTTCTCTGTTATGTGATATGATCATATGAGGATCTTGATTGCGTTAATATCAAGGAACAGATTCAATGGACCTTTTATGGGATTGGAACCCAAGGGCAGACATGCTTGTGCAGTTTAAGTGCTTGATCACTTGAAATGAAGGAATTCTTTGGTTTAGCCCTTCCCAGTCTTGCAAGAATGTCTTCTATGAGTGTGTCTATGTATGATAAGAAACATAACCTCGTTTGAAGCCAAGTTAGTGCATCTATTAATCGGCCTTTAACCATGTTTTCAGGTAGTTAAGAATATGCTTAATGGCCCCTCTCTAATCCCCTATTTTAGAGAAACAACACTAATTGCCATGTTCTATAAGTCTATAACGACTATTCATAACACAAATAGAGAGTACTATTGGGGTTGTGCATCGCAAATACTCTCTACTTTAGAAAATATGCTTTTTAGATTAGAGAGCAGCAGATGCTCTAACTGCAACTTTGTCAAAGAATACATTGTCATCGGTTTATTTTGTTGACAGTTAATAAACAAGGTGTTGGATTATGATGAATTGGAAAATCCACCGACTTAGCTCAGACTTGGTGTTGGATTTTCTAGTTGTGGCAAATTATCTGGATTAGTAGATGTACCATCTCTGTTCAGTATGTCATCGTACCCCATTACATCTTCTTCGTCCCTTTCTTCTCTCCCCCCCCCCCCCCCTACCTCCCCTTTCTTTTCTAATAGTTCCTTTGCTTTTTGGTTTTTCTTTTAATTGAGTAAAATGTAATGTACTTATTAGTGAGTGTAAAAAATTGATGTTTCTGAGCATATTCAGGGAGTGGTGCTTGACGTTCTGGTTGCAATGGGCATCATCCGGTCTCATCATATCTGGTTGGATGTGGAGCACATTGAGGAAGGTATTCAGAATGTGTTGGTTTGTCTGGAGATGGTCGTCTTCTCCGTTCTCCAGCAGTATGCATACCATGTTTACCCATATAGTGGAGATGTTGAAGCCAAAATGAAATTACGCAAACATGATTAAATGGCGTGACAAGTTGAAAATTTGAATGTGGATTAGAGACCTCAGCTATACTAACGAAGGCATTTTCAGGATTTCTCTGCATAACAGTGACACTAGAGGGAGCATTGTCGAAAGATGCCAATCTCTTATGTTTTTCTCTTCAATTTTGTTTTGTAAACCTTTTGTGGGATTTATTTCTGGGTGTGCTACAAGGCAGGAGAAGTCAATGGATGAGGATTGTAATGGCATTCATGCTTGTGCAGGTGCTGCTAATGTTACTGCTAGTGTACCTGAGGCAGCAGCAACGAAAGGATATGAAGAGATTACCGTCTTTAAGTGTATAGAACATGAACACACTGAATTTACATAGAAAACACAAGAGAATTAACTCTAAAAAGGTATATTATTCAATGAATAATTCATATTACATAGGTCAATATATATAAAAACTGTCAAAATCCTAATTGGCCCCATAATGGAAGCAAAATTTTTGATTATACAAAATTTATCAAAAATAGAAAATTGCAATCTAATTATTGAACATAAAAACATGTGTCATCTAGAATTTAACAAAACTAATAACACTGAATTTAGAATATCCTTAACAATAAAAATGAGATTTTGAGAGCCTAAAATTAAGAGAGTTTATGACAAAACGGTAAGTGTCGACCGTTAACCCGATTTAGATTAAACTTCACTGGTCCCACTAAATCTGTAAGTTAATCCATTGTCTCTATTGTTGCTTTTTGGCATTTCATTATGCTTTACAATCAGTCAGCTCCAAGTAATTTGTTGTCAGCTATTCTATATCAGTACCACGAATTGCTTGTTTTACAGAAGCAGAGGCTTCTACATGTGACTCGAGGATTATTATACCTTGTTCAAAGGAACTATGGTCCTCATTTCAATTTGTCTTCTCAACTACTGTTTTGTACACATTGCACTGAGTATTCCAATTTGTGATGCATTGCACAAATTGCTAAATTTTGAAGGAAATTACATTTTATTCATTGTAAAGAAATTACAATTCACTTACATATACCATAGCATCATTAAATACATTACTGCTTTGGAGTACTCATCTCTCCAATGCAAGCGTTTGGACAACCTTCAACTTTGATCCTCGTGAAGATATATGGTCATCTGGTTCGATAGGATTATGTTCTTGTTGAAAATCCAGTCCACATTGGGTTTTCTCACAAGTCCTGTACACAGCTTTGTCAAGGTTTAGTCTCCACCTGCTCAGTGAATGAGGTCACAAATTAGAAAGATCAACAGCAGAGAAACTATGACCAATAAATATACAAAAATTTTCACCAGAAAAAGGGCATAGAAACTCTATTAATTTAGAAAGAACATGGACAGGAACTATCATGCATGCTCATGTACCCAAATGAATTCTAGAACCAAGCATCAGTAATTCATAGTTTTATTAAAATCCTACATGACAGTCATGTGGTTCGTGCTGGGGGACTAATTGTGTAACATATTAGCAGGAAGCATAGCTTTCCAAGGGAGAAATAGGTTTTGCAATATCACCCTTTTCTTCTTTCTTGTCCTGGTTCGAGGTCTACAAAACCATAAGTAGAATGCCTTATCCTACAATTGGTGCAAATGGTGCAAAAAACCAAGTCCATTACAATAATTGCAGGAGTTCCCAAGATATTTATATATAGAATACACAGAAACGAGTAAGAATTGATACAGGCAACTCAGAAACAAGTGAACAAACATAACTTTGTGCTCCTAATCTTTACATGAAACGGTGAGAATTGACAAACCTTCAAGTAGTACTTTTGAACCTTCATAAGAGAATAAGCGTTTTGCATTTTGAAAGCTTATGTCTGCAAGTTCTTCTTTAGTCATCTCAAGCAAAGATGCCACATAGGTGAGTACATTATGAATATTAGCTGGATGATTCAGGGTCCCTTTTGGCAGTTTTGATGCATCATCAGACGGGCTTTCAGGACTGCCATTATTTGTCGATGAATTAAGAACAGAAGCATCTTTTTCAACCAAAAAGAGAGAATCCACACCATTTGTTTTCGGTAGTGCATCAGGTGCATCTGTCTCCAACAAAATCGTCTCAGTAGGTACTGACTTTAACATTCTCTTTGCTTTGTTTTCTTTCATGGACATAAGAAACCCAGAGAAAGAAAAGTAGGCACCAAGCTTAGCCAACTCAGGAACCATCTCAGCAGAGCCCAGGTAAGAATGCAGAATCACACCCTCGGGGAACGGCCCCACAGATTTCATTATCTCAAGAAGATCACCAAAAGCCTGAACACAATGGATGGATGCTGGTCTTTTCAACTGTTTGGCAAGTTCAAGCTGTTGGCAGAAAACTTCAACCTGGTCAGTAAAATCAATATTTCTCGCATGTGAACCTTTGTCCAAACCAATCTCCCCAACTGCAGCTGAGGGAGTAGCCTCAAAAAATTCCTTCAAAGTGTTCAACCAGTTGGGAGTCCTTTCACCAATAAACCAGGGATGGAGACCAAAGCATGGAACTATACAAGGGTAGTGGTCACTCATCTCCTTGACGAGATGCCAGTCTTTTTCAGAGACTCCATTTACAGCAAAATGAACTATGCCGGTGTCAAGGGCTTTCCTAATTAGTTGCGGTGCCATGGTAAAGATTCTAGGGTCTTGGAGGTGACAGTGAGAATCAAAAAGTTTCATCATGGCTTCAGATATGCTGCTACCACTGCTCCCGTCTCTCCTTATTTATCTCTAACGGTCAAAAGCAAGAATGGGGGTGAAAGCAGGTTGCAACGGCCACAAGAGCAAGCATGGGTAGCAGTCGGGGCATACAAAGGACAAGAAGAAATGGAAGCAGGAGGAATGGCCAGTGGAGAGTTGGAGATGCAGGTAAGCAACAGTAACACAGGTGCTGTTGGGATTGGGTTCTCCTTCAAGTCTGTAAAGTGGCAGATTTCTTGAGGTAACAGATGCTAAATAAAAGTGTAGAACAGCACAAATGTTTAAAGTATAAAATGTGAGGGTTAATTTTTGTCAGAGGACGATAATACCAGATCCGCAGATTCAGATGGATTGATCAATAAGGTTTCCAAAGGGTCAGACTGCAGAGTGGTTCATACATCTCATCCACCAAGTATAATAGAAAAACCTAGAATATACCATAGACATCGAATCTATAATTATATGTACTAGGAAAAGGCAAGTGGTTCACATGTTTGTCTCCTGGTGTCTCACATGAACTCAAAGCTCACCTCTTCCCCTTGATCTCTTTCCCATACAAATTTAATCATCCATCTTACCTATGTCTTTCTCTTCCACATTTACTCTTTTATCCACATCTAAATGATAAAAAGCAGATAGTGCTGAAAGAAAAATAATTTAAAAAGTTCCAAAGAATATTACAAGATGAAAGAGTATATTTTGTACATTGGGCCTGTTTGGAGCTTGATGAAAACTTCATCTTTTGGAGCATTCCGAGGAAAATAAGCTTGGTTTGTTCGGATCCGGACTTATTGGGCGGCATTTCCGTCAGGTTATTGGGCAAAAATGACTTTTATCAGCACCAAGAAAATGCTGAAAAAATGAGTTTATCCAACAAAAAATTGGCTTTTCGAGAACACTCTAAATGGTTCCAAGAATTTTTTTAACTCTGACTTTTTCATTTCACTTTTTAAACCTCTGTTTTGCACCCAAAAAAGTCAGCTCCAAACGGGTCCAGCATGTGTACCATGATTTTTAAGTCATCAATATATAAAATTATGGTCGTGTATTTGTGCCCACAGACAACTAAAGTGTTCATCTGACTACTGATTAGGTTGCGGAAGATAACGAGCTAAAATACCACGACTCTCTTAACAATCTTATAGTGAAGGAAAACACAAAAAAGGGTTGAATGTTGTTGAGCATTAACCACTAATTCACGCCTCAGGCGAACAGCATTGGAACTTTTCTACCATTAAACATCATTCTGAGCCACCAAACAACCGCCCTAGGCACCCAAGCTACCACCAGCAGTAGTCTAACATGCAGTTGATTTGATTGATTAATTTCTAGGGTTTCTTATCAATTACAGTCTAACTTATTTCCCATCTCACAGTTCTTCATTTTCCTCCAAATTTCTGAGGAAGCATTGCATTGAAATCTTCAGGAACAACACAGAACAAAAAACTGAAACAAATTCATATTTTCACAGAAAAAATTGGAATTAATATTTCCCAAAAATTGAGCTAAACGTAAAACCAGAGAATCAAAGACAAACAGAAAGGAAAAAAACACACACACAGAGTGTACACAAATTCATTGAGTTTACCTCTTGAAGGTTAGGGCTTGATTTTCTTCGAAGCTGTAAAGCGGAGTACGAGAGCTCCAAGAGGACCAAGACGGATGACTTTATAATAATCCTCCTGTTTTAGAACGGCTTGCTTTTACATACGACGTCGTTAAGTTTGTTGGGTAGGATTGAGACTCCAAAGCAAACACCGGTTACCGTAACAGTGTCACAATAATCGTTCAATAATAAATAAATGGATAAATTATATTGACACCTGACATTTGGCTTTATTGCACAAACATCTCCTCACGTTTTCAAAATTACACTAAAACCCCAAAAAATTAACGCCTTTAATTACACAAACGAAAAAATCATTTTACCCTTACCTTAACTACCCATTAAGATCCAAGATCTGAGACCAAAGACCCAAGATCCAAGACCCCACTCCTAAAAGTTGATCCCCTACCCCGCGACACACACACACACACACTCTCTCTCCCTCTCTCTCTCATGACGAATCAAAGCTCCCAACATTTCTCTCGCGACATATCAGACCCCCTAACAATTGGCGCCAACACCCAGTGGCGCAACTATCGTCGTCGGGTTTCAAAATCCACCCACCCACCACAACCGCCTATTTTCACCAACATCCAATGGCGCAAATAAATGAATCTCTACCTAGGGTTTGTGATCTCCATCTCTCTCTCTCTCCTATTTCTCTATCTCTCTCTCTCTCTCTCCTATTTCTCTGTGATCAATACCCTAAGTGGTGAAACCGGTGGTAATGGGTGGATTTTGCTAGTGGTGGATGCAAGTGGATTTTAAAACCCTAACCTTTGCGATGTAGTGGTGTTGGTTGATGATGAGTTTGGTCTAGATGGTGGTTTCAGTGGTGGTGGAGGCATGGGTGGTTTCAATGGGTTGTGGTTTTAGTCTCTCTTTCTCTCTCTGTGCTGCTGGCGGTGGTGGGTCTGGTTGAGTTTGGAAGTTTTGGTGGGTCCTTAACCATGGCGGTCTCAGCTAATTTTCTAACAATGGGTGGTGGGATTAGACTCGGATCATCTTTGTATATATTTTTACGCCCACAAGGTCAACAATCTTCATCAACAATAACACTAACAGGACAAAATTTAACAGACCTCTTTGATTTATTATTACCTCTGTTTGATGGTTTTTTGCTCAAACATGATCTCGAGAAATTGGAATTTGACAAATAGGTAGTTTTTGAGGAGTCCTCCTCCTTCACCAATCTTGATTTTCTCTCCAGAGCTTCATTGTACTTAGAATTCCTCATGTTTCTTGAATTGAAAAGTGAATTCAAAAAGGTTGTGATTTTACCACTCGGTGAAATGGGTTCTTTCACCTTCTTCAAATCTCCATAATTCTTCAATGATCTAGTTGAGTTTGGAAGTTTTGGTGGCTTTAGGTGGTGGAACTAATGGTGATGGGCGGGTTTAGGTGGTGGAACCGGTAGTGATGGGTGGTGGAAACGGTGGTTATGAGTGGGTTTAGGTGGTGGAACCGCTGGTGACAGGTGGCAGGAGGAAGAATTTATGTAATTAGATAAATAATAAATAAAATTAATATGATATAACCAAATATTATTTAATAAACAAAAAAAATTTAAAAATTAACTTATTAATGTAATAGATTAAAAAATTAAACATTTTAGTGTTAAATTTTTAAATTTTAATTTATATACGCAATATATGGATTAAAAATAAATAAATGAGAGGTTGAGTAAATTTGTAACGTGAAAAAAATATTTACTTGAATTCTTAAACTTAATTTGGAGGGTATTTTTAGTATTCTTGGAATCATTGTTGATGACATCAACTTTGACCGTGAATAATTCTAACATCCGTTAATTAGAGGAGGAATGGTTATTACAAATATTAAATGTCAAGGGAGTTTGGTGTAATTTTGAAAACGTGAGGGGGTGTCGTGTAATAAAATCAAATATCAAGAGTGTCAATATAATATATCCTAAATAATTAAATCTGTAAATGAATCCTACAAAAATTCATAATTATTTAGTCATATAACACAAAATCACATCCATAATAGAAAATAAGTCATATTTTATTTATTTTAGAATCTTTTTATTGAATAATTATATTATTGATATGGTATAACCATTCCCAAAACCGACCTCATATTTATCCTAAGGATGAAAAAATTAGTATTCTATTTGATTTCCTTCGGGACATGTTTAATTTGTTGGTTAGAGTGAAATTTGGAAGATGGGACTTGTCGGAATAATCCGATGGACTTAGATACTTTCCAATGCATATCAATTTTTGGATTGGATACCGGGTTTTCCAATCAATTCCATGCCATCAATCAGTGGATCCCGCATGAGAATATGAATCTCATGTGAAAATACAGTTCAATTCCTCACTCATTTGACCATACAAATATGACCTTTTAAGGAGGTTACTCGAAGGGGTGGATTGGATATCACAATTGAATCGCCAAAAAATCAAATAAAAATATACAGAGAGAGAGAGAGAATATTATACTTGGTAGAGGGCAACTCTATGAGTGTGCAAGTGAGTTCGGAAAGTAGTTGCTTGGGCTACGAAGGGTTGCATGAGGAGTGTTGGGAAGGGGTTGTGGCCGTAAGGGATATTGGGAAAGCAAAGTGATCTAATCCTCTCTCTTTTATGTTGATCAAGATTATCAAATTCTCAAGATAAGTAAGTCATTTCTCTATGTTATTTTGGAAATATTAAGGGATGATCATATAATAAAACTACATGTAGGGGATGCCACTGAATTTACACTATATTTAATACAAGTTAGACTTATTCTTAAGTATATAAAGTTAGTATAAAAGTTATTATCAACCACAAGTTTGATGCCCTTAAATTTTCAATCCTTTCATGCCTTATGAACAACAAAGTTTTGGTCCAACTAACTGATATGACACATTACTAAAACATTTATTTACGTACTCTTTTTTGCCCACTTCTTACACTTATCGAAAAAAATTAGATTCTTGGACCTAATTTTTGTGCTTACACCTTTTTCTTTTCTCCTCCCAAACCTACCAACAAAATTATAGTTCTTGGACCATTCTACTTGTGCAAATTATACAATGCAAAACACCATTCTACCAAACTTGGCCCATTTTGCAATGAGTATATGACGAAAAAGAACTTCTCCTAAGCAAAGAGCATACAATGAAGGATTTCTTTCCCCTTTCAGATTTTGGAATGCTTCTATTCCTATCCAATCAAGCACCATCCATTTTTTCAGAAACCATCCTCAAAGTGGAGGATCATATAAAATGGGTGGTGGGTGATTGGATAGCATTGGAGAGGATTCAAACCTCACTCTTTATCTATTGAATAATGTCTATGGTTACGTAACCAAGTACACGAGGCTCTTGTCGTTTCGGAATTTGATGCTCACAGGTTATAATCAGAAATCCTTACGTACCAAATTAATAGTGTTCATACAGAAAAAATATTAATTCAAAATCTCTTTATTTACAAGCATTTCAATCTCTCTTGAATCTCTGATTTGTTGTCCAGATTCAGACCTCTCCTTTGTTCTTGGATGACCTTTTGCTTGGGACTTTCACTTTCTCCATCGGATATAAAATTCTCATAATAGTTTATATGATAATCATAAAGAACCTGTCTTTGTGATTTTCATATTGTATTATTTTAAGTCGCGTGTCTTCTTTAGGTTTTGACATTTCGAGTTATTTTGTATTAGTATCAATATTTGAGTTAATTAAAAACTATTTAGTTCGAAAATAATTTATATAATATTAAATCAAGTATTTTTTTTAAACATTCATATTCTTCTTTCAATGTCACCCAAATCCGTATCATTTAGTCATGTCATTTTTAAGTTCCTATCAGTTTCCACAAAGAGGAAAGGTTGTGTATCACTGAAGTTTCTCAAACCCTGAGCATTATACCAAGGTACGACTTTCAAAACACAACCAATTTTATTATTCAAGCCGTAAACAAAAAATTAGGGCTATTAATCGAACCAAACTACTCAGACTCAACATGGATAAGACTTAACTCGATACACGAGTCAAGCTCAAACAATTGATAGAACTCATTTAAAAAACAAGCTTAAAAAACTCAACTATAACTCAAAAGATTCAACTCGTTTATATGTAAAATAGTTAAACTACTCGAACTCGACTAGGCTCAGGCTTGACTCATTTTCTAAACAAGCTGAACTTGAACAATTTTTTAAGCCCGTTTAAAAAAACGAACTTGATAGACTCGGACTTAAGCTTGACTCAATTAAGGGCCCAACTAAAAACAATAAAATCGTTTCTATCAACCAGAAAGATGAAACACTGAATGCAGATCAATCTGAAAAGAAAGAAATGTCACTTGGCTAGCTGCCTACACCAATTATGCAGCAATTCAATCACTCTATAAACCCACAATTCACATGTTGGAACAGCAAGAAATTAATGTCTAAGCTTGTATATACTTAAAATCATCACAAGCAAGAACAGGACCACCCGACCAGACTTCGATCCAGCTTCAAAACAGATTTGCATACACCAAGGTTTGGCGTAAAAAACAACCTGCTGGGAGTTCTATTACTTAAAGAAAAGATAAACATATATGTAATCTTAATTACATCCTACCTAGTTCATCGATTGGGCAGAAAGGTGAGCTCCGACGATGAAAAAGAACTAGCTTCGACCCACCACCCACTCAAGTTGAATTATCATTTTTTCGCAATACAGCATAGAGATCAGCAAAACTATCTCTTTATGTACATATATGAAGAAGGATGATGCCAAACCGTCTCAATGTACAACAAAGCTATTTCCGCCGTCATCACACCAGACCTGCTCCAAGGATATACACTATGCCATAGAATAAAAAAGTACCTCTTATCTATCAGTGGTTGGTGTGGATCCGGGTGCGTTCATAGTTAAAGTCATATGATGGTTTGCTTCAGTTTTCTGATGATTGCTGTCAAAGGCAATATTGTTGCTGAAATTTGCCCCTCCAATTCCATCCTGCTGTGTCTGATTGCCAACTGAATTCACGTTACTAATAGAGTTTGACAACCTCTGTTGCCTGTGATACCTCTCCGTGGCATCTTGGAGCAACCTCATGACACCACCAGAATCTGAACTAGGTGACAACTCTTCCTCCCGTTCCGGTTGGATATTGAGGTCAATTTGACCTTTAAAAGGTGAAATGGAGTTTTTTCTCACAGTTGGGTCATTCTCAGAACCCTCACTGCTCCCTATTTCATGGTTCGGGGTAGTATTGCTTGTCTCATTACAATGCTGGATGTCATCATCCAGCAGTTGTTCGGGCAACTGTTCCTGCTGCAGCTTTTGACGTGCAGTTTCTGCTTCCTTCTCTGATTGTTTCTTCCCACGTTTCAACAAAAGGGTATGAAAACGGCGCTTCACTGTTGCACATACGTTGCAATTGCATGATTGCTTGTGCTTATGGCCCTTGCCGCTTGGGGGCTGAATGCAGACAATGCACGAACAGCCAGCTCTGTGGCGTGGGTGCTTTGTTGTGGCCTGTGATGATGATGGGAGGGCCTCTCCCTCTTCCTGGATAGCAAGGTTGGCAAGCGTGTCAAGCCCCTCCAAAGGGCCAACTGAATCTGTATCCTGTTTAGCAGCCTTCATTTTCTTAGAAGCAGCTGCTCAACAATCAGATAACAAAAGCAAATATGACAAAAATTGCAGAAAATGTGACCAACACTATGAGAAAATGGTATTTGTAAAAATTAATGATGATAAATTTGTCAAGTTCGAAGTTTGATAAGGGAGAAATAAAACCAAGAAATAATCCATACCCTTATTACTCGTGGGTAGCAGATCTTGAAGCTGTTCAGATGTTAATTCCTGAGCCACGGCACACACAGATCTGACAGCCGAAAGAATGGAAAAAATATTAACACTCGTCCTGAAGTGCTCATAACTCACATGGACTTCAATAGTTCCACAATTAGGGTCCAACCATGCAACAAACAAGAAAAGATAAAGAGGGAAAAAAAGGCCCCTTGGGGGGGGCTCATGCAAAAGCAATGGTGCCAGAGATTGGTACTGGTAGGAAGATCTCTTCAAATATAATAAAGTTCAGAGCTAAAAACCAATGCCTTTGTGACAAAATAGATGCCACAAAAACCATAACTGCAGCAATAAAAGTCATTGAACACACCAGTGTTGGTCCACCAAAATGGACTTTGTCCAGACCAATCCATAAGCATTATTGCACCAGCGAATCCAGGTAAAAGAGAATAAAAGGACAAGGCAGAAGCCATAAAGGACATGGATCAGCTGATCAAGGGAACGAGAGAAAAAAACTGGAATTTATAACCATACAAGAGGGCATAATATAATGCAATGATAAAAAGGAAGTACGGTACATCTGCACTCCACTGTCACTGTGTTTTAAGGAATCTAGATATCAAACACTCAATACCAATCAACATCAGAGCCATTGTCCATTTTTCGAAAATGGAAGGTACAAAACATGTCTTCTCAGTAAACTTCAGGACACAAAGTGAATTGATATACTGAACGAAAGGCCTTTGTTATAAAGAGCATGTTAAACTGCATTAAACACACTGACAGGAGAGTTTTGAGAAGTGGGAATCAAAATAAAATGCATGTAGTACTTTAGAAATCAAATTTATCCATCATGCCACAGTTCACTCCACTGCAGACAACAAAAGAGTGCTGCAACATCGAAAATGATCCTAGCATCAAACTTAATTGCAGTATCAATAAGGCATGGCATGATTACACTAGGAATCCAGAGCATTAAACCAGTAAGCTTAAAACAAAATAATCCAATTAAGTGCTTCTCATGATTACACTTGAGAAGCACACCGGCTTCATATGCAAAATTAAATCAGGTTCAGCAATGAGGATATACAGACGTTCTGTTATTTGTTCTGAGGGTAACAAAATGAGCCCTCCAAACATATAGAGTGAGATATAGAGGCCAAAAGTCTGTGTTTAAAAAAGTAGATAGGGTGTCTTTCATACCTGTCTGGATCCCACGAGTTCCCAGAACAGGTCCACCTTGAGGGAAGAAGAGCACTGGCAGGCACTTTGCGCCACTTAAAACAGTCTTCGCACTGAGTCCATTGGATGTTTTCACTGAACATATGAAATACAGAATTAAATTCACTTGGCCAAAAGAGATGACGTAAATTGGCTAATATGCTCATTTGGAAAAATAGCTTAAGAAACCTTGAGACTCATTTAGTTAAAAGAAGAATACACAATGATTATGTTCGATATCAGTACAAAAGAGAATTTCTTAAATTCCAAAAAAAAAAAAATGAAGACCAAATGCCAAATGCGCGTGGAATGAAAGCCTGCAAACTTCGAACAAATACATACTGGAGCCATTTACTCAAAAAAATCTCAGAAAATATTCTGGACTGCCTCCAATGTGCACGTCACTAAAGAAAAATTTGAGAAAATTGTCAGGACTACCTCCAAAGTGCACATGGGCAAAGATGCTTTCAAACAAACAGGCATAGACTAATCAATGATGTGTACAAATCAAAGCACATAAGCAATGTACCCTGTATTATCTGTTGCAGGGATTGTAGGCATCCCAATAACTGGTGCATCCTGCTAAACAAAATCACATCCAAAACCCAAAAGATTGAACCTCTTTCAGTGCTTTGACATCAGTTGTAAAGTTTGACAAGGAATAAAAACACTAAGAGAACAAAGCAAACATGAAGGCTGACAAAGTTCAAGAAAAACTAATAGTAATCCCTAAAGAAAATTATGGTAACCGATTATCATTTCAGAAAAAAAAAATATATCACATAAAGGCCCAGCTGATCACGTGAACTATAGCATCAAAGAAGATTTTCTTTAGAGCAGCAGCCTAGCATATGATCTTTATACGGAAAAGTTAATCTCGAGCTCATAATACCAATATAACATCGCAAGTTTGTTAAAAGCAAAATAAGCATTTATGTCTCAGCAAGGCCAATTGACTAACAACTTTGTTCCAATTTACTTCTCCTTCTCCACCATTTTTTTACTTTTCTTCTCCATACTCTTGAGTGAATCCTTGGCAAATGCCTCAACTAAGCAAAACTTTAGAAGATTCTACCTCAAGATATATCTGTTTTCCCATATCATAAACAGATTTCGAAAACAAAATCGATATGATTTGCCTTGGAAAACATAAAAATTGAGAGTTCATAATATAGATCACAAATTCTTTGTTCAGTTACTATCTTCACAGCCCAATTTAAAGACCCACATTATTTTCTAGTTATGAAAAACAGGAGATTGCTACAACCACCATAGAGCAATAATGGACACTGATCTATTTGGATCATGAAATGCAAAAGACTGCATACCTCATATTCCTCAAATTCATATTCTTCAATTACAACAATAGCAGGGACATGGTTGGGTGATGGACGGATCAATCCTTGAGCTTGTTCCATTGTCAGCTTTAGCTCTATCATGCCCCCGTTTTCAATTCTTAGGCGTTTACCCTTTGAAATCAAGGTACTGTTTTTCCTCTTAACACGGGAGCAAGGCTTGGCCTCAAGTACTTCCTTCGCTATGTATCCGGACTTGTCAAGTTCGGATAAAGTAATGGCCGGATCTGCCGACTTAGCCTGGTTGATTGATGAAAAGCTGGATGATATGGAATTATCTTCAATACAACAGTAAGTTGAAACAAATTCATCAGGTTTAGTACTTACAGCACTAACATCTCCAAGGGTAGAAACCCCATTACCAATATTGACAGCATCATTGCCCTGTAAACAGGAGAGAACATATTAAATATATGTTGAAACAATCCAACTTATGGTACCACAATCCAAAAAACAGAGAAAATCCAATGATATTGCATGGATTGCGAAATACTTCCCAAATTAAAATCAAGATGAAAATGGTATTTACTATCTTAAAGCAGAACGAATCCCATTTTATTGGTCTGGTTGCTGATAGGCAGTTATCTAAAATAATGATAGGAATTTGGCAACATTACATTTGGTAACTACAAGATAGCAGGAAAAACTCTTAGTTTATGGTACAAGACCAAACCTGATCTGATGAAGGAGCAGTGGAAGCCTTTCTGCATCCCATGACCAACTTTCCTTCAGGCTCTACCCTACTAAATGTCACTGAACAGAACCAATATCATATCTCAATCACAACTCAAAGAATTCATAATAGATTCGTTCATCCAAAGAAGGCAAGACACAGCTCACTCTGGGGAGGTGGAAAATAAAAGAAAGGGCAGTGGGGATTAACGAGCAGAACATTGTATTTTATGTCCTCAAATGCAGATACAAATTATATAGCGTGCATAGGCAATCTGTAGTGTATGAGCAACAGTTAGTAAGGCTGCTGCAAAGAAAAAAAAACAACAGCAAAGTTGTTGCTGCTTTCAACATCTACCCTAAGCCCACCCATCTTGAGGCAGAACATGGGAATGGTTCAAAGAACCTTTTAACCCAGAAAGATAATTGTAAAATAATTTTTTTTTTTTAAAAAAGGGATTGTTTCCAGGCAGTACTAGTTAGTTACCTATATCTCCAGCTTGCAATTGCATGGACTGTATACAAGGAGTTACCCCTTCTAAAACATACATTCTGCTGTTATTATTGGGCCAGAAGCGGAATTGAAATACCCATTCCCGGCCTTTTAGATCTTGTACTTTGAGTGGCAATCCTTCAGGTTGAGAAATAGGGGGAAAATAGGCCTGTGTAAATGAATTTGAACTCATTAGAATTGCAAAGAGAACCAATTTATGAAAAATCCAAAAGAAAATTACAATGAGTGATGACAAAAAAACAAATGTTAGAATGCTCAATAGACTGCTTTGCAGACTTCTTCCATTAGCATTCTTTAGAAGTGTGGGGAAGAAAAGAAATGGTACGTATTTTAAGCATAAAGTAATGTCCATGGAAAGGCTAAAGCAATCACTTTCATACTTCCATAACATCTGGGAAAAGGGCTTCTAACCTTAGCGCTTAGTCCCATACTCCCATTTATTGAGTTTTTGGAGGAGATGACTCAATCTTAAATTTGTATAGTTATTGGTTACATTAATAAGTAGACGCCTTCTTAGTGTCCATTCCTGTAATGTTGCTTTTACCGATAACAAAAAACATCTATATCATGATGAGTATGATGTCAACCTTCTATAATAGAGAACTTGAAGCATCAAAGTACTGAACAAAGTAATAGTCAAATCTCATAAAGCAAAAAGACCCACCTCTGCACATTTTTTTGGCAGCACTAAACGCCCTATCCGCCCAGCATCACTAGCACTTAACATCTTCTCGAACAAAGGAGTAATTACCGAGTTCGAACTAAAATTCAGTTAAGGAACAACAATCAATAAATCACTGCTCAATTGCATCAGAAAAATGAAGTCAATAAGTACGTTAATTGCCAAAAAATGAAGTAAGTTTCTTCAACCAGCAAAAAAAAAAAGTAGGTTAATTGCCAAAAAAAGGTTACATAGATCTACCAGCAACTGTTCCCAAACTTGGATTCAAGAAAAATCCAAACAGATGACACAAGAAATCTAAATCCAGAAAAACCTGTTGAAACAATTATGGTTAGTACCATAACTAACAATTTGGTCATAAAAATGCCTCAAGAAACAAAAACGATTTCTAGAACCATGGGGATACTCTCCAGATATTTGTTGTAGCTCCTGATCAGTTATCCTGGGCCTATACCGAGGAAGTAACTGGTTTCGTCCCCGGGAATCTCCTCGGGGTCTTCCATTGCGCATTGGAGCTTCAGCAGATGAGTCCAAACCATTATGGCCACAGAATTGTTTTCCAACTGGAGGAGGGGTAATTCGTTGTACGTGAATCCCAGAAACCTTGGTTTGGTCGTTCATTTCATTTTTGGATTCAGAAGGTAGAGCCAAACTAAAATTTGGAGAAGGCTCATCTTTTGATGAGAAGGACTGCTGAGAAACATGTACACAAGGATTATATTGCCCATCACAGTTGATTCCTGCAACAGCACAATTGCATGAAGGTAAGCAAGAAGCCCATACCTGTTTACGTATTGAAACATTTCCACGGCATGAAAGCAACAACATGCTGTAGATTTTAAATGTCCTATTTATTCTCTCATTAGTACATATCCATTCACGAGAAGACAATTACCAGTATTTCCATTCTCTGGTATCTCTGGCACACCACTCTTCAGGCTTCCGTTCAATAATCTTCCATGGGATTCCTCTTTTTTCTTATTCTCCCACGAAGCAGATAAATGCTCACTAATACGAAGTTTATCAATGCCACCTGAAATTTCAACTTCAAAGGGCATCCTAGGCTGCAACTCAGACTGAGTAGTTGAACCATTGAACAAACTGGGTGCTTGCCGCCATGGTAGTGGGCCTGATCCAGCTAATGGATTCCAATTTTTGACAGACAGATCTTTAATTCTTTCAGGCTGTAGAGGAAGTAAAGATGGTGGCGGCCATGCAGGATTTGGCGTCTGTAACACAGAACAACAAAATATGGAATTGTGACACATATCTTCCGCCCAGACAAAAAATAAACACATTTGGTAACACTTTCTGGTTGAAGCAGTCTATTATAGGAGAAAGGGGCCGAAAGTAATAAAATACCTCTGCTAATGAGAAATTAAACTGTTAAAACAAAATGTTTACTTTTTGCCAACTTTTTAGATACCAGTATATGAATTATTCATGAAAGGGAAATGGAGAACAACAGTGCAGAAATCACAGGTCCCATAAATTACTAGATTTTTGTTTCAGAAGAATAAATTATGCTAACCTCTTTGGGGAATGGGAATGCCGTTTTTTAATTTGATTTGCCCCACCTGGGTTCTTGGGCAGGTCAACTTTTGAAAGCAGTGTTATTCTTCATGTTATCAGATAGACGCATGCTGAGTGCATGCATTCAGAATCTCTTTTAATCTTAATAATCAAATTTTACTCACTTCAGGGCCAGGATTCTGATTTCAGTGAGAATTAAAGAGGGCCAAGCTAGGGCTACACTTAATCAGATTAGGTTTAGGTTTAAGGTAACCCATCCCTATTAATTAAATTCACTATTTTTTACTATAACTAATTCAAAGTGGGAAAGGATGGCAAAGACGGCATGATTGAACCACCCCGTGGCATGGAGCAAATTGTCCTTACCAAAATGAAACTTTTCCTCGCACATGTAATGCACTCAATTCCTCCAGCATCCAATAGTACAAACATGTGGAATGAAACTATACATCCACAATGTATTTGCTGCAAATGAAAATTCATTGTTACAAGCCTTGGACCAAAAAAGTAACTCAAAAAAGAGACTTCAAAATGAAACTAAGTTCACATCTACAATAGAGAAGAAAACATATAAATTTGCTAAATCATCCGTGATAAACAGTTGCGACAAGGCTTTGTTGAGTTGGATATCCATAAAATAACATTCTGTTTCCCAAACCAAAAACAAAATCTCAAAAATATTTAATCTTCTGCTCACCTTCCCACAAGACTCGCAAGACCTCCAACCAGAAGCATTCACATGAAAAGTCTCACAGAATCTCCCCTCCTCATAAACAGAACTAAGATCATGAATCAGAGTCAATTCACAGCAAATAAAGATAAAAGTTGAGACATTAAAAGCCACAATATGAATTGATCTTCTAACATAGCACAGAACATGTTATAGGGCTAACAACAGATTTTATTTTTTTTGGGTGGGGGTGGGAAGTTATTATATATATTTTTCCACTTTGGGGTGGGGGTTAGGGAATTCCGGAGTCAAAGCTATTTTTAGCGCCTTAGACAAACACATTATCACTAGAAGTTCAGGAAAAATACTAGATATCGCATTTTGACTACTTTCAGGATCAGTAAATGCAACTAAATTCTGAGGCATACATTAATAACCATAAACAGACAAATACAAAGCATCCATCCGGTAAAAGAGAAATACACCTAAACATTAAGGAGGATGTCTACAATATTGTTTCACATGCTCATCACCATATGTAATTCAGTGAGTGAAGTTCTCTCTCCAGTAAATTGTGTATAGGAGAGGGGGAATACGGGCATTTACAGTTGCAAACATCATGACTCCATCTCATTCCCACTGCAGTCATCTCACATTGTTTGGCATAAGAAGTCCAAAAGTTCATCACAAGCTTTAAAGTGAAATCTGTAACAAATTGTACCACAGACTTTGTTCTCAACGCATAAGTTGATAATTTGAAAGGTTGGATCTGAACTGCTAGAGCTTAATATCAAAGATACTCGAGCAACATTGAAATTCAAAAAGAGAAAGATCAACATCTGTATTAAATGCCACCAATACATCAGATACTCAAGCAACATTGAAATGCAACAAAAGCAATAATCAACAGTAGTATTAAATGCCACCAATACAATTATGGATTAGCTGAGATACAAAACCCCGAAGAGTTAAAATCGATCAAAGCATTTCTAAGTTATGGATAAACTCTAACGATGTAAAACTATCAATATGGATTAGTAAAGGTTACTAGTACAACCCTGATTCCAGTGGCCATTCATATAGAAATACACATATTTCATGTATTTTTCAACAAAACCCAAGGGTTTATTTAACACCACTACATATCTACCTTACCTTAATATTAAAGGAGGATGGAAACATGGATTAAAAGATTCAAACGAGTACATTTAAATTCTTATAAGGAATGGGGTTTTACATGTTGTCTATCAACTATCTCTATTATTTTCTGCTTCTGCATAAGGGAAGAAAGTTATGCAAACACTTCCAATTCAACCCTCTAAAAGATGGAAAAAGGAAAACCATCTCCTTAAAAGCACAATCCAGTTTAAGGCAAAATACTTCCTAGAAAAATTTAACCTGCAAATAGTAATCGAAAGCAGTCCTTTTGATAAATAATAAAAAAGAAAAAAGAAAATCCTCAAACACCAATTTATTTATACACATAATATTCCCTGGAAACAAATACAATCAAATAAAAGATAGCGAAACCAATTTTCCATGTTCCCAACCCCTATTCACAGGGAACACTCAACTAGTAGACATGAATCCCCTAGGAAATTCAATGCACATTAGCCTTTTGTTTTGTTTTTTTTTCCACTTCCAATCTAAGAAAAAGACGCTGTTTTTCCAATTTCCCAATCAAATTTCATGCATACCAACAACGATGGGACCTCCAAACTTAATAAAAAAACTAATCTTGCACTAGAAACCAGTTCTTACCAAATAATTAAGCACCAAATAGAGTAAATCAACAACAAAACAATGCCAAACCCGTAAAGCACACCCTAAACTCCGCTTAAACAGACCCCAAACGCTCCAACGATTAAAAACACAATAATTCAACGGAAAATTGATAAAACACTGAATCAGTCAACAAAGAGTCAAAATTGCTTACGCGCAACGTTCACAGAGGTCGGCGAACTCGCCGGTGCGTCGGCGCCAACCTTTTCTGGACTGCACCAACAACTCTTTGCAGTTCGAATTGAAGCAAACCTTCGTCGATGAAGGCGACGACATCGAAGCTTACAAGTACCAAAACTAAACTCGCATAAACCCTAAACAAAGCAATAGAGAAAGATGTAACGAGCAACAAAAATAGAAAAATCTCGAGAATCTACAATTCTAATTGAAGCAAATCTTCATCGAAGCACTTATGAAACCAAAAAAAAATAAAAAAAATCTTCAGCGAAGCTTCAGAATGAAGAAAAGTGCTAAAATGGAAGTGAAATCGACCAAAGAACTGGAGACAGGTGTGCGGGTGATCCGTATACAAAGAGAGGGGGGGTTGGTTGGAGCCTTGCAGAGAGGGTTTTAGAGAGAGAAAGGAATGAGGCAGAAGTGAGAGAGAGAGAGAGGATGTGTATGAATAGGTGTTCTTGTATGTATATATTCGAGCCTCTACGTGTGTTTGTGTAAAGAGGCTTGAAAAGCACGTCGAGCGAAGTAGTGAGAGTGGAGTCTCGACTCGTCTCTCTCTCTCTCTCTCTCTCTCTCTCTCATCATTTGAATAACTAGAAATAACTTAGTGCATGAGAACACTGTATAATAATAATAACCGAATATTAATAATAGAGTTGTTTAGTATTAATAAGTGTATTGGCTACATTATTTGATATTAACTCTAAGAAATAATTCATTTGAATTTTGGTCATCTCTTTCGGTTAGGTTTATCCTTATGAATATTTTAATTTTTACGTCTTTGATCAAATCGGGGGAAAAAATTAATACATGTAAATTAATTTGGACACTACTAATATTAAAAAATAAATAAAAAATTGTCTAACGCAGTCACAGGAAGGACCTGAAGAAAATAATTTTTTTTGAATGAATGAATTTTATACCATTAAATTAAATTAGATAAAAATTAAATTAATTTTAATTGGAATTGTACTTTTATAAATATACACTTCAAATTCCTAGGTGTAATATTAGATATAATATTAGATGGACCAAAAAAATAAGATCAAAAAAAGGGATCTAATTAGTTTCACTTTTATTTATTAATATTCAATATTTATTTACTATGGCAAATGTCACACCATTTGAACTCAATTTTTTATCAAGGTATACACAATACTTATACACTAAAAGGGATACGATTTTAATACCAAAAATGATTTTGTAGTATCATATATTTTTATTTCTTGCCCAATAAGAATATGTTGTAAATTTATATTTTTTATGATTAATGGGTGCAAATTAATTAAACTAAAATCAACGATTATATCAATTTATATGGCTACCAATTCTTTCTCACACTCATACCCAACTCAAAATCATAAGACGAGTGTGCATTGCAATTAAGAATATTAAAATTTCAACTAAAAATATAATATTTTTGAAATATGAGGGGATCTTTGGAGATACCATCCAAACAAGCTATAAGAATATTAAAATTTAAATTGAGTGAATCTCAGTCATTCTTGTGCCAACCTAAGTTGGGAGATTTAAAATGAGTCATATTCTATTATATTAATGTAAGAAAAAATGCGTAATTTTTTTATCTATTTTAATTTTCAAAATAATGATTTCTAATTTGAAAGTTTTGGATTTTCTAAATAACTATATGACATAATTATGACAATTGATCTAATAAGATAACTAGCATTTTAAATTTTATGCTCCTTTATTCTTTTAGCTTATTTGATCACATCACTCAATTTTATCATAAGTTAAATTATTTAATTTTTTATTTATCTATGGGGGTCAATACTATTTTTATTCCAGGTATTGGTCGTATAAGATTTATATACATATATGGACGACATTTTTTTAAGGTCATGAGTTTTGACAATTTTTTGTCAATGTTTTTTAAAACATAATAGGAAAAAAAATTATTATTTAATATAGTAAGATCAATTTTTTTTGGCATTCAAGTTTTTAGGTACGAGTTATGACTAATACTTGAATATAATATTTTTTTGCTGATATAATATGATTCAATGGACTACTATTTAGAAAAAAAAGTATAGAAAAATTAGGTGCAAAGTCCGGGTACTTGGTGAAATTTTAAAAATATAAAACCTATTAGTATAAATAAATACATTGTTAGGGATAGGGATTCAAAAATATCTATATCGTGGACTTCCAAATTGAGCCCGTTGACGTAGCGAGTACATGATTTAATGTACACGAGAGACTATGGTAATAAGATTTCTTTGGCTGCTATAAGGTCATGTAATCACGTAACGCATATTACATAGATCACTCGCGCTTTGTAACTTAGATAATAAATAGGGTTAAAAATAATTTGAGTTATTCGGATTCGGTTCGTATTTGATTTGTATAAGATTTAATTTGAGTTCAGCTCGTGTTTTAAATTAGCTGAATTTCAATAAATTTTTTAAACTCGTTTAAAAGAATGAACCTAAATGACTTGGTTTGAGTTACTCAAGTTTGGCTCAGATTCAATTCGTTTTGGGCTTTGTTCATTTTTTAAATGAGTCAAACTTGAACAATTTTTTAAACTTATTTTTAAAAAACGTACTTGACTTGTTCGACACAAGGTCGTAAAACTCAGTTCAATTATCAACCCGAATATGTTAATGTTAATCTCATAGTCAATACTTTCATATTGATTAGTTTTTTTTTTTTTTGGTTCAACGGTCGAGTGTGTTTGGGGTCAACTTATATGCATTTTGACTAATTCACTCTCCGATTTGGTCAAAGTCAAGTTATTTATGTAGAGATTAGAGTATTCATAAGAGATAAATCTCGCATGATATCCCCATGAGTTATCAATATTCAAATTCAAAATATCTGAATTTACAGTTTGTCTTTATTACTATTTGAACTACCATGAAATTTATATTGGTTGACATGCCCTAAAATACTTTCATATCGATTAGCTTTTTTTGGTTCAACGATCGGGGTGTCCCAGGTCAGCTTGTGCGCACTTTTACTAATCCACTCTCAAATTCATTAAAAATCAAACTATTCATGTCGGAATTAAGGTATTCATAAGAGATAAATCTTTTATGACTTGGTCCCAATGAATTATCAATATTCAAATTAAAGATATCTAAATTTATAATTCGTATCTATTACTATTTGAACTACCCTAAAATTCATATCGGTTATTTTGAGATTGGGAGGTTGAACTAAAAAATACTAGCTTAAGAATGCTAGTCAATGTAGACCAAAATATAATATTTTGAATAATTTTTTTTGATTCTACAACTAAAGAAACTAGCAAATGTTTTCTTTGTAAGACCACTCTGAAAGTACTTAAGTCAAAATTAAATCACAGCCTTAACGTCTCAATCTTTTGCACAATTGAAAATAATCGTGTAGTCAAGATTCGAACATACCATACATAAGATCGAAGATTTTGCTAAAAACGTTTGTTTTAATTATATTCAACAATTATGATGGATTGAACTATGAAGTTTGTTTTAACTTTAGAGAATCAGCAATGCTAGATGAATTTAAAATACTGATTTTTCAATCATAATTATTGAATAGATAATGATTCTTAATAAATAATGAGATCTACAATTAAATCAATGATAGTAATTGTTCAAGTCAGATGAATCGCAACCATTGAATAAGTATTCAATCCTAATAAATAATAAAATTTATAATTAAATCAATAACAGTAATCAATCAAATCAATATTTTAAGTTCATGGAACATTCTAATTAGAGAATTGGTATGACCATTAGACATAGTGGAACCACATCATACTAGGCAAGGTTGAAGTAATATTTACTCATTATCGGACCAAACAAGGACATAATAAAATTGTGTTATTGATGTTGACATGATGACATCTAACTATATATATATATATGATAAAGTAGTTTCCTAAAGTCGTCCATAGAGTGGAAAAAGGGTAATGCATGTGCACAAGTATGACCAAGATTGATTCTCACCCACTTAATGGCATGTTCCTATAATTTTTTGTGATTCGGGATATTTTTTATTACACTTTTTTTAATTTTATTTAATAATAGATTATTTACCATTAATACAAGTGGGATTCACAATTTATAAACTCATACACGTTGGAGGTTGGACGATCTATTATTACATGAATTGGGTGAAAATATAATTAAGAGAATTTAAATCGATCTATTTTTTTTCACATAAAAACGTTAGATTTAGATTCACTTCAGTAGTAAATTTTCTCATGTTACTTTTAATCCGTCAAAACATGTGGAGAATTTATACAATATTATTCTTTTTGGGATAAGGTTGTATGACCAAAAAACAAGCTATGCAATTCCAAGTCTGTACTCATATAAATCAAAAAGTGATGTTGTAACGAGTGACCACAATTCACCCCCTTTAGGATCACGTGTACTTCGTGTGGAACCCGTCTAGACCAAAGTGGCATTGGTTTATGGAGGATAGCTCCGACAACGTTCGCTAACACTAACCAAGCAATCACCTCGTGAGACTAGTTGCAACATAATAGTAACGTCTTGGCCCGGCATTATCGAATATTATGGGGCTGTTTGTTTCAGATATAAGAGTGGTATAAAGGGTGGTATAAGGAAAATAGTACATGGGACTTATCTTAAATCTTGTTTTTTTGAAATTTTTTATTATAAACTAATTTTTGGGCCATATTACTGATCCGGTGTGAACAGTAACACTAATGTATTCTACACGGTGTTATTCAATACCACTTACCCGGTGGTATAATATTCTAGGTATAAATAAATGGAGGTATAATAAACTAAAATGACCGAAATACACTCAGGTATATGAAAGGTTAGTTGTAATTTTTGACTTTTGAAGGTTAAAATTGTCTTTTTACATTGGTTAATCGCAATTGTTGATTTTTTTAAATAGGTATTACATAGATAATGTTTGTGACAAACAAACAAGGGAAAAGATGAGATTATAGTATAAGATCGGGTATAATATACCATTGGATCAGAGTGGAATGAATATAAAATCTTATACCACCTAAATTTTATATTTGAAACAAACGGGCCTATAAGTTTTGAGTTTGATATGTACAACTTTAAAACACGTTTTACAATTAAAGTTTTAAAATTTGTACTTACAAAATATTTCATACATATTTCATTGAATCACCACACGACAACATTGTTGTGACAGTAAATTGTTTTGGAGAGCTTAAACTTCCGAGCTCCATGTCATTTGCCTTTGTCGAATCAAACACAAATACTAAAAACAAGATAGTAACTGTTGCTTTTTTGACTGTTTGGCACCAACTTGGTGGTGTGAATAATGCATGCATGCACCTAATTCCAATTGAGTTATCATGAGTTTTGTCTGCCTTCTAGCAAAACCAAGGGCTTGTCGTAAGAATCTCTCTACCAAAAAAACTGCTTCCTCACTCTGGGAAGAGCTTTTTTAATTAATAGCAACATTTTCTTTTT